CCCGATCCAACCGTCTAGTCTATCACTAGAACTTCCGAGGCGACTTTCATTCAGATCGGTACCCTCAGTGACGCAAAAGCGACTCAAAAATGCGAAACACATACTCAAATGGGGAAAATAAAATTTCTTTGTTTAATGGGTCAAGAAGTTTGGTGATGCATACACATGGTGTTTTCGCAGTTTTACAAAACTCCGAATGATCTAACATCAGCGATTGGGCGGCTAGACGATGGATAGAGCGACAACGTTGAGCATCCAGCAATGGATGTCACTGCGGTGCCGGTTCTATTTCTAATAACATTTCCAAGTGATTGGTATTAGATGACGCCAAAGTTTCTTCTGTCGCATTTCTTGAACGAGCAACAGTGCTTACCTGAGAGTCACCACACACACCTGACACTATTGCAGTCGTGCTTCTCACCAACCTCGACAGCTCGAATCGAAGATCTGATCCAATCAGGCCGATTATAGGGGTCCTTCTCGTTGGTGTGCTAGTTCTCTACGCTATTCCTCAAACTCGTCTCTTGATGCGCTTGCTCTTGGCATCGGATATATAGCCAGACAGCGTGAGAAGAGAGCTGCATAGAATGATGTGTCCTTTTTGGACCAAACGGAGGACAACACATCAATATCGTAATTGAAAATAAGCTGATATCAAATTGTCATCCAAGGAGGGTAGTGTTGCCTGGAAATGGGGATGTACGTCTTGCTATAGGTTAGGTACTATACCAACAGAAATTAGACTATCTGGTTTCAACACACATTGATGTTAAAGTAAACTGAGTACCCGACGACGACAATCTTACTAACAGTAAGTCTATAAGAATAAGCTGTAAATATGATAAGATATATGGCATGATAGTGACCAATATACTGGAATATGAGTAAGATGTTGGGTTGCATGCACAAGCATTGCTTTACTAGGCCATTACAAAATGTGAAAGATTCGTAATGACAAGGAAACTGTTTAGAATATTTAAGTGATAGAAATGTGCTTGAAAATAACCTCTGTCTATAGCTTACCTCTGCGTTTATTCAATATAGTTCACTGCGCTGGATAGTTTGTCTTGGTCAAGTTTTGTATTGCAAACTATGAATCGACAGTGCTACACATGAGTTTGGACCTGCACAATACCAGCTGTAGGATTCGAAAAAATATATGTGCTTACATATGACTCGGTGCTTCTCCATTCTTTACATGATGGGCAATATCTCCCTCTTTTCGAACCGGCCTTTCCTTCGATAGTCTAGATGGTGCAACAACCCTTGATGAGGATTTGTGCCACCACCAGCACTTTGCTTACATGTATAATTAGGAGATGCTTTATATAACACTTCAAATAACAAGAAACTTGATTGAAGGAAACCATGTGCATGTAGTGTCTTTTGTCTGCAGTCATGATGTCGGATCTCCAGTTATTCACCTGAATGTGTCGTGTAAGTCGACGAAGCCTGGGCAGGTGGCATGGATGTTGAGAGAGGCTGATACATGAGATACCTACAGTAGTTAATGTAAGAATTAGTAATCTCTTGCTGCTCTCATTCGCCCAATGTAAGGACCCGTAGTATCATTTGAGGATGCAGTCCTTTTGAGCTGGGTGTCTGTAAGTTGTGTAACTCTCAACATCCACTGTCTTGAGAAACGCTTAGTAGAACCGTCAACCCTAAGTAGAATACACATAATCGCCCTGTATCGATTATTTTGATCATATAACAAAACCTCATTCCCTTTACGTACACACAGACTCTCCAGTACACACCCGCCTCTAGGTTAGAAGGTCAAGCGAGTCATGCGACATCAACTAAACAAATCAAGGTGGAACTTTAGTATAGGATAGTAATAGACACCCAAAGCTAATATAAAGGGTCGAGAAACTACACTGCTCGTAATTCCTACCAAAACCTAAACAGTTTCCGACACTTTGAGCATTGCCGCTTGATCGGAGGGGGGCTTATATACTCAAATTTAAGGCTGACGGCCGTAAGCCCCTATGGTGTAGTGGTTTATCACGCAGCTCTTATATATCCAGGATTCTTTGGAGATATGCTGAGGTCGCGAGTTCAATCCTCGCTAGGGGCACCACCTTTTTTGTCTTTTCTTGTTTTACTGTTATCGTGTTGATTTGGTTTTTTTGAAGTGATCTGTGTTCCACATTTTTTTGGATTTAGTTTGATTGTGGTTTGGGTCGGTTACTAGTTACAGTATGAAGAATGCCTCACTTGACCACTGAGAGAACCCAGTCATGGAAATAGTATTAAATGACATTCGCTTTTATCTATCTATCTCAATTGTATTCAAACAACTTAATCCACTTGTAACTTTTGCTTGGTTCGCTTTCGCTTGCCTCCGACTTCCCTTCCTTCCTCCACCTCCAACAAAGCCTCGCGCTTCTTCTCCGACACGAGCTTGAGCGCATCCCGAACAACACGTGTTTCCAGGTTGACGCCCTCTTCTTCCCAGGCCTCCATATCGCGGCCCACTCGCTTCTCGATGGTCAGGGCCAACTCCACATCACGTTGTCCCACAAAGCTGACAGCCTCACCCTTGCGTCCCGCACGGGCTGTACGACCTACACGGTGAATGTAGTCGTCGGGGTCGCGAGGCAGATCGTAGTTGATAACGAGGCTGACTTCAGGGATATCCAGACCTCTGGCAGCAACATCCGTCGCCACGAGAATACGAGCAGCTGAAGCACGGAAACGGGCTAGGTTGTCGATTCGTTGCCTCTGGGGCAGCTTGGAGTGTAAAGACGTGACTCGATGTTCCAGCATGCGAAGTAGATGGTGAAGGTAATCGGCAGTCGAAGTTCGGTTGCAGAATAGGATAACAGTCTTGTCGACATTGGCCTCGGTGAGTAGGAAGGTGTGGAGGTAGTGTTCTTTATGCGTTACAGGAACCTTGATGTACATCTGCTTCAGTGTTGCAGGAATAGCCAGCGTCTGTGTGTCAACTTCGCAAATAAATACTGGCTGCTTGCCCGGCTTGATAGGCATGTCCTTCAAGGCACGGACCTCTGGGGTAATAGTAGCAGTGAAGAGAAGAGTCTGTCTTTCGGTGGCTGGTGGTAGAACTGACAGACATTCTTCCACATCAGGAAGCATACTGCCAGGCCCAGTGGCGTTTAAAAGTCGATCAGCCTCGTCAAGAACCACATATCGAACTCTCCTCAATCCACAGATTGTGTCCTCTCCGGAAGTGCGAATGTGATCTGCCAAACGCCCTGGAGTTGCGATTATAACGTGTGGTCGCCTTCCAATCTCAATTGCCTGTGTTCGCATGTCTGAGCCTCCAGTCACCAAGATAGCCTTGAGACTTTGAGGAGAAGAGATAGCCTTGAACTGCTCGAAAATCTGAAGTGCCAGTTCTCGGGTTGGCGTCAAGACGACAGCAAAGATGGCAGTAGGATCTTCAGACCACTTCTGCAGAATAGGCACCGCGAAAGCAACCGTTTTACCTGAACCTGTTCTACTGCCACCAATGCAATCTCTCCCCTTCAAGATCTCGGGAATACAGCCCTTCTGAATGCCCGTGGGTCGCTTGATAGCCATATTTCCTAGCGATTGAACCAGCCATGGCTGTACATTGAGGGCGGAGAAAGTGGTGTTTGGGTCGGTAGGAGCTTGAATCGAGTTTTTGGGTGCGACTACAGGCTTTGCTTGAACTTTCTTTGTCTCCGTTTGAACATTTCGCTTAATTCGAGAGGGCGCCGTGATGGTAGACAGTACTCTCTTCAACTCTTCATCGTCGTCATCATCATCATCCTCCGGCTCAACGTTTTCATTCTTATCCTGAGATATTTCTGCAGTCCTGCGACGCTTTCGAGATGCGCCGCTGTCGAGGTAATCGGACTCGTCGGAAGATAAGGCGGCACCAGATAGAATTTCTTCGTCTGATGCAGAAGTCGCATGATCTGATTCATCGGAATGCGCCATATTTCGGGATTTACAAACTGCAGGAACTGGTAGAATTCGTCCGAGTGCAAGCTCGCGCCAATGCGAAGTTCGATTCGATGGGACCTGAAATTTTTGGCGGTGACTGGTGTCGTAAAATCGTGGGACCCTTCGACCCACTTAGAACCCCACATGTAGATGTAGACGCGCGCTTACAGCATGAGAAGACACTAAAAACACTAATCACTTGTATACGTGGATGATCAACGGAATGATGCAAAGACTGATTCTCTTGTGACGAATACTAAAATCATTTGTTTTTTATGTTTCATATCAAGTGTCAGTATACATATTTATTGTAAACAATCGGCACCTGTTTTGCGTCTTCAAGGGGTGAGATCGACCATCAAATGCGACAGGGTCTTTGTGACGAATAGGAAGGCATGCCCGGGATGCATTCAGCTGTAATGTTACAGTAGTTGTGTCTTGGATTCCTACTCGCTGGCTGGACATGTCAATATCATTTGTTTTGATGATTGATCAATTCCTGCAGCATGTTAGGATACTCTGTATGTCAGTATGTACTCAGGGGCGCTTCCGAGCATATTTGACTTGCCAATAGGACTTGCCAATAGTAGGGAAGCCCCACTGATTGTCGTAATCTGATGAGTGTTTTTGAAACGATGACACAGAAGAAGGGTCGTCGGCACATGAGTGAGACCAAGTAAAACAAAACAGAAGAGTGCATATCCAAGACACCAAGGATTGGGGGCCATAGCTTAAAACCTGAAATTCGGTCAAATGTGACGACGGAAATGACGATGCGTGTACCACCACCAAGTTACATATTCAATCTTTGGGTGGTTTATCGGTCCATGGATTTTCTTTCATCTTCTCGTATAGCAAACTCTTGGCTTTAGATAGAGGTCCATGCGAGTTGAGTCGATCATGTTCATCCCCACCATCCATCCATCTTATCCATGCTCATTGATCTGATCATGCTTGGACTGTTGGTTATCGACCATCGGTAATACCTCGCACAAGGGACCTCGGGCATAGCAACCAGCGTACCACCCTTTGTGCTTGTATATACCGGATCTCATAACAATTTATAATCGTACGCGTGTTTGCAAGAGTTTGGCGAGAATCTGAGACAAGACCCAAAACCACCAATCCACGGATAGTCCGTCTCTCAGGGTTAACCTTAGTCTAGACAGTAACAGCTCAAGCTTCATCCCCACTCAAGCCTAGCGCCCAATGCTTACAGGGAAGTTGAACCGCTCAACGCCCCCCGCGCCGCAGACAAAGAATGGATGAGCTCAGGTACACTGCAGGGGTATCTTCCACTGAGCTTGAGGGGTCATAGGTGCCCTAGTTCCCAAGCGCCCCCCGGGTCCAGCTGTCCATCAGTTCAGCACAGGCAGTCACCTCAGTCACAAGCCCACTCAAGGGACCCGATCCAATCAATGCATCTACCGTCAACGCCATTACCAGCTTACGCTTCCTCTTTTCTCTCATTTCTTGGTCTCGTCCTCTCTCATCTCATCTTTTCTCTTTCTCCTGGCTCTTCTCGCCTCGGCTTCATTTGCTTGACTTGACGACGTGTCGTTGGTTGACACGCTTTTTTGTCATATTGGACCCTGCAACTGTTCTGGGTCTTGCTGCGGAATACCCAATAAATACCTACCTTGCATTTTATATCCACCCGCCTCGAATCGTCCTTTCCCCGCTCTTTTGCGTGGGCTGTTGTTCTCCTGCGCTTGCCTCACCTTCTTCGACAACGACTTTTGTATTTCAGTCTCGCTTTGATAACTTGGTTGATCACTTCCAAACGCTCGTTGTGTATTTTATCCAACTTTGGTCATTAAGGAAACCGTAAAGTTGCTTGGACGTTCTTGTATCTCTATATTCCAAACACCCGACGACGCTGGCCGCTCGACGACTTTGCCGCTACAAACCCGATTATCCGAACCGATTGTCCCCAATATTATATATCTTGTCTTGGAGAAGTCCTCGGTCAACCACAAGGACAATATCTTCTGGCTATAACTCACCACTCACACCCACGCCATCCGCAAACTGTAGTGACCAGCACTATCCTCAAGATGGCCGACCAACAGTCTCAGGGCACCGACCCAACTCCCCAACTTGTATGCTCCCATTCACCTTACCTGTACAGCTTGAGCTACTTACTTACGAAATCATAGCAACAACCTGCCGCTCCTACTCCGATCTCTCTCCCAACACATAACTCTGGCCCCTCGCCCGTCCCTCTTCTCCGACCTGCCATTCCCGGCGCAAGAAGTGGCGGAGCTCGCACGCCGAGACTTGGTCTTGCTATTCCCCCATCACCCAATGCCAAACCAGTAGGCAACCAAGGAGCACTAGCAGTTGCTCCCTCAAGGCCACCGCTGCCAACGCTACACCTTGCAACTCCCATGGGTAGCCAAGTAGCTCCCCAAGAACAACTCCCTCGATCTCAATGCGCCACTCAGCCATCAGCAGGTGGCGGTAGCGAGAGCAGCGCTGCTCACTCAAGGTCCGGCAGCTTTGGTCCCCTGGATGGCCGGGCAAGCAACCCCACTTCTGCAGGATCTCAATACTCAGCTCTATCCTTTGCCTCTCAGTATGGCATTGGTGTATCAAGGCCCCAAGGAACCCCAGACCCTGTGTCTGCTGTGGGATCTATGTATTCGGAGAGAAGTGAAGGTGGCGTTTCCATGGAGCGTGATGGAAGCTTGCAGGGACTGGAAGCTTTCGACAAGCTAACTATCGAGAAAGCCAGAACTCTTGATGTCGATGATCTCGATGAAGAGGGTTGGAGGATCGCCAGTCTTGAAAAGAGAATTGTCGAAATCGGAAACCTTGGTGAGGGTGCTGGTGGCGCCGTCACAAGGTGTAAGCTCAAGGGTGGTAACACTGTTTTTGCTTTGAAGGTGAGAGACGACTTGGGATGCAAGCGAAGTTTCGTTACTAACAATATCTAGGTCATCACTACGAATCCGGATCCCGACGTAAAGAAGCAGATCCTCCGAGAGCTAGGATTTAACAAGGAGTGCGCTTCAGACCATATTTGCAAGTATTATGGTGCATTTGTGGACCCATCTACGGCCACCATCTCTATCGCAATGGAGTTCTGTGAAGGTGGCTCCCTCGACAGTATTTACAAGGAAGTAAAACGCCTGGGAGGCAGAACGGGAGAGAAAGTGCTGGGTAAAATTGCCGAGGGTGTTCTCGGCGGTCTAACATACCTGCATACCCGACGAATCATTCACCGCGACATCAAGCCTTCCAATATCCTGCTGTGTCGAGATGGCGCCGTCAAGCTTTGCGATTTCGGTGTCTCGGGCGACTTTGGTACCAAGGGTGAGGCCAATACCTTTATCGGCACCAGTTACTACATGGCCCCTGAACGCATCACGGGCCAGTCGTATACCATTACCTCGGATGTCTGGTCGACAGGAGTTACTCTTCTTGAGGTCGCCCAACATCGATTCCCGTTCCCCGCAGATGGCACCGAGATGCAACCGCGTGCCAATCTCATCGATCTCCTTACCTACATTGTTAGGCAGGATGTGCCGAAACTGAAGGACGAGCCTGATATGGACGTGTACTGGAGTAATAACTTCAAATACTTCATTGAGTGCTGGTAAGTTACCTGAACCTCATTTATATGCTCACTTGCTGACATCGTTAAAGCTTGGAAAAGCAACCCAACCGCCGAGCTAGTCCCTGGAAGATGATGGAGCATCCATGGATGGTTGAGATGCGCAGCAAGCGCGTTAATATGGTGAAGTATCTTTCTTACGTCTGGGGTTGGGGAGACCAGCCCAAGGACTCTTAGAAGAATTCACGAGCCGCTCAAGCCTCTGACGAGCAGAACTTCAACCCAACCCAAGAAGGCCAGGATACCAAGGAACCTCAAGACACTCAAAAAGCAGAGATTGCTGAAGAAGTAGTTGAAATGTGGGGGCAGCTTGGGTTCGTTAATCGAAGACATAGCTCTGAACCATGAACACTGTTTCTCATATCATCAACCGAAGCAGACAAAACTATACTTTGCGACAACAGTTTTGTCTACGCCCACGGCGACGCAAACAAAACTGGGCCTTTGTCGTGAACATCTTTCTACTGCTTATCTCAATTTATAACCAAGGCCGTGGCCTGGGGGATTCGCAGCCACATGGACTTGCGAAGAATTGTTCAAGTTACAAGAACATGGAAACATAAGTGCCTGCAACATTAGCAAACTTTGAGTATTGGATATTGGTCAAGAATGGGTTATGAGGCAGTGTATTAAAACTCAGCGAAGTGCGCATTGAATAGACGCCATGTCTGACCACAAGCGCATCAATTTTTATTATATTCTCCCACTTCAATACATGGGTATCAAACTTCTTGGCTACATGACTTTCCCTGCATAATCCAATCCAGACATCAAACAAGTATAGGTACTCTACGCATTCCTCTAAATTCACTCGGAATCCGCAGGTGGGTCTCCCATTAGTTCTCGCAGGGCGACAGTTGCATATGCACTGCGTCCAAGCTGGAACTTGACAACTACTGCGATCTTGCTGGGCTCCTGGACAGCAGGAGTAGCCTCGGAAGTGTTATCCGAAGGAACTGCCTCTCCTTCACGGACTTGACCACTGGCATCTGTCATCTCAACCTCGGTACTGTCCTCAACCTTGGTCTTTTTAGCTGTCGAGTCGGACTCGGCATCCTCTCGAGAGCGCTTTCGGTTGGCTGCCTTTGAGGCTTTGATGTTATCGAGATCGGTCGGGTGCATCTGCTCCGTATCGTCGGAGTATGCGCGGACCTCAGCAGAGGGTGTAGCGAGGAAGCGGTTCATGATCTTACGGTATCGGCCGGGCAGACTGAACTCGCGACGCATACGGCGCATCTTGTAGGGATCGAGGTTTCCATTCTCGTCACGTCCCATAAACTCCTTGTAGAACTCGCCAATGTCGTTCTCAGGGTAGACAACATCGTAGCCTGGTGTGGGCAGTACAATGTCAAAGATGGTGTAGTTACCGCTGGCCGCTTCCTCGGCTGTAAGTGGGCGAGCACGAACAGGAGTGTCCTCGTCGTCCTCAACGGGGTTAATGATGTCATCGCCGTCTTGGTCCTGGCCGCTGACGAGGGGTGTGGTCTCCGCCGGCGCAATGATGAGATCGCCAGGAATGACGCTCTCGCCGTGGAGCTCCCATCGACGGCTGGTAACGTGGTTCCAGACGTAAGACTGGTAGGCATGAAGATACATTGAACGAAGTCCACGGGTAATATGAACCAGTGACCCAATAAAATCACGTCGAGACTGAGCTCCTTGTCGGTTCAGATGTCTGAAGATACAGTTCTCGGCAGAAAATCTTCGCGGCATAATGTCAATGGCTCGTCTAACGTCCTTGTTTGTGAGGAAGAGCATGCAAGCTTGGTTTCGTAGGTATTCATCTCTCTTGGAAGGCTCGTCAGGGATCTCGCCCGCCTCGGCCTTTTGTGCGATTTCGTCGTCGTAGTGGAGCAGCGATTTGACTGCCTCTTCGTACTTGTCGCCTAGAATAAGTTGACCAACTTGGTGAGTGCCAACCTCGTGGGTTCCAAATCGCTGGTGACCAAAGTAGTTGATCCAGCCGTGTTTGTTCATATGACCCAAGGAAGAATCAACATTTTTCTTCAGCTTTTCGACCTGTTGAGCGATGGACTCATCGCTAGACTCGCCAACTATCTGGCAGTTCTTAATAGCAATAACGAATTCGTTACCTAGAAGCTGTCCAAGGTAAATTGGCTTATCCTTGTACTCATAGTCGCCAGTCGAAACACCCCAGATTCTACCGTTGATACCGGCAAGGTTTCTAGGTCGCATGTACCGCACTGAACATCGCTGCACTGTCGAAGCTCTACGGTCCTTGGTTCCAGCGTATCCGATGACTTGGGGCTTGACCTTGAGGAACCGGGAGATCTGGTTGACGGCATCCATAGTGTCCCGATTCTCCTTGAAAAGGGTGAAGTGCAGGTACTCGCCAGCTGGCTTCTCATCGCGGTCACCACCTCGACCCCCACCACGACCGCGCTTCTTGCTGTTGGCTTTTCGTGGAGGAATAAGAGTCGCGATGATAGCACCGTCGTCGGCGGTGTTGGTGTCTATGCGCGACTTGAAGATACGTCGAATCTCCTGGTGCACCTGACCTCGCTTTGCTCTGTCGTCCATGGCCTCTGAAGTAACCGTCTTTCTCTTGTCGTTATCGGGACCTGCGCCAGCCTTGTATACTTCGATCAGCTCTTGAGCAAAGCGCTGGTCAGTCAGGCCTTCAAGAATGGCTGCATCCTCAGCCGAAACTTCGTTGACCTGCTCGGGCTGGGTAGCAGGCTTGGCCTCGGTCGCAGTCTCGTTCGAATGTTGCTTCTCAGCATCTTGCGTAGGCTCTTCTGGTTTGACCTCCTTGACTTCGGACTTGCCATTGGCCTCCTTTTTTACCTCTGTCGCCTGCGACATTGTTAGCGCGTCAGAAAACTCGCAAGGCACAGTAGCACTTACTGGTGCCTCTTCACCTGCGATGCCAACTTGTTGAAGGTGCAGAACCGAACCATCTTCGTTAATCTCGTTGACTTGGAAGTCTGAGAATCTGTACCAAGTTAGTCTCCCCATTACTGGTCTGAAGATTGACAAGGCGCATACCTGGTGCGCATCTCGCCAGTCCATGATATCGCCAAGGGTGTTACGCGCTGGCTAATACCGATGGACCGGGTATAGGATGTAGTACCGCGCGCTGTGTGGTGATTTTGTTCCGCCATTGTGACTATTACAGCTGAGATTGAGCTGTATATCAATGTCGGTGCAATGTTGCGACAGCTATGTTTGTTTCGTCTCGATAATTGCTTGGCGGGGCAACTTTGCGATCTGTATTTTTTTCCTCCGGCAGTATTTCGACAATGGTTGATTAAGGAAGGCGGTGATGAGCTTGAATGGGTGAGCGAGTGCAATGGGGTACCTCGAATGGCAGGCGGTCAAAGCTGGAATATTAGAAACGATAGAGCGACCAGATACTTCTTATTATTTGTTTAAAATTCTCTTGTAGGCGTTGAAAAGTCTATAACTAGTTGCTGTAAATAGAACACTTTTATATTGAGGCAAGCTTTGGAGTCTATTACTGGTGTCTGCTTGGTCACGTTGATATAGGCACAAATCTAAACGTCTCAGCATTGTAGGCTGTACATATCTACCTTTGATGAGAGCTGCATGCCAATCTTAGTATCTCTACTTTAATATATATAGAACTGTTTCCAATAACAAATATGTGCGTTCGTCTTTCCCAATATTAAATAAGTATTCAAACCATAACCCAGTACACCAGTAGACCGATACAAGGATAAGATGTGGTAGTAGCTCGAGTTCGACTAGTGGAATATGGGGAAAAAAGTGCCGAATGTCAGTCAGTCAGAGCAGATTGTATAATGAAATTAGCTGAACATGTTTTTGAGACATTCCTGAGGCTCCTGAGGCTCCATTTAATAGATAGTTCATGTGGCATAATGGACCCCTGGTGGATATGGGCCTTCTCATGCATTACATATAATAATTGCCGCGCAAAGAGCGGTCATTTTATCAATCAATCAAGTCAGTAATCACATCTTGAAATGAGAACACACTAACAAACCATGTCTCCTCAACATTCAGAAGCCGGATAGACCCCCTCTCTTGTACGAGTCACTCAAAGACTGAGAAAGTTGCCCGCATGACAAGTTTACTTTTAGAATTTGTACTTGTACTCAATTTGATACCTTGCTTAACTGCCTACTAGGTAGACTCTGCCCGGCACATCGGTTAATAACTCGTCCATTCATCCATTCATTCACTTGCAAGGGTTGTTTTTTGTTGCGCACGCACTTGCGCACACGAGATGTGATCCGGATCCAACCGCCCCTCCTCTCGCTCTCTCACTCTCGTGCTCTCTTTTCTCTCCAATTTTCATCTTCTCTCATCACTTACTTAATTAACAAACAGACCAAAGTAAGGCCACCTTGAACCTGCCTTGGTTACCGGCCTGGATGTTCTTGTTCCGCCTTTCCCTCGTGAGGAAAACCGAAAAAAGTCTTTGCCCAAGTTGCCTTCCAGTCGCTTCTTGTCCCTGCGGTTGACTGCATCGGGCCCGCAATTGATATGTCAATCATGAGCCGTAAAGACAAATGTCGGAAAAGACCCTTTTATTGCCATACGTCTCTCTGCGTTGCTTCAGCTTGAACTTGGAAGGACAAGATTGATTGTCTGTCATCATAACGCAAGTGCAACTCTTACTTTAGTCGAGTAACCTGGGTCAGGAGCAATCCGCTCTACCTCTTGTACCAAAATGCCAGTAATGGACGGCGGATCAGCGGTACCAAATCGCAACAGCTACAGCCAGGTAAGGAACGACAACCAAATATTGATTTCCTACGACCTTGTATTCATTGTTATGTGCAATTACCTACCTAGCAACTGGGTTGCCTTGTATTGTTCTTCATTGCATTGTCTATAATAGACATACTTGAGAGAATCTTTGCATCTCGTTCCTCACTCTGCAATATTGTCTATGCTTTACTTTACTGCAAAAAGCTGATAGCAAAGCCCACAGACGCCATTGGCTGCCCGTCTTGACCGTGAGCGTCGGCGTTGGAGCTCAATCAATGATCAGGCTGACTTTATGTCGTCCTCCAAAGGCAAAAGCAAAGGTAAGCATCTCAATTCACCTACTTTGGGCACAGTTTAGAGACACAAACCGACTCACAACCCATAGCCCCTGCAACCAGTTCTGAACAAAAGCCTCAGCCTCAATCGCAGCCCGGGCCTTCTACATACAGGAAACCGCTACCCCCTAGAACAGGATACGATGCAGATGTGCTCCGTGAGATGTGTGACACTGTCCGCACTAGTCTGCACGAGGGACGCCCTGAACCTCGGTGGGAAGAAGTCATGGGATTTCTGAAAGCAGTTTTGAGGGACGAGAATGACGGTAGTCGTGCCATAGAATTCGAGACCATCCGGAACACGCACCTTGACAAGCTCATATCGGATATAATGGATCCGAGATATCGACATCCTAGGGTACCCACGAGATTTGCAGCGGATATTCAGCTGGTGGAACGGTTAGAGCGCAAATGGATCGAGCGGTTTCGAGGTCCCTACTTTCACATCGAGGAGCACCGCTACCGCGAGTTACCCAAGAAGGGTCGGCTTAGAGACGTGACGCCGAAACTTGATGCTGAAAATCCTGAGGACCGCTGGCAAGCCAATAATGGTGAGACACTATCAGAGATGGAGGGAAATCTGGAGATCGAACCTGGGCAGTAAGACACTCCAGTCTTGACAAAGCGAGCTGTTACTAACATAGAGGCATAGCTGGTGGCTTAATTTGGCTTGCGCACATCGGGATGGTATCGTTGATAGCAACCGCGAGAAACCTACCAAAGGGAAATACGGAGTTGCCGCTTTGCCGTTGCTAACTGGGCAAGAGAATATTGATTACGATGACGGAGCCATAAGATATATCAGACAAGGCAGAATTGCAGACATTCATGTCTCGCTAATATCTCAAGTGGGTGCCACATTTCGCATCCTGCGCGGCTATCACCTCAGAAGCCCTTTTGCACCAAAAGCTGGTATACGTTACGATGGTTTGTGAGTTTGTCGGGCATCCATACCATAGCTGCCACTCTCTAACAGACAGCAGATACACAATACGCCGATATAGTCAATGGTTTAACGAAGTCAGCGACCGGCACCATATGATGTTAACTCTGGAACGAGTGAGCGACCAGCGCCCAATAGAGGACATACTTAATATACCCCGTCCATCTGAGGTAGATGACTGGAACCTCTACCAGAAATACGAGAGCGAGTTAGTCAAACAAAAGAAAGGGGCAAATGCTTTTCTGGATTAGAAATTGAAAAGGGCACAGGAGAATGTTGACTTGGAGGAATACCGGCGGTCCAACGACTTTCGCAACTCGCTGGTTTATAGGTTTAAGAAACAAGGGCTTCTTTGATTTGGTAGTGGGAGGATGATAGAGCAGCTGCGCTGCACACTCGCAAGTCTCGATACTGAAATGAAATGCTACCAACACGAGATTAAACATTTAATCCTTTTCAAGTTTACAAGCGAAGTCTTATAAATACAAACCATCCATCAGGAATTAAAGAGGGCACGGTCACATCAGGAAGTCTTCAAGGGTTCATGCCATGGCGGGGCATGACTTCACCCCGCCACCAAAGCTACCTGCTGTACTTTGGCTACAGCAAATCAGGCTCTTCTTCCTCTTACACGACAACCTCTAACAGACAAGATGGGCAAAAACGACAAAAAGGGCGCGGACAAGGGCGGAAAGGCAAAGGGAGGAGACAAGGGTAAAGATGCTAAAGACGCCAAAGACTCTGGCTCTGGCGGCAAGGCAAAAGGTGCTCAGAGCATCAATGTCCGTCACATCTTGGTGAGTTGACTCGTAAAGGTTTCACTCCATCGTAACAATACTGACGAGCTTGAATCAAAAGTGCGAGAAGCATGCCAAGAAGGAGGAGGCTTTGGCAAAGCTAAATGATGGCGTCAAATTCGACGACGTTGCGCGAGAGTTTTCTGAGGACAAGGCAAGACAAGGCGGTTCACTAGGTTGGAAGACCAAGGGTAGTCTGGATCCCAAGTTTGAAGAGGTGGCTTTCGCTCTTGAACCAAGCACGACCAACAGCCCCAAATTCGTCGAGGTCAAGACGGGGTTCGGATATCACATCATCATGGTGAGTTTTACCCATGTCCAATATGTCTTGGCACATCATCTAACATAGACGACCAGGTGGAAGGACGAAAGTAGACAGCTTAAGCTCAAGCCCATCAATGCATTGGTCACAAGAGATATACACGAAGCAATTTGAAAGTCGGATGATGCCCAAATTTTTTTTATTCCTCTCAATGGCCATGAGACGTAAGGCCTTAAAACCGTTTTAGATGCCAGTCGAAGTGGCTAGAGTACAGCACGTATGTGTCAAGCGGTCATGAAACCAAGTCCGCACCTCTAATCATCCTCACATCCAACGCCGCTTAAGACATTTACTGCTCGGTCTGGAAGTAGTTCAGGAGGATAGATCGCTCCTGAGACTCCTCACCCCAGTCCTTAACAACGACGCAAGAGCAGTTGACAACCTTGCGAGCGTTACCCTCACGGTCGAGAACGCCTGTTGAAACTTGTTAGCACTTCCGGGTTCTGCTAGTTGCAGTATGGGTTGTAAAAACGTACAGAGACCGGCCCACTCGCCGAGCTGCTTGCCGTCGGGGATCTGAATGAGAGGGATGTTGTGCTCGTTGCAGAGAGCGACAACAAGCTTCTTGTAGGCCTCCTCCTCGCAGTTCTCGTTCAGGACACACATGTGAGCCTGGCGACGGTCAAGAGCCTTGGAAGCCTCACGGAGACCACGAGCAAGACCATCGTGCATGAGAGAGAGCTTCAGGACACCCTTGAGAGCATCGAGAATGGACATCTGGCCCTTGGGGGCATCGCCGGAAACCTCAACAACATCGGCGACCTCGGGGGTGTTGTCTTCTACGTCCGACTATAACGAGAGAAAAAACATTAGCCAACATGTCGACTTTTTGGTAATTATTTTCTTGTTTCCCCCACTGACGTCGCAGATTGCTTCTCCAAGTCGCATTTCCGGTCTGGACAGAGCAATTGGCGAGCAGAGGCGGACCAATATCAAAAACTCACCATCTTGAATATTTTTTTCTCGTCGGGCGATCCTCGAAGATTTCTATGTGTATCGAGGAAAAGTTGGAAGGGGGGGTTAAGTCGTGATCTGGAAATGTCTTCGTTTAGTTTGACTGGGATTTGCCGAAATCTAAACGAAGAGTGCGCAGACCCTTAGGGCAAGTGCACGGACCCACCAACCACACAGTTCCTTCCCCATCCGAGGTACCGGTTTTTTTCCTCTTTGTGATTTTGAGCTTCCGTTCCTTTACAGTCTTCATCAACCGACCAAGTCAAAAAAAATTTTGAGGTATGTATGACTTACGCTTGCAGCGAGTCGAATCAAAAAAAGGATGATGCCTTTCACCATGGCAAAAGGGTAGCAATCGAGGGTATTGTCGTCAACCGTGAAGAAAAGACCGATCTTTTCAACAAGGGCCGGAAATACTTATCACAAACTGGCGACTGTATCCTTGATACGCTTCTCTTCAGCACTGGGCGGCAGAACCCTCGCGATCGATCGTTGAGGGCACTCTCCTCGCTCAAAGGCCCTCGAAAGGCTAACACGAACTTTTGTCAGATACCTCATTTCCCCGTCCCGACTTGAGAATCTCCTCAAAACACCGCAAAAATGGTCCGCACTTCCGTCCTCCACGATGCGCTTAACGCCATGAACAACGCCGAGAAGGCTGGCAAGCGCCAGGTCCTGATCCGACCTTCTTCCAAGGTCATCATCAAGTTCCTCACTGTCATGCAGCGACACGGCTAGTATGTGCTACAAATCTTTCATATCCGTCTTTCCCCTCCGATTTCGTGTTAGTCTCCACTATTCGATATGGCAAAAATGGTCGACGGTCCTATCTCACCATGATCCAACCACCATATGTCTTCGAATACTCTCCTACCCCCATCATTCGGCATGATAACTAGGGCGACCGTCGATACTGCCCCACGACTCAGCCCCTATAAATTGCCGATAGATTCAAACTCGGAGACTTACACGTTTTTCGGAATCCTTCTCATGATGTCTAACGTTTAATCTCTCGAAACATAACTAACATCCCTATGGTATTGGCGAGTTCGAAGAGATCGACGATCACCGATCCGGCAAGATCGTTGTTCAGCTCAACGGCCGTCTCAACAAGGTCGGAGTTATCTCTCCCCGCTACAACGTCCGCCTCTCCGAGCTCGAGAAGTGGGTTGTCAAGCTGCTCCCTGCCCGTCAGTTCGGCTACGTCATCCTCACCACCTCCGCCGGTATCATGGACCACGAGGAGGCCCGCCGCAAGCACGTCTCTGGCAAGATCATTGGCTTCTTCTACTAGAAAGGGACGGGAAACCAATCAAAAAGTGATTTAAAAACAAACAGGCATTCTCGGCGTTAAGGAGGATGATGACTAGGACCGATGCGATTATATAGCCAAGTTGCTTGTCGCACACGCGAGCATACCAATTGAACCTTTGCGAGATGCTCAAACTTATTTTTCATATGCAATTGTGATATGTTGAACGCTTATACTTTGCTTATCCGAATTAGAGGTGTATACAATTCTTGTAGTACAAACTTGCCAGCAAATGGCATTACTATTCACTATCTGGTTCAGCTCATAAAAAAATCATATATATAATCTACTCTGTGTCTATAAATATTCTTCATTAACCCCATATCATGGTTGGCTGTCCAAGCTTGACTTAGCACCAAGAGGTTCAAGTCGTTGTGCCAACAAAGTACCTGCAGCGCCATTGTTTTCTTAACCAAAACCAGCCAATTAAAGTGCATCAGCCAGGACCACTGCACTACCTCAGACGTCTCATATCAATATTGAGCTTCACCTCGAAACATGACATTGACTTATGATTTTATGACTCCTGAACCTTCTTATTGATTTATTTTTGGAAAAAATTGACTTCTTACTGGAACGGTCGAAACTTGCGGTCGCCGTTTCCTTGCTGCATCGACTTGCATCTTGTGTTTGGCATAGAAGCCATACATAAACATGATTTCTCTGCTATCATTTCGCGCCTCTCAACGGCGTCAACTGTTATCCGTCGCAGCCTTCACATTGTTCTGCTTCTGTGCTTATACTCTCCTCAGGATTCCACCCGAGCAGACAAGACACTATCAAATAAAAACGAAAACACCCTTGGAGCCTTCATCATCACCAGGGGCAGTATCACAAAAGGAACAACTCGTCGAGGGAAGCTCGCAGCCAAGACAAGCTCCCACTCCAGAAAATCATCCTATAAGTTATCTTACGAGCAATGCTCAACAAGAGCTGGAACAAATCAAGGCTCGGCAGTCCAAGACGCTTGATGAAGCGGTCAAGGAGTATCGACGACGATATGGAATGCCACCACCACCTCATTTCGACAAGTGGTTTCAGTTTGCAAAGGAAAATAATGTTAAACTGATTGATGAGTTCGACACTATATATGACCTGATTACACCTTTCTGGGGATTAAAGCCCAAAACCATCCGGTCTCGAGCCAGGGAGGCATTGGGGTTTGACAACGGGTTGATTGGAGTGTCTATTCGAGACCACAGAATCACCTATATCCAGAACGGTGTCGATTGGCAGCAAAACGCTACAAAAGGAATGATGAACAAATTTCTCAAGTATCTCCCGGATATGGATCTTGCATTCAACTTTCATGATGAGTCCCGTGTTATTCTGTCCTACGAGGACTTGACAAAATTGGTAAAAACAGCTAAGGAGAAGACCATGCCTGCAGCGTTTTCGAAATTACAACTTGCCAATGATTTTACTCAAACAAATGAGCAGTTGCATGATGGGAAGTCGTTCGAGGAGACGACTCTGACACGATTCAACTCTTTTGCCCACCAATCGACCTGGGCCCATTCGCGCCTTTCCTGTTCACCAGATACACCAGCTCGATGTCTCGAAGAAGACGAGACTGTTGATTATCGAAGCAAGTACGGCATGAGTGATCTTGGGTTCGTCTACAACACAACCGCCATGTCCGATATCTGTCTATCACCCAGCCTCAAATCCAACTTTGGTTTCTTTGGTGGCCCAAACACATACAGGATTGTACAAGATCTCTTTCCTATCTTCTCACAATCCAAGATCTCGTCTTACAGCGATCTCGTATATCCTTCACCCTGGGACTGGGCTGGAATGGTGGAATATGATGAGGAAATGGATATGGAGTGGCCTAAGAAGGAGAGCAAGCTGTACTGGCGAGGTTCAACCACAGGAGGATATAGCCGTGATGGTCGCTGGCGACGTCAACACCGTCAGCGTCTTGTTCAGAAGCTTAATGCACGGGATCAAGCCCAGATTCTTACGAAGCAGGATAAACCGTCTTGGGGAGCCAGCGAGGTTCCTCGAGGTGACTACAGCGACATGGTTGACGTCCGCTTCTCTCATATCGGTCAATGCGACCCAGGCGACTGCGAGGCACAGCGGGCATTTTTCAATGTCACCGAAGCTGTCGATCAGCAAGATGCGTGGTCCTACAAATACCTCCTCGACATGGATGGCAATGCATTCTCAGGCCGTTTTACTGCCTTTCTGCGCAGTCGCAGTCTGACGTTCAAGCTCGCCGTGTTTCGCGAGTGGCACGCTGAATGGCTCAAGCCATGGGCTCATTACGTGCCACTAAGTATTCAAGGAGATGACTGGCTCGAGGCAGTTCGTTTCTTCGAGAACGAGGAGGCTGGCCGTCAAGAAGGTGAACGCATTGCTGCTGCTAGTCGAGAGTGGGCAAACCAAGCTGTTCGCCAGATCGACATGGAAGCATGGTTCTTCCGCTTGATGCTGGAGTAAGACTCCTCCCTGAACACTTTATTTGTGCCCTCCCAAAGAAATACTAACATGATGCAGATATGCTCGGGTGATAGACGACAAGAGAGAAATTATTGGCTACGATCGTAGCAGCGCGAACAACAAGCTACCCAAAGACAAGGTCGCGGAATGAATGGACTGAACTTGGCTGAACGATACACGTGTATGGATTATGAGAAATAGAGCAGAAGGTGGGATATTTTGACTTGCGAGGCATGATTGGCGTTATGATTGATTGCATCAAGATATCAACATTATATATAAGCAAGTCTCAGAATAGAGCGAACATAGTGTTTACAATATCAAATTTTACTAGGCCTGAAATCTATAATTAATGAGTCATGCGCCGCAATCCTTGCTTTCGCCGAGTACACACTCCTTTCTCTATCCTCAACGCGGTCAGGTCTTGGATCATATGCCGCTGAATACTCTTACGCGACATTTGTGTTTATTCCTTTAAAAGGCACGACTTCCTGATGTTACCATCAACATCGCGTTCGATGACCACCTATTCGTCATCCTCACCTTCTGCATCGTGCTCCTCAGAAACCGACCTTGAGCGACGAGCCGCTGGGCTGCTGCCCCGGTGGTCAACGTCCTCTTCGCCTTCAGCATCCTGGCCCTCGTGGTGCTCCTCCTCTTCTTCGGCAGGTCCTCCACCAAGAGGATGATCATGATGCGCCTTTATCATCTCACGAACCTCCTCAGTGGGGTCCTCGACAGTGATGTCAAGCTGATCGATAACTTGCTCCTCCTCGGCAATACCGATATTTCGTGCAATATTCTTTGTTCGTTGAGGTCGGACAGTAGATTTCTGCTGGACAGGATAATAGTACACAGCCTTTTGGTTGGGGTAGAATGTGTCTTCATTGTACGATAAGATGATCTCCTCGTCATACTTGGTCGCAGCTTCGAACTCGACCTCTTGAGCCGTCTCATAGCCTCGGAGTCGTCTAAACTGAAAGCAGCCGCCGGCATCTGATTGGTGAGTGTAGAGTTCATCGTCGTTGTGGTCGGCATCCTCGACATCGAATTTGCGACGGAAGCGTTCCCCAGCAGTAGCTGAAGCTGCCAGGTAGTATTCGTAGTTCATTGTATTCTGAGGCTTCGGAATGTTGTCGGGATCTTGCTCGTGGGCTGCCACAGCTGCTTCGTACGCCTCTTCTTCTTCTGGTGTTCGATCGATAGGCTTAAACAAACCGCTCAGAAGACGTCTGTCGTACTGTTTTGCGCTGACCACAGGGCCCTGGTGAAATTTGATCGTGACGTATGCGCCAGTGTCCGGGAAAGCATCGAGATCGGGGATAAGAGGCGACACGTCGACCACCTTGAGGTTTTTCTTGCTGGGATGTTTGGCGCGTTTGGGGTCGTTGAATTCTTGCTCTGCGATTTCGAAGCCCTTGTCGATCTTGCGCTTGATGGCATGAGGAGAATCGGCAGCAGGTTCCGGAACACGTTTGTTCCTGTTGGCTTTCTTGAGCATGGCACTAGGAATAGCTCCATCCTTGCGCTTCGAGCTGCCTGAAGAGATGTATTCTGTTCGGCGAAGGAAAGAAACATTGGCCTCGGCGGCCTTCATCTTTCCAAGAGCAGCGATGGGTCTTAGGAGCGGTCGATCATGAGGGTGAAGAGTGGCAGGATGGGCAGGAGCTTGAATGGCTGAGCAATAGTCAGTATTACCAAGTTTTAACACAAAAAAAAGCCAACTCACATCGTTCATCGCCATCGAAAACGCCAGGCATTCCCACCAAGTCAAGGGGCATTCCGAGCTCGGCGTCCGCCTCAATGTTCAGCGGTTGTTCCCTCGCAAGACGCGAGGCGAAGCCTGGCGTCGTGTACTGTCCACTCGCAAGACCAGTATTAGGGATATCGAGCAGCTTCGGGGGATGTGGTGGCGGAGGGAGCGCATTGGAGTATCGGATTCGAGCGATGAAGTCCTGGTGAACCATGCGCTCGCCGGGGCGAGAAGCTGAAGATGACATGATTATAGATTTGGCGATGACCGCCTGGTTAACGATTTGGTGTAATTAATATCGTCGCGATGTGTTTAGAAGATGAGGGAGCGCGAGTCGTTGTTGGTTTTGGGTTGTAAGTTGACTGGAGAAGCTTGAGCACGAGCGCGGCTGAGGCTCGAGGTCAGGAAATATGAGAATTGCGGCGCGAGGCTACTGGCTTGTCCAAGCTCCACGCCTGTGTATATGTATAATCGCAAATACTGAAACGATGCAGCAGAAATACTGCCTAGATTAATTGGTATTAATGTAACAAATTAATTCAATTCGCGCAATCCAAAGATTCATAATCTCATGGTATTCTCATCAAACCTGTATACTTGTTCCAAAGTAACAAATAGATCCCACATTGTACTACCACCGTTCATCGCCACAAATACACTCACCATATCCATACTGCATAATTGCCAGATATTTTAATCATTTCAATTGTCATTTTCATTAAATGCCTCGTCTTCGCTATTTTTTCATGACCCCAAGCCCAGTCAAATCTATAGCTAGGGTGCGTTCGTTCAAACTACCCATATCCGTTATCGCCGAATCCCATTTGAATTTGCGTTATAGCCCATCAATTCTGCCTCATGATTGTAATACACGCCTCGGAACACACATCGTATTATAGTGCAGCTTGATAAAGCTGGCCTTCGTGGTAATACAGGACACGCGGGTATCTCGTGAATCGAGCCACCTGTCGTGCTGAAGAAGAAAATATCCTGGAAAGCTCTGGTTGTTTACGAACTGTTCTTGGCGTAGTTCTTCTTGCCAACGGTGAAGGGAACGTAGCGGTACTTGATCATGTGCTGGATTTGCTTGCGCACTATAGATAGTCAGCTTTGTAGTTATACGTTTACACAGGCCCAACTTACTGGTCAAGAAGAAAAGGATGAACCAGTACATGACCAGAACAGGCCAGAAAACTGGCACGTTGAAGACCTCGAACCAACTGCAGGTAAAGCCGATGACAATGGCTCGGGTGGCCCAGTACCAGAACTTGAACTCGGGAAGTCGGCGGATGAAGGGCTTGAACTCCTCGTCGGACTTGGTAGGCAGGGTGCCTACAGAGCCGTCCTCCATATCATTGTCGGCTTCTTCATTGGAGGGATCGAATTTGGGCTGCAGGAAAGCAAGAAACAGATTCAGAAGGTAGATGCCGAGCGCATAGGCAACTGAACATCGATTAGCATGGTTGTCAGGTGAGAACAGGAACTAAGGACCAAACATACCGATGTACCAGCCCTGCGCAACCAAGATTCGCAGGAAGAAAAGCACGAGGCAGACAACTGTGCCGACCCATCTATAGAGAACGAAAGGGGTTGACTGGTCTAGCAAAGCTTGGTATTTCTATATCAATCGTCAGAAAAGTCGCAGGATGCGATGAACGGCGTTCAAAGACATACTCGCTGGATCCTTGAGGTGTGGACACTGACAGCCTCGAAGGGGGTCTGCTCAGGCTCTGGCGCATTCATTTTGAATAGAGTGTATCGATTCGCGGCTGTTGATCGAGGTAGGTCGTTTCTCAGTGAAGATGTCGCAAGTGCCAACCAGAACTTCGAGTCTGATCGTGCGTGGGAGACAGCGACTATAGTTTCGCTGGATTGAATTGGTGCGAAAGAAGGAAAAGGATGGCGAAATCACGATTGTAGAGATAACCAGGCTTCGAACTTTTGTTGGAAATAGAGATACAGCCACGTAACGGAAGGCAGCTAAAAACAACCGGCGCTTTACCGGACAAAGGAGAACCGTTGACAGGCTAGACAGGCAGGTTGTTTGGTGGCCTCCCTTGTTAATCTACAATCTTATTGGTGATTAAAGCCAGATTGCTTAGGTCCTGACAGGCCCTGACTCCTGGGGAGCCCCCTTGGACTAGGATAGACCCCACATATGGATGAGGCGCAGTTTGCTTGGGGTTTATTTCACCCCTGCCCAGTTCATGTGGGCAATCTACAGTCTAGGTAACTAACAGTGAGTAGCTTTGATTGAAACAAAACTGTCAACAGCCTTTGTGAATCAGGGATGTCTATGATAGTGCTTTTCTTAGGGGCGCTGCATCTTCCAAACTTATTAAATACGTTCATTCGTTCCAACCCTTCAGATATTCTTTTATATGAAGTGCATTAGCTCTTTCCAAGTACTATAACTGTGTGTTGGCTGGGCTGACATATTACCCAAGCTATCAGTGCCATTCAATTTCTACCACACACGAGTGTCATGAGCACAAAAAGACGAAGCAAGTACCTATCATATGTTACTCATGCAACAGAACATCAAATCATGGACCCTCAGACCAAGTAGCAGTATCAAAACAAGCACGTGACGTCTATCGACAATCATCCCCGTCTCATCGGCTTTGTAATGGATATGGCCGGCCCATGTTATCCTCGGCTCTTTTGTCCAGTTGCGTCACTGGGGAAGCTTAAAGCACCCCCCAACCAGTCAAGCTCTTGTTGACCTGGCCTAGACTCTGTACAAACCCAATTGCTTCAGATACGCAGGTTGTTTCTTCTATAGTATAGACTCGTTATCCGTTTTCTATCTCTAGAACTTTACAATGAACGCCTTCCGCTGCTTGAGACCTGTCGCCGCTCGAGTGCCTTTTCAAAGGTCAACTCTTCCTCGAGTTGCCAGAGCTTACAGCTCCAAGACCTACGAATATATCCAGGTTTCACAGCCCAAGCCTGGTGTCGGTCAGGGTAAGAATATCCCACTATTTACTTAGAATTCGGCAGCTAACTATTCTGTCAGTGACACTGGACCGCCCCAAGGCTCTCAATGCTCTTTGCACACCTCTTATCAAGGAGCTCAACCAGGCTCTTCTTGAATTCAATGCAGCCGATGACACTTCAGTCATTATCTTGACCGGATCTCAAAAGGCTTTTGCCGCTGGCGCCGATATCAAGGAGATGGCCCCTCTCAGTTTCGCTGAAGCTTACACCAACTCCTTCATAGAGTCTTGGTCCGATCTCACCACTCAAATTAAGAAGCCCATCATCGCTGCTGTCTCAGGTCACGCTCTAGGCGGAGGCTGTGAGCTGGCTATGATGTGCGATCTTATTTACTGTACCGAGAATGCCAACTTCGGCCAGCCTGAGATCAAGCTCGGTACTGTTCCTGGTGCTGGAGGCAGCCAACGCCTTACTCGTGCCATTGGCAAATCAAAAGCCATGGAGCTCATTCTCACTGGCAAGAACTTTTCTGGAGTTGATGCTGAGAAGTGGGGACTCGCTGCCAGAACTTTCCCAACTCATGAAGCTTTGATGGAGGAGACTCTCAAACTCGCTGAGACAATTGCTGGCTACTCCAAGGTCGCTGTTCAAGCCGCTAAGGAGGTTGTCAACAAGAGCCAGGACCTTGCTCTTCGCGACGGTGTGGAGTTTGAGCGAAGAGTATTCCATAGTTTGTTTGGTAGTCAAGACCAAAAGATCGGTATGAAGGCATTCGCAGAGAAGAAGAAAGCTGAGTGGAGCCACTCATGAGACAGATAATGCGAAAGATATTTAGATCAATGCGTGTCTTTGCTCCTGGTGAGAGAAATACATAATAGTCTAAGCACAATGGATAAAAATTCGGCCAAACACGTATGTATCATGATGTGCTGCCTTATACCTACACATTGGCCAACACACCATTGAACTATTCATGAGTGGAGTGGAGCAATAGCTTCTCAAGCTACGGAGGGTTGGTGCAAACTATAAAATCAATTCACAGCAATTTCTGATGAATTATTAAGCTCAAGCTTAGCTGTAAGAACCACTAAATAGAATGCACTGTATCGACGCTTGTATAAATATTCATGACTATCGTATTGCGTCAAGCGTCAGAGCCTCGAATGTCCTTTCTTTCCATTACTTGCTAACCTACAGTTCAGCTCTGCTGCTTGACTCGGCTTTTAGTGCAGATAATGTCTTACACGCTCCGCGGACATACATAGATAGACGTGACCCTGTCTATATGCAGTGTTAACCTTCCCATTTTCCAGGTTGCTGCCCAACCCATGTTCAATGTATTGTGACCAGCTTGAAAAGAGGTGTGTCGTGTAAATGCAGTTCTTCCTGACTGTCTTTCATGGGTGAGCCGTAAGGCCCAGACCGACCCCGCCACTAGCACCTTGTACAGTAGAACCTCTGGCAGTCGACAGAACATCATCCTCAACTTGCATCTTCAATCAGCCTCTACTCACCCAGCGCTGGCTATTGTTGGCGCCCGCGCTTTCTTATTTTCCCATATCAAGGGTGATATTTAATACAGTATCATGAATGGAGCCTACAAACACTGGCTTGGACTTAGAAAAGGAGCTGACGTGCTCTGTAAATCTCCCCGCCTTTTGGTCTCCAGAGTCAATAACCGCCTACAGTAGCTAACTATGCGCGCAGATATGCACGGAGCTCCTTTACCAGCCTTTGACTCTGCTTGATTGTCTTCATACGTTTTGCGGTGCTTGCTTGAAGGAATGGTTTACTTTTCAGGCCGCGACGGCCGAGCGGTCGCCAAACCCACCTGCTCCAGGCACCAATATCTTTACATGCCCATCGTGTCGAGCTACTGTACGAACCACCCAACATAATGCCACCGTCGTCACTCTTCTGGATATGTTCATCGCAGCCAGCCCTGGAAAAGATCGCTCTGCGGTGGAAAAAGAAGAGATGGCCAAAAAGTACAAGCCGGGCGATCAAGTCTTGCCAACAATCAATACTCGCCGAACGGCTGAGGAGCGACGTGCTGATGCTGAGGATAGAAGGTTGATAGAAGAGGTCAGAGAGCTGAGCTTACAAGAAGCCGGCGTTTCTTCAGCACCGCCAAGGACGAGACGGAGGCGCGAAAGTCGATCTGCAGATGACAGGAGAAGATCAAGCAGAGACAGGGAAAGGGACCGGGAAAGGGATCGAAGTTTGGATGGCCGCCATCAGCGAGGAAACCGCCGCCCGCGAATAGACGACGGAAGCCAGCATAGTTCCGACCAACTGCCAGTGGAAGGGGAACGACGCCGCCGACGTAGCGAGTCAAGACAACGCCAGATCGAGCACCAGTCATCCATTCGATCACTCATAAGCTCCGGTGACATGAGCGAGAGGGATATCGAGCGGGAAATAGAGTCATTTGCAAGACAGATTCAGGAAGAAGGGCTCCTCGACGGACTCGACTTGGATAATATCGATTTGAGTCGCGACGACGAGCTTAGTAGGAGAATCACTGAGGCATACCGACGGCGTCAGAGAGATCGAACACGCCAAGAAGCACGGAGAAATAACTACCCTCCACTGACACGACCTGCTGAGGCCTCAGCGGCAGACGCTCGTATGTTGGCACCTGAAGGAGGTCGAACAAGGGAAAGATCACGACCACATTCTAGGTCTGCGAGTGCTGCAAGTGCCACCAGTGCTGCAAGCCAAACTGAGGAACGAAGTCGTCCACAAACGAACGCAGCGTCAGCGAGTCTCGAAGTTCAGGAGCCGGTACGGAGGCCAAGAAGAAGGACCGCAAGTGGAGGTCGTAGCTCGACCACCCCGATATTCCCGACCGCAACTGCAACTGAGAACAGGCCTGCTGCTCGGTCATCAACTGACCTAGGCTCGAGATCCCAAACTACTGATCCTACCCAGTCCCGGCCTAGCCTCAGCGAAGGACGTAGTACAAGTACCCCTATTCATACCGCGCCGTTTCCAAACCCTACGGAAGCTCCATCGAGTACCAACACTGGGAGCCTCTCATTTGCCAGTCGCCAGGGGAACGTGGCGAGTGCATCAGTTCCTCCTTTATTCTCTCATCATGACCCTGCAGCTGGTCGCTCGAACAGGCCCCGTCCTGTTGACCTTGCAATCGTCCACCAGACAGTGACCAGCCCGACCAGCAGTCCAACAGTTTCGGCGCACCAGAGGACAAGATCACACCTATATCCGGAGCCTTCTGTCAGCTGCTCTCGATGCAATAGGCCGCATATCGAATATGAGGTGCACTACAACTGCTCTATTTGTGCTAACGGGCAATGGAACATGTGTCTCGACTGCTACCGAGCTGGGAAGGGCTGTCTCTACTGGTTTGGATTCGGCTATGGTGCCTGGGCAAAATGGGAGAAAACAAGGCAACAGCAAGGGGATCCTTCTCTGGCAAAGCCGCACATGTTGACTGCGAGTCGCTACCGGCCTCCTCGCTCAGCTCCTGGTGGGGCTGATGGACGAAAAACGCTCACGACAGACGATCCCAGGCATCGATTAGAAAGCGGTACATTCTGTGCAAACTGTTCTGCTTGGACAAATGATTGTTATTGGCGGTGCAACATATGTAATGAAGGCGATTGGGGCTTTTGTAACGATTGTGTGAATCAGGGGAGGTCCTGCACACATACTCTACTACCTCTAGCTCACGAAGCCACTCAGCCAAACCAAAGTCGATCTGGCAGTCCTCCTAGGTCGCCAGGTCGGCCAACAGCCGCTACCATACTCAAAGGCCCCAATGCATCCAATATTGGGCCCTTCAAGCCACTGACCTTCACGACACGCTGTGACATCTGTCAGGAACCCATTCAGCCGAACCAGGCACGGTATCATTGCTACCACTGCACAAGTACTTTGGTTCCAGATGCTACGCCAGGCGATTACGATATATGCTCCTCCTGTTATGGCAATCTAGTCACCCAGCGACAAATAAGCCCTGAGAACGGCCACTCTGGATGGAGGAGATGTTTGAATGGCCACAGAATGGTGGTTGTCGCGTTTACAGATGGGAAAATCGGACTATGGCGGTACATAGCCCAAGACCTAGTGGGAGGCAGAGGACTCAAGTCAGATGCGCCAGAAAAACCGGAACACCGCGAACAGGGCCTCCTGAAATGGGTCTGGCACGACGACGATCAAGAACTTTCCCGGCTCGTCACGAGAGATGTATCAGAAACCGCGCCGACGGAGAGTGGGTTTATTCAGACTTTTCCCCCTGATGGCGGAGTGGGAATGAAAGCGACAGCGAGATTTGGCTGGTACCCGAAGGCGGGAGCCGACGATGAGCTTCTCTTCCCACGAGGAGCGGAAATAAAAGAGATTGAAGATGTTAACGGAGAATGGTTCTTTGGAGCATACATGGGTTCTCGAGGTTTGTTCCCAGCACCATACGTGCGGTTAGAACAGAATACTCCTTGAAGATATAAAAGCTGAGCGTTATGCTGGATACCTGGAAGATGAAATACCCTTGGATATTTACCACTTATCAATATTTTACCTGGACATTTAACCATTTTTATAAATGCCTGATTTGGATGACCGTCGCTACCTACCTAACACTGAGATCTAATGACGCCTTGGTGGAAGTCGGTGCAGGAATACCGTCCCATCGCCGACAGCCCGGGATTGCGCCATTGCCGATCGCGGCCCCACCATCAAGTACTTCCCATATTACCAAGCTGAACCTCCACGATTAATCACCAACCCTCCCTAGCCTTGGGAAGCTTTGTCAATTGGTTTTTGTTAGGCCCGCGAAGCTTTGTATCAAAAATATGTTTCGTCCCAGCGCTAGAAGGCTCGCCGCCACTGCGGCCAAAGCCGCTGCAGCTCCTACGTCCCATACTCTTAATGTCGCTCGAGCTCAAGGTGTCTCCCGAGGTTTGACTGGAGGTGCGCATTACTTGGATTCTACTAAAGCGTACCCAACAAGCTAAACTATTATAGCTATCGGAAACACACCTCTCATCCGTCTTAACCGCCTCTCCGACGAAACCGGCTGCGAGGTTTTGGGCAAGGCCGAGTTCATGAACCCCGGTGGCTCTGTCAAGGACCGTGCAGCTCTCTACGTTGTCAAGGACGCCGAGGAGCGAGGACTTCTCAAGCCCGGCGGTACTGTCGTCGAAGGCACCGCAGGAAACACTGGGATCGGCCTTGCCCACGTCTGCCGGTCTCGCGGCTACAAGCTTGTCATCTACATGCCCAACACCCAGTCCCAAGGCAAGATCGATCTTCTGCGGCTCCTTGGTGCTGAGGTCTACCCCGTTCCCGCCGTCGCTTTTGACAACCCTGAGAACTACAACCACCAGGCCCGTAGACACGCAGAGCGATTGGACAATGCCGTCTGGACAAATCAGTTCGATAACACAGCTAACCGCCGTGCGCACATCGAGACGACAGGTCCTGAGATTTGGGCGCAAACAGATGGAAAGGTTGATGCGTTCACATGCGCTACTGGCACCGCTGGTACATTGGCAGGCATTACAAGGTATCTGAAGGACGTCTCCAACGGCCGGGTCAAGAGCTTCCTCGCCGACCCTCCCGGTAGTGTCCTCCACTCTTACGTATCCTCCGGTGGCAAGCTTAACGAGCGCACTGGCTCCAGTATTACTGAGGGTATCGGACAGGGTCGCATCACTGACAACCTCCAACCAGATATCGACCTGGTGGATGGTTCGCTTCACATTTCGGACGAGAAGAGTATTGAGATGGTCTACCGCTGCTTGGATGAGGAAGGTCTTTACCTTGGCGCCAGCTCTTCCCTCAACGTTGTTGCTGCTAAAGAGGTTGCTGAGAAGCTGGGCAAGGGCCACACTGTTGTTACTGTTCTCTGCGATGGCGCTTACAGATATGCCGATCGATTGTTCTCTCGCAAGTGGTTGACCGATAAGAAACTTCTGGGAGCTATTCCCAAGCACTTGGAGAAGTACATTGTTCTACCATAGAACGTGCCTTTGAAGGAATCTAGATGATACATATATTTTACATGAAAACCACCATCAATCTTTCCATAATAGTTTTGGATGAAACCATCGTTGATTAGTTGGAGAACAACATCTCAGTGGTTGTCTAATCCATAGTCAAGTATTTCTCCCAATCAGGCTTCCGGCCTGTAATACGTTCATATTCGAGACCAAAGCCTTTCCTGTTTTCAGAGCCTGCCTTGATGAAGTCTTCGGCATGTTTTTCCAGCAGGTCATGGAAATGCGTCAGGTTCTTTGCGTCGTCGCCAATAATTTCCTGTGCAAGTTCCACCGCTCTGATGTTCTGAGCAAGTACCCTAACATAGTAGTAGGGGCTGAGAGGGTCCTTCTTCGTCCGGGTCTCTTTGTCACTGCGTACGTTCAACTTGTGCCACGAGGGGACCATGCCGCGATGCCGCTCAATTTTGCACGCTGCGGCGATGAACTCTACGTTATCCCGCAATTCTTTGGTGAGTTTCTCGACAGACTCTCCGGCTGCCTGTTGCGCTTGGATTGTATGTGCTTGGCTGAAAAGAAGAAGTCCTCGGATGGTAGGGCTGAAGTGAGCCAGCCTAGAGATTAACTCTTCTTTCCGTTCGTGCTGTGGACGTTGTATCAGATCCCAAATCAGTTGATTCCATTTCAAAGCTTGCAGAATATCTTGCTCTTCTCGCGTTGAGTCGTAGATCCTTTGGTTGATGGATGACATTAAGAGGGTGATTGAGGAATCGTATCTTAGAGTAAGGCCAGTCTTGTCAGCCTGCTTGGCGCACTCAATAATGGAATATTCCTGCTGGGCGTCGCATGCCCTCCGAATCAAGGACGAATAGTGCTCCTTTTCTAGCTTAATCCCAGCCCTCTTGTAGCCGGCGAGGAACGTAGCGATGTTGTCCCATTCCTCCTTGGTCTTCATTAGCTTGGTCGCTTGCGTGAGTGCTGTCTTTGAATTCGGGATGTCCTTCTTTATATCGATTGGCGAAAATGTATGCTCAAGGCCATCAAGCTCGATAACGATGGGGTTGCGCCGCATGAAGTCGCTCTTGCTTGGGTTATAGACAATCTTCCTCTGTGTCTCGGGCAGGTATGCTGGAAGGATGATCTTCTCCTGAACATCGATAAGAATTTTGTTCAACTCGGGGTTTTCGGTCTCTGCGAAGACGGCACTCAAGCCTAGCAAAGTGTCAATGGGTTTATCTCATTATCAATGCCTTCTGTTTTCGAGTTGACCTACATCGGGTAGGAGTTGCACTGAAGCGTCGGTATTGGGGCGCAGGGTTTGCAAGGGACACTCGCAAATTCGCAAGCGGCCTGAAGGCCGGCATGATTGACCTGTTCAGCATCTTGCTGGCTGCGCAACTCAATGATCGAGCTGGTCCAGAAAAATGGCTGTTTTTTTTATGAATTAGCAGATATTCAGCACCAAACTTACCTTACAACGGTGCTCTTGAAAATAACCCGGGCGGACAAACTGCGGGACCGCACCAATCAAATTTGGGAATTGGCATCGTTGGGTCATGAACATTGTACGTAGCTCCAGAAATTCTAGCCTGGCTCAACTTCATTGTCGTATCTTTCGCGGCAAGTCACATCGCAATGAACGTCGCAAGCCTGGGACGGCCAGTCGGCTGTCTCAAGACTGCCTTCCGACGAACGAGATTCCAGAGGAGTTTCCAGAGAAATGCCTCTTCAGTAGCCGCTGTTGAGCCTATGGCTAAGCGGATCTCAAATGCCTTCAGCGCTGAGCAACGTACGTTTTTTTGTGTCTGTCGTTACGAATTATATCACTGACACTATCTAGGGGCGGATCTTGCCAAGGTCAGCAAATTTTACATTCATCCTCGCGTCCCGAGCATTCGCAGCACACACCCCGATCCCATGCCCGCACTCTTGGAAAAGCAAATCACCAAACTCGATCCAACCGGCGCACGCACACGACTTTTCTCCAGGGAACATGCCGACAGCGCCAAGGTGGGAGATGTCCTGATGGTAACAACAAAAAGCGGCGAGCCCTTTGCTGGCGCTTTTCTTCAAATCCGACGCCGGGGCCAGGATACGGCCATCCAACTGAGAGGACAGATGATGAAGGTGGGCGTTGAGATGTGGTTCAAGATCTACAGCCCAACAGTGACGGGTATCGATATTATCTGGCGACGACCCAAGAGGGCACGACGTGCTCGTCTCACATACATGCGCAAACCCAAGCACGACATGGGCAGTGTGGACCAGATGGTGTTTGCCTGGAAGAAGGAGAGATATACTCTACGGTCACGGGCCAGTCAGACTGGAAAGCCGGCTGGAAAGCAACATGCCAGGATTCTCGGACAGAAGAAGCCATAAATGAATTCCGGCATTGGGGATGGTTGTATGATAAATTGTGTATAAGAATTTGTATAGAGTGTATCAATCACTTTATGAAAGTCTCCGTTTGTCATCAACCCTCACTATATGGAAACGACGATACTTCAGCGGCCCCCAGTGTCATCATTTCGCTGTGTTGAGATTCGAATCGTCAAGCCCACCGGTTCTGATCATCCCATATTACATATCTGGACCTTATTCGAGACCAATCGTCCAATGAAAGAGGAAGGACCAAATAGATTCGGCTGAGCTATACTGGTTAATATACGACATGTTATTAGGTCTGCGGTTTCTACTTCATCCTTCTTTGGGCACGTCCCCTATGTTGATATCTATACGTAGGTAAGCCTGAACATGATGCGAATTATCTCTCTAATAATAGCAAGTTCTCGAATGTCGCCAATAGTGATACTTGATTTCAGTAAAGTGCGCTATTTCTGCGATACAATATTTGTAGTCCTTTATCATTCGTACCTAGTGGGTATGCACCATATGATGGTGGTGTTAATGCAAATGGCTTGTCTGAGACAGTTATCGTCAGCAACTGATTAAATCCCGGAACAGTCAACAATAGACTACTCACTCAATCCGTGGTTTGGTATGTAATGTTTTAAAGAACAAGGGATTCCTCCTCGATTGTTACTGTTTCCTTTCATATCTCGACTAGATAGGTTTGAACTCATAGGTTGTAAAGGAGTTAGGTGCTTATGGGAGGTTACACTAAGCCCATGGCTCTTTCAATACCACCTATATGCTATGCTATACGACACGGACAACTGCCCTTATTTTTGGTTAAGCTAAAATTTTACTATAAAGATGATTAGCTCAACTCGCATAAGAAAGGGGGTTTACACGTTTCACGAACCGTTCAACGTTTACAGCCAGTCGACCGCTTACACGCGTTCAAGTTTAGGTTAGGTTGTTTAACGAGTAATATGGAGATGAACTGTTTCTGCCACTCCCCAATTGTACCCCTCCAAGTGGCACCAAAAACAGCTGAACAACGAACGCCATGCGCCGGGATTTGCAACCGGTCGCAGGGACCCCCTGGAAATAAACTCCCGTTCCCGTGCATTTTAGTTGACATGTGCATTGAGTCTCGAGTGTGAAACTTAGTAGTAGGTCGCTACTAAACAATTGAGTAAAGTATGGGGAATATCAAAAAACATTATAATAGAAACAACTTAAACAGCATTCACTGTTTGTCCCACTAGGACTAAACCTCTTTACATCATGCTGTTCATTATCTCAAGGGTAATGCAGTGGTATGGATCTTATGCGAGGAGGTTCACAAGGTGCTGGGGATGAAAGAGATGGAACCCAATACTCAAGTATAAACCCAACAGCAGCCGCCCTCTCGATTTAATGCCTGAAAAAAGAGACGTATTAATTTGAACATTCATATAACTTCCACCTCTGCCTCGTATCTAATCCTAAATTACCTTTATACCACCTTCAAAGGCCTCCAACCAACTGAGAGACGCCCTGCCTGTCAACAGCCCATACCTAACCTGGCCTAACTTGGCACCTTAACAGGGGCTCACAGCAACCGCTAGAACGTGTCCCTCAGAACTAAAAATGGACGCTATTAGGAATTCCGTCAAGGCTTTTCAGGGGATGCTTCCACTACAACCCGGTAACCTGGATGGTAACGAGAAGTTCCCCGATTTTTGTTTACACTTGGAGGCACAGTGCAGCAACGACTCCCAGGATAAGGACCAAGAGAACGAACAAGAGCAACAACACGACCAAGGCCTTGACAACAACAAATCTAAGCAGCGTCATCCCCATTTCCATTATCCACGTCCGCATTCCCCATCAGCTTCAATATCGGAATCATCTCGCTTATCGTGCATCTCCACCGCCTCGGCCTCGGCTTCATCTTCTACATCCTCGAGGGTCTCGTCCGCTTCATTCGACTCATTTTCGACTCCAATCTCCCTTTCTCTCGACTCCTCTTTACACTCTCCCCGTTCCTCACTCGCCAGCAACACTTACTCCTCGCCTGTACCTGAGTTCATCGCCCGCAATCGATCCTTCACAGGCGCTTCTTTCTCCTCCGTCTCTTCCTCCCCACCGTCCTCACCGACCCCGCGCACCAGGCGGGACAAGTCACAACTGCATGCTGCTCGATCGCAACGGTCTGGAAGCACAGCTACAAACGCACCGTCACCTGTAGGGGTTCACAGAAAGGAACAATCGACAAGTCCAAGAAACTTCAGAAGCAATCCCACTCCTGCGGACGCTCTTGCTGCTGTTGAGTCGCATGACCCAAAGTTAATCAAGATGGCTTTTGCGGAACAGCAAAGATGGGTTACGGTCCAACAAAAGACCTTTACAAAATGGTATGTATTTTGTTCCAATTATAGTCTATAACAATCTAAAATTGGTTTCCATAGGCTCAATACAAAGATCGAGGCTCGCAACCTTGAGGTTAAGGACCTTGTGAAGGATCTTAGTGACGGTGTAAGTTGAACGAGAACACAACCTTGACCAGCTTGACTAATCCCTACGCCTAGGTTATGCTGATTCACCTCCTCGAATGTCTTTCACACGAATCGCTCGGCCGCTATGCCTCAAAACCCAAGCTTCGAGTACAAAAATTCGAGAATGCGAACACGGCACTCGACTTTGTCAAATCCAGGGGTATTCAGATGACCAACATTGGTGCGGAGGATGTTGTTGATGGTAACCAAAAGATTGTTCTGGGTCTCATCTGGACACTGATTCTCCGGTTCACCATCAGTGACATCAACGAGGAGGGCATGTCAGCAAAAGAAGGCCTGCTGCTTTGGTGTCAAAGAAAAACGGCATGTTACGACGAGGTCGAGGTGCGAGATTTTAGTGGCAGCTGGAACGACGGTTTAGCGTTCTGTGCTCTACTGGATATTCACCGACCAGACCTTATCGACTACGATGCCTTGGACAAGTCAGACCACCGAGGCAACATGCAACTGGCCTTCGATATCGCACATAAGGAGATTGGTATCCCCAAGCTGCTGGATGTAGAGGATGTGTGCGATGTTGCGAAGCCCGATGAGCGATCCCTGATGACTTACATCGCCTACTGGTTCCACGCATTCTCGCAAATGGAAAAGGTCGAGAATGCTGGTCGTCGTGTTGAAAAGTTTGTCAATAACATGCAAGGCGCTTGGGAGATGCAGAGTGCGTACGAACGACGGATGCGGGCACTCCTGAAAGCCATCCAGGAGCGAATCGAGGTTTGGAAGGAGGCCACATTCGAAGGAACCTACGTCGATGCCAAAGCTCAACTGAACCAGTTCTTTGATTACAAGAGAGGCAAGAAGCGAGAATGGGTTGCCGAGAAGAGTGATCTGGCAACGTTGCTTGGAAACATCAAGACAAAGTTAGGCACTTATCGTCTGAGACCATACGACCCACCGGCGGAATTGAGTTTGGATGCTCTTGAACAGAGGTGGGCAGAGTTGGCATCAAATGAGATGAGACGCGCCCAGCTTATTAACGAGACCATTCGAGAGTAAGTCTATCCGCAGAAAGATATCTAACATTTTGACTGACTGTCTTTCAGCATCAAGAACGCCCTTCGCAAATCCTTTGCCGACAAAGCGAATGACTTTGCAATGGCTCTTAACACAATGCAGTTAGCCCTATCTGGCCTTGATGGCGATGTTGAAGACCAATTACACCATGTCAGGAAGCTTAGTGAAAGTCTTTCTCCTTTGGACCAGTACCTGGACAAGATCTCAGAACTGGACCAAAAGTGTCAAGAGGCCAACATTGAGGAGAACGACTTTACCACTTATACATACGACGAGCTGTCATACGAACTGGGTCTTGTCAAGACATCAGTGCAGAAGAAGCTTGCCTTTTTGGAAAACCAAATGGTCGCACGAAGCATGACAAACCTGACACCCATCCAGCTGGAAGAGTTTGAGAGTGTCTTCCGCCACTTCGACCGTGACGATACCAATTCTCTTCAGGAGCTCGAATTCAGTGCAGCCCTCGCGTCTCTTGGGCTTGTGTTCTCGGAAGATGAGATGCACGACTACTTCCATGCGACATCTGGTGGACGAGATTATGTGACATTTGAACAATTTATCCGATTCATGGTGGATGTGACAGAAGACCAGAACACGGCAGAGCAAGTTTACCAATCGTTCCGTGAGGTGGCAGATGGCAAGCCGTATGTGACAGAGATGGATTTACGACACAGCTTGGTACCCGATGAAGTGATTGACCAACTCGTCGAGATCATGCCCGCACACAGTGGGCCAGACATGTCAGAAGACCGAGGAATGCCGCAATACGACTACATTTCCTTTATGGAGAAACTGATCAACGAACAAAACAATGGCCAGGGAGGCCCAGAAACTGCCCAGTCGGACAGGTCTAATCCTGAGCCACAGAGCCCTCACACCAACGGGGTCTAGGAGGAACAAGAGGAGAACCAGTGGCTAGAGATGCATGCGTCTGTTCAAATGGAATTGAATATGAAGCTTAACCTAGCGTGCCCAAAAAGGAGGGGAGGGAAAGATAGGCAGAGGGAAGCCAAGCGATGAGACGATGGCCTTCATTCTCTGACCAATACAATACTCGACAGTGCTGTTTTTTTTGTACAGGCGAAGGTGGAGGGACTTTTGACAAATGAATATTCCATTGAGTTATACCAGAGAGTGGACGATTGTAGAGATGGAGAGATAGGATAACAACACTGGGCGGTTACCCAGCTTTCTTTGGGGACACCCGCCGTGAGAGTAGCTCTTTTTAGTTAATACCATGAAGAAACCAGAGACTTGACAAGTCAATGATTCTATTTATTGAGCCGATAAATCTGACACCCAACTTTTGCTTATATGCGAATTATCAAGTGCCGATCAAAAGTCCTTGTAATCTGAACGACGATCTGTGTGTTATGGCTATTGATGCAGGAACTTTGGTATTCCAAAACATGAAAATAGTGCATGCTCGTATCTATTTATGTAGTCAATGGTAGGTAAAAGAGTCTTACACATGCAGTCAAAATAGGAGGCAATTCAGTGCGGCGAATGCGCTTTATCGCCGCCTCTTGGTGTTAACCTGAATTCGGCGTATGGTTAATTTGGCCGAAGTATACTGAGACTTTTAGAGTGGCATGACCCGTTTGAACACAAAGTTTTAGGCCGTTGAGGAAAAATAAAGTAAATCCGATGACGGCGTCGCCGTTAATTGCGCGTTCTCTTATAGGCGACAAAGCAAGAACTGCCCCCCTGTATCAGTCAGTTATTCAATCACTTGCAGAGCCGGTGTCGGTTGTAGTCTATGTATTGTGTAGGTAGTCCAGGTTGTGTGTCAAGTGGGCTCCGCAGTTCCAGTCTTAGCCTTGCGCAATCCATTAACAAAAAGTTGCTGGGGGCAATAATTGTTACATCTTCGTTCTTCCTTCCCTTCTCTTGGCTTATGCTGTTTGCTTTGTTTATAACCGAATCGGGTCATCGAATAAAGAACCTGCGAGGTCAATTCGATTCAGAGTCAAATTGCCAGCATGTCTTGTCGTTCACAGCTCTTCCGCGCCCTCAGAGCGCCCACCTCTGGTAGCAGGAGGACTGCTTCTCTGAGGGCCAATGCTCTTGGTAGAGGCATCGTCCACTCCCAATCGCCTTTCCGATGCCTCTCCACCACAGCCGCGAGGCTCGTTACTCCCACGCGGGCTCAGCAAGGCAAGCTAACGTCCGAAATGTACCCGCAGCTCGAGCGCGACTCAAGGTTCGCTCAAGTGACGCCTGAGCATGTCGCGCGCTTCCGAGAGATCTTGGGCGACAACCCCTCGGCCATTATCGACGGTGTAACAAATGGAACGGGCGTAGACGCTGCCGATTTTGAGACGTACAACGAGGATTGGATGCACAAGTACAAGGGCCAGTCCAAGTTGGTGCTGAGACCAGGCACTACCGAGGAAGTCAGCAACGTCCTCAAGTATTGTAACGAGCAGCGTCTGGCTGTTGTGCCTCAGGGTGGAAACACAGGCCTCGTGGGAGGCTCTGTCCCTGTTTTCGATGAGATCGTCATTAGCATGGCCCGCATGAATGAGATCCGCTCCTTTGACGAGGTCAGCGGCTCTCTCGTTATTGACGCTGGCTGTGTCCTTGAGGCTGTTGATACGTACCTTGCCAAAAAGGGTTATATCTTTCCTCTCGACCTCGGTGCCAAGGGCTCATGCCACGTTGGTGGAAACGTTGCCACAAACGCTGGCGGCCTGCGATTGCTCCGTTACGGCAGTTTGCACGGCACTGTGCTTGGTGTTGAAGCCGTTCTGCCTAACGGTACCATCATCAATGACCTGTGTACCCTGCGCAAGAACAACACTGGCTACGATATCAAGCAGCTCTTCATTGGAGCTGAGGGAACTTTGGGTATTATCACAAAGATCGCCATCCAATGCCCTCAGCGATCACCTGCAGTCAATGTTGCCGTTTTTGGATTAGAGTCATACGAAAAGGCTCAGCTTGCTTTCCGTGAGGCTAAGAAGCAGCTGTCAGAGATTCTCTCCGCCTTTGAGCTGATGGACGGCCGTAGTCAGAGAATCGTTTCAGAGGTCAAGGGCCAGGAGCATCCTCTCGAGGGCGAGTATCCTTTCTACTGTCTCATCGAGACGAGCGGCTCCAACAGCGAGCATGACTACGCAAAACTTGAGGCCTTCCTAGAGGATGTTATGACCCGTGAGGTTATTGCCGATGGCGTCGTTGCCCAAGACGAGACACAGCTTCGCAACTTGTGGGGCTGGCGTGAGGGCATCACCGAGTGCCTTGGCCACTGGGGCGGTACCTACAAGTACGATATTTCAATCCCTCTTAACGAGATGTACAAGCTCGTCGAGGACACAAAGGCCCGTATGACTGAGGCTGGCCTATTGGGTGACACACCCGACCACCCAGTCGTTGACGTCCTAGGCTATGGCCACATGGGCGATTCCAACCTGCATCTCAACATTCCCGTGCGCAGATACGATCCCGCCGTCGAGAAAGCCTTGGAGCCTTGGGTATACGAGTGGATTCAGAAGCGCAACGGCAGCATCAGTGCTGAGCATGGCTTGGGAATCGCCAAGAAGAAGTTCATCGGCTACAGCCGAGACGACACCACTATCGGTGTGATGAAGCAGATCAAGAACCTATTTGATCCTGTAAGTTTGACCCCTGTCTATTCCAATGTTCCTTCCCGTCTCCGCGCTCATTTCTGTTCCATGTTTTGTGTGTTCAGCCCTACAGGGTTTATCACGCTGCTTTGTTCTCCTCGCTGTTACATTTCCTCCGAGCTTAGGGCTGACATCTGACCCAGAATGGCATCATGAACCCCTACAAGTATATCTGATACCCCTGTCTCTTGGTTTCGTATACGAGTGCCAGCATATACATATCTTACCCCCTTGCTCTGCAGCGTCATGCATTGCATGCTGCTTGCTCAACTGATTACACCCCCGTTTGAGCTATAGTAATTGTGGTTGTTACGGAGCGAATCAGAATGCGCAGACGTTTTGAATAATGGTGCCCAAAACATGATGTGAGCAATGCTGTGCCGTATTGCGACTGTGGGAGCTAGGAGAATATTGTATATCGATATTTAAGCCATGAAACGTGCATTGATTAGACGTCTGGATAAATAAAAACAAGAAGGGTTTGAACGAGTAGAGCAACGGTCAATTCATAAAGCGGAAACTGTCCCGTCGTTCGGAAGTATTCCAAGTCGGCCGCCTAACTCATCCATCCATGGCCATAATTTGGAATACTCCAAATGACTGAACGTTGCAGTATAGGTCAGTGTCAATCTTCCAAGTGCCAATATGTTGGGCTACATGCCGTTGCTTCCTCTGCTATCCTATCCTGTACTTGATAGGAGGGTAATGTGGGTTAATACCTCATGGTCATTTGGAATCTGTCATTCTCACCCTATGCCAACTGGTAAGCTCCAACTCTAATAGACTGATAACCAACGAGAGGCTATTACAACCCTTCCACACATGCAGTGCTTCCCTGTCAGCCTTATGGGGCTGCTGCACCTTAGAAACACGTTCTCCACACATGCCGATGCGCTAGACCAAAAGTTCCCCTGTAGGTGAAGACTGCTTGCTTATACGTAGCTTGGTAGCATACATCACCCATGCCCCAAAGTCCCTGTCGTGGGTCGTTGCCCATTGGCATCATCACTCATACCCTTGTGTCAGTTGATTCCTAACACAGCCCATTTCGTCATATCATCGAGTCCGAGCCCCAGCCCCAACCAGCCAAGGCAAGGTAAGGTAAGGTGTGCCCTTGGTGGATACGTAAGCAGACTGTCCCCCATCGGGCTTGGATTGATTCCAAGCGTCTATCTCGTCCAATTCGTCGTATATGTTGGATCTCATTTGCAAGATGAAACCATCGCAGGTAATTGCTATGCAAGACGACATATTTGAGCCTCTGCGCTGAGGTGACTTTACCCGCTGTTGGTAGTGAATGGCACCAGCCTTATGCATGTGTTGAATATGAACTTTTGTGATGTGTGGGGTGTTGGAAGAGTAGGTAGGCAGAATGCCTCACTGCAACTTATGCTGGTGACTGTTTAGTTGCAGCATCGCAGACGGCGTTTCCGAAATCCTAGCTGTGACCCAAATCGCTTGATTATAATAGTGGCCACCTCGAACACAAGTTGCGACAACAACATGCCCAACTCCTGAATCTATCTCTTCATCTCAAGTTAGTATTATGGTTGGTGTTCCCGGAAAATACAAAGGCTGCGAGACGTGCCGACGTAGGAGGGTCAAAGTTGGTATTCCAACCCATTGATGGCGAGTCAAGTCAAATTAACAACACCAAATAGTGTAGCAACGAGAGACCATACTGCCACAAATGCATAGCAAGCGGAAAGGAATGCGAAGGGTACGAGAGGGAACGAGTATTCATCACTGGTACACCACAGAATAAGGGGAGAGTCGCCTCCCATCCCAAGAAGGGGTCGTCGTCCAAGAAGCAAAGATCGCCATCAGCCAAAAAAACACCCAGAGCTCTAGAAATCACCCCAACCCAACCCCTCAAGTCGGCTTGGGAGAACCATACGTCCATGTCGAGTCAAGGTGCTGAGTATTCAGTCCTCGTCTCAGCCCTCAACGCCAGGCTCCCCTGTCCACTGCCGAACAATTCAGCTCGGGATGAATCTTCTTCGCCTTTCCATATTACGTTTCCACCATACACGCTGACTGAAATACAACCTTTTATGGGTGAAGGCGACCTTATCGTTAGAGCTCAATGTTTGGCACGAATACCAAATTCTCATGATCAAGATGACTCGGCGCAGAGTTATTGTGTTTTCTTTTTCGAGGTTGGTGCATGCATGGACTGATGGCTTTGGCCTCGATCGCACGTTGACTCCTATTAGCATGAAACAGCATATGCGTTCGGCGAATCTGGATCCAACCAAGTGAGAAAATTGGGTCCAGCTTATTTTGGCCATTTCCCTAATCACCATTTCTTCGTTCGGGTATATCGACCTTTAGCTGTAAGTAGCCCCTAGAAACATCTGTCACTTCTGTTGTACTAAGTGAGTTCAATACCGGATTTGCTCTCCTTAGGCGGCAATATACTTTTATCTCATCTCATGACTGGAGAACGATCCCGTGGCAAAGACATCCAAAATCTCTGCTGGACAGCCTCCTGGACCATGTCCTTTTCTTACCAGCAATTCTTGCTCAAGTCGATCATATAATGCCTATAGAAGCCACGCTCAGTCGACAATACCACGCCCAACAGCTTCTCCGCAGTTGTCTTTCGCTCGAAAGACACTTCAGTGCTTGGTTTCAGTTTGCAAACCGACCCAGCTACGGATATCCCATGGCTTACTGGGCCGATGAAATTATCAACCCTGGTGGTCTTCTTCCATTCTCAAATCTATACACCTTTAAAGACGGAAACACTGGACTTGCACTCCTATATTACTGGATGACACAAATTCATTTCCATCAATGCATTGAGAATCTGCACCGAATCATTTATCAGCCGGCCATCGATGCATATCCAGATATGTGGCCCAATTTGCCGTATGACTTGCAGATTGATATCACTCAATATCAGCATGGGCGTCTGTTTGCTGCGGATATTTGTCGCGGGCTAGATTCAGTCCTTCACGAGACTGCCCAGCCTGATATGCTAATCCTGCCGATGAAAGTAGCAATGGACTTTTATAAAGACATCCATGCGACTTCGCAGGACGGACTGATGGAGATAATGTGGATTGACAACTTCCGATTGCGGTTAGTCGAGAAAGGGCAGCATGTTGCTGGTGTTTTGCAAAGTCAAAAATGGTCTGAGGTTGCGACTTTCTGATGAAGGACGCTGGAGTGCTCTTCTTTAGAGGCCATGCTCTTAGTATACATGCCGCGTCGTTGTTTTTTCCCTTCTTTTTCCGCCGTTTTGCAATTCATGTAAATAACAAAACCTTGATTGCTTTGACAACACTTTGGTCTGATCCTCATATAGATTGATAAACAGCAGGACTGGAAGGCTTGTACGAGGCGATAAAGTCAGTGTAGAGTAAGATGGGGGAATTTTTGTAGGATAGAAGGATGGAAAGGAGCCCGCGGGATTGGAGAGCTAGTTATCGGTTTCAAGCAGGGCAGAATTAGTCGATGGAGTATGATTGATGGTATGAATTCCATTCAGATACATACATGAATGTAATGGAAGCTGCAAAGTGCGAGAACTCTGTGCGCAAACCTATACACACAGTCATCGGAGAGCGGAGAATTGATCCTCCGGCCTGGTTGCTGTCCGTTAGCTGGGGAGCTCCAGCTCTCAGCCTTCCTGCCCGTAGGTAACTGGCAGGCTGCCGTTCTGACGAAGCTTAGCACCCCAGCACATCAACGTCAACACCCATCGACCAAATCCAGCATCAACCCCTCGATTCGCTTTTATCATAACAACAGAAGCATTCCAAATTACTCACAATTACCGTGCTCTCAAAACCAAATCCCTCTAATCCTACATCATGGCTTCCGGATACGACAGAGCTCTGTCGGGTGAGTTCCTATAGTGTTCTATGCTTAATGATACATCGCTAACTAAAGATTCAGTTTTCAGGTCGGTTTCATAGTAACACTCCACGCGAAGCTTCCTAACATCCCACTAGTCCCGACGGTCACGTTTTCCAAGTCGAATATGCCGGTGAAGCTGTCAAGCGAGGTATGCATTAGGTTCTGGGTTAGCTGATATTGTTGCCGCGATGGCTTATACTCTTAACAGGAACATGTGCTGTCGGTGTCAAAGGTTCCGATGTTGTTGTGCTAGGATGTGAGAAGCGCTCGGCTATGAAGTTGCAAGATACTCGCATTACGCCTTCCAAGATTCAACTTCTCGATCACCACGTCGCTCTCGCCTTCGCTGGCCTAAACGCCGACGCTCGTATCCTCGTTGACAAGGCGCGGTTAGAGGCGCAGTCCCACCGTCTCTCAGTCGAAGACCCCGTCACCATCGATTATATCACTAAATATGTCGCTGGCGTTCAGCAACGATACACGCAGGCTGGTGGAGTCCGACCATTCGGCATTAGCACTCTGATTGTAGGCTTCGATCATGGCAGCAACGTCCCTCGACTTTACCAGACTGAGCCTTCTGGTATCTACTCTGCATGGTAAGATATTATACTTCTTCAAGGCGGAAGACACAACGCTGACTCTCCCAAAGGAAAGCAAATGCTATCGGACGCTCCAGCAAGACGGTCCGTGAGTTCCTCGAGCGAAATTACAAGGAGGATATGAACCGAGAGGCAACCATTCGACTGGCCATCAAGTCGCTGCTTGAGGTCGTTCAAACTGGAGCCAAGAACATCGAGATTTCCCTGATGGCGCCCGATGCTCTTATTGAGACACTGCCCACATCGGAGATCGAGGGTTACGTCAAGGAGATTGAGCAGGAGAAGCAGGAGGAGGCTGCTAAGAAGAAGACTGGCCGGACCCCTGGAACTGGCAGTGCTGCCATCCTGACTAGATCTCAAGATGACTCTGCTGCGGAATAAAGAGGTCTTTGGAGAATGGATACATAAACAAGCGCGCGTTGAGCCTCTAGGATCAGAGCTTAGTGCCATTGTATTAACACAAGTAATGACGGGATGCACGCTATTAGATTTGTTCCCCACGCAAGCGACAACTCGCTGTGTACCATTGTACCCTGAACGCCGTGACCTTTCTCCTGCTATCTGGTTGCTTCCATTATCCTAGCTTGTCAGCATCATCTGACGGGTCAAAGATGGACCTGATGCCCTTAGTCTTGGTCTTTTGTCTGTCGTCCCTGAGCATTTTGTTGTCCATTCGCACGTCTTCGCTCTCGACTGACAGGGCCGCCTGGGGTGTCTTCGCATCGATAACAAAGTGGTTGTCACAGTGGGGGCAGAACTCGTCAGCCTCCTCGAACTCTGTAACGTCCTTTCGGAAGCATTTTCTGCACTTCTTGCAGGCAAAAATCATTTCGTAGCTTTCTTTCAAAGGGTGACTCTCCTGTTCACCGTGACACTCGACGCAGTCGAACCATTTTTTGCCTGAACGTGAAGTTAGCTTCGTAGGCTTTAGGCGACATCGAAAAACTGCAGTCGCCAGCTTCAGTATGGTTCTACGTACAACATGGCGATCGGACAGCAACTTGGGCATTGAGAATGTGTTTACTAATATCTGTTAATCATGAACCGTGTGCTCGTGTCGAGTCCTATCGTACCACATGGTGATAAATGAATAGAAGTCGTTCTATGCTTATGAGGTAGTGTCGGTGGACAATTCAGAATTGCGGTCGGGTGTCTGTAGGATAGTTGCACGTCAAGTTTAGACGAAAGTTGGAGAGTTTTGGCGGGGTGTATTATTCAGACTTTAGGGAATGGACGCACTTTAGCCTCCATACCTACCCCTGGAGGAGCTACGCTAAAACAGAGCACAGCGAGGCGGGAGAAGGACCCATTTAGAACATTAGTCATCACAATTCAGTGACGTTCATCATGAACGTCTAGGCGCATTCTTTCAAACCTCCAACTCTACTTTGCTTTTTGCATCTCATCTTCACGACAACCACCAAAGAAGTTCGGAACCGCTCACCATCACGACGAATATGCCGCCAAAGAGGAAGGCTGCTGGTGCCGTGCAGGGCGGAGCGAAAGTCGGCAGGTCTTCGCGGATGACAACGCCTGGCGCTGCAACGCCACGAACGATCGACAGCAATGAAGAGGTGCCGGAGGAGGATGAAGCCCCAGTCGATGAGGCTCTGGAACGTGATTTGAATAAAAACATAGACATATTTTCCCTGGATCGCTACCAGAAGAGACACGCGATTCGGGATCCTCTTCCGCATATTTTTGGCGACCGTGATTTCTCCTACCTGGTTTTGAAGAAAGACCACCAGAACCGACCTCTCTGGATCGACCCTCAGAAGGGTCGCATTATTCTGGAGAGTTTTAACCCGCTTGCTGAGCAGGCTCAAGATTTCCTCATCACCATCTCTGAGCCTTTGTCACGACCGACCTTCATGCACGAGTACGCTCTTACAACACACAGTTTATATGCTGCCGTCTCCGTTGGACTTTCGCCAGAGGACATCATCAACACTCTAGACCGATTCCTCAAGACGCCTTTGCCAGATGAGATCCGGAACTTCATTACAAGCTGTACTCAGAGTTACGGCAAGGTAAAGCTAGTCCTCAAGAATACCAAGTACTACGTCGAAAGCCCCGACCCAAACATGCTCCAAACTCTCCTCAAGAACCCCAGAATCGGACCTTTGCGCGTGCAAGGCACAGAAGAAATCACAACATCAGTGGCGCCCAAAATTGGAGGCCTTGTTATTCCCGGTACACAGAACGCGGCAGGAGCGAAGCAGGCGAATGGTCTTAGTCAGTCAGGCGAACCAGGAAAGGATGGACAGCCTGTTCAGGAGGGTGAGGTCTTTGCAACGCTGAACGAGGAAGATGACGAGGACCAAGAAGTGACACATTCCTTTGAGATCGCGGACAAGGACGTCGAAACCGTGCAGAAGGAATGCTTGAACTTAGGATACCCAGTTCTTGAAGAGTACGATTTCCGAAGGGATGAGGCCAACGCCAACCTTGACATCGATCTTAAGCCAGGCACTCAGATTCGTCCTTACCAGGAAAAGAGTTTGAGCAAGATGTTCGGTAACGGACGAGCGAAGAGCGGTCTTATTGTCTTGCCTTGTGGTGCTGGAAAGACGCTGGTGGGCATTACAGCAGCTTGTACTATCAAGAAGGGTGTGATCGTTCTGTGCACAAGTTCCATGTCAGTTGTGCAATGGCGGAATGAGTTCTTGAAGTGGTCCAACATCAACCCTGACGATATTGTTGCATTCACATCCGACTCTAAGAACAACGTCTTCACTGGAAGCACAGGTATCATTGTTACAACGTATGCAATGGTCACACAATCTCGAGCACGATCCTACGACGCCGAGAAGATGATGAAGTTCCTGACTGGTCGAGAATGGGGTCTGATGCTGCTGGATGAGGTGCACGTCGTGCCCGCCAATATTTTCAGAAAGGTAACGTCCTCAATCAAGACTCACTCCAAGCTCGGTCTCACGGCTACACTTTTGCGAGAAGACGACAAGATTTCGGATCTGAACTTCCTGATTGGACCAAAGCTGTTCGAGGCCAACTGGATGGAGCTTTCAAAACAAGGACATATTGCCAGGGTTCAGTGTGCTGAGGTGTGGTGTCCAATGCCTACCGAGTTCTACGATCAGTACCTCAAGGCGCCGAGTCGAAAGAAGGGTTTGCTGTATATCATGAACCCACGAAAGTTTCAGGCTTGCCAATATCTTATCAACTATCACGAATCACGCGGGGATAAGATTATTGTCTTCTCGGACAACGTGTATGCTCTCAAAGCATATGCTCTGAAGCTCCAGAAGGCGTTCATTTATGGCGGTACCGGCCAAGCAGAACGTCTCCAAGTGTTGGAGAACTTCCAGCACAATCCGAACGTTAATACACTTTTCCTGTCCAAGATTGGAGATACGTCTCTCGATCTCCCTGAGGCCACATGCCTCATCCAGATCTCCTCTCACTACGGTTCCCGTCGTCAAGAGGCACAGCGTCTTGGCCGAATTCTACGAGCCAAGCGACGTAACGATGAGGGTTTCAACGCCTTTTTCTATTCGCTGGTCTCAAAGGATACTCAAGAAATGTACTTTTCTTCCAAGCGTCAAGCTTTCCTTGTTGATCAGGGATATGCGTTCAAGGTTATCACTCAGCTCGCCAACATCGAAAAGACGCCTGGCTTGGCATTCGCAGATGTCTCGGAGCGTCGAGAGCTATTGCAGAAGGTACTCGTGGAGAATGAGAGTATGGAAGAGGATGATCCCAATGACGACATGTTCCATCAAGGCACCATGGGACGCAAGAAGAAGAAGGGAGTCCGACGAACGGCAGGAACCCTCGGCGAACTCAGTGGTGGCCAGGATATGGCGTACATCGAGCAGAACAAGAAGATGTCGGCGAAGCGTAAGAAGGCAGACAGCAATGCCTTTTTCAAGAAGATCGGACGAGAGAATGCCCGTCGCGCGGCGGCGCAGTAATAGAGAGATAATTAGATAAAAGGTATTGGAGGATGACAGAATAAAACTTCGGAAATATGAGGGAACCAGTTTGTCGACGGTTGCTTTTTTAGGCGCAAGGACGGGGAAGATTCGGCGTTCAGGAGACAGAAGGACATGGCAAATGCTGATCAGATTGCAAGCAATAGATACAATCAATTATATTGACAATGAAACGATGGGTGACTCGGACCAGTGAATGGCTTACTGTATATGCATGGGAACGGTGACAGTGCATGAGTCGGTAAGTCCAGGTGACATGGCGGTGTTGGATAGAACAAGGCGACGTTGTGATTCGGTTACACTATAAGAAGACTCATTCATCCATATCAGATCTCGGAAAAGAACTCGACATCACAGCATTACAGGGTGACATGCATCACACAGACAAGTATCAGTGCGGCACAACTACGACAAAGCAGGTATTATACGATGTCAAGGGTGACGGACCAAGGCAAGTCAATGCCATGTTCAACTTCGCCAACAAGAAACTATATCGACAAATACCTTTGTCGCAGCTATTTTAATAATTAAAGCCAGAGCTCTCAAGTTGGAGCTGGGGCCCTTTGAACTAGCGTCACCTAGTGTTCCGGGGAGAAAGCTTGGCGGTACTAGGGTTTGATCTCGGTTTCTGGTTCCATTTTGTGTTGCAACCCCAAAAAAATCATGAAGGAATTTTGACTACAAATTCTTCATCCTTCTGGTGTTGTCAGTTATTCATTACAAGATGCTTACTGATAATTCAAGGTATACGTGACGTGATAAGGGCGAGGCGGTCTAGATTCAGACATTCCTCACATTTTATTATGCATGGCTCTTTGCATAGCCTTCCTGGATACGACGGCATGATAGCTATTGGCCCTATGCACAACTGAGTCGCAAATCGTGTATCTGTGTGTATCCGTAAGAGGGCTTCACTCCTCCGGTGTTTCCATTGATCGTCATGCAACACCCTCGTACACATGCAGGCAGGCGGCTGAGACAAAGCCACAAGGTATCAGACGTGCAAACGGGCGTGATATGGGTGGTAGCATGGGAGTCGTGGCATCACGTTACCAGTCGGAAGCTATCGTTTCTTGTAGCGGAAGGGCGGAGCGGTGGTTACTGTTCGAGTCCAATGGCATGGACATTCAGTTCCAGAAGGAAAGGAGTTTTGCTCGTCCCTGCTCTGTTTGAGAGCAACGAACATATGAATCGCAATCGATCATGTAATGTATCTTCGCCTATTGTGATGAGAAACGGCCCTAATATTTTGGAGACTGGCCTGGGCTTTGTCAAGGGTAATAGTTGCCTGTCCGAACGAGCCCCTTTTGCGTCGGACAATGCGCCCACTCAACGCTGCGTTCCCGGGTTTTGTAAGTCGTTGCGCTCCTTGACCGACTTTGTTTCTATTTCGCGCGACTAGTTATCCCTTCGTTTGACTCGAACAAGCACGTGTAAGTGTTTTCACCAGCTTTCGAGATCTCCGAATTTGCTTGGCGTTTTAAATTGGAGATTGCATTATCAGGAATGCCATTGGCCCGATAATGGCAATGTAGCACACAGACAGCAGACAAGGACAAGGGCTTTGTCGTTAAATGCAGGGAAAATGAAGGGAACTTTCGGATTCCAAAGCTTGGGCGATGAAACTCCATTATGACGTTGTCCTGAGAATGGCATGGCCGAGAAAGTAAATTTGGAAGTGATAGTCATGAATAGCCGACGCAGAGGTAAAGATGAACAACGATCTCATCTGGAACAAAGAGTCTGGCGTCATCAATGCCCTGATCAGATTAGCTTTACCTTTTATCTGACTTAGATGAAGGCTTGCCAATCAATGGATGATATTGCTGTGAATGTCAGGGTCAGCGGGCGTTTCAACGGTCTCTGTTACATACCGCTTAGCTGCAGTAGTTTTCTGTCTGTTGGCGTTGAACGTACTGTATGCGCTTGTTTTTGGAAACGGTTTCACACTTGTAATCTGCTCCGCTCCGTCCCTCTCCTTCGTTCATCCTCTCGCTCTCCCTTTCCGCTGCTCTTAAGCAACAAGTGCCGTGGAAGGGAAAGGATCAATACGACAAGCTCGGGATTCCAATGGAGCTGCCGCTAGACTGATGGGCGGACGTCTATTGATGCCAGTGCCGGGGAAGGGATCCCGTGCATTGGCCGCGGATTCCTTTCTTTGTCGTAAAACAGAAGCCAATGATGCCCTCAGGTCACTTTTTCGTCCCCATCTCTCTGTTTCCCGCCGCCCGCCGGAGCTCCATCTGCAAGCATCTAGGCCTCCCTGACCCTTGTTCAGGCCCTGTCAATGCCGCGTGTGTGCGCGCCGCACAGACAAGCTAGGGTGTGTGCCTGGATCGTTGATGGACCCAGTATCTCGGTCCCATCTTGGCGTTCCCTCCCATTCAAGTTTGTTGATTCTCTGGTTGTTGTCTGAGGAGCTCCCCTTGTCTTTGTTGTGTAGGATTTTTCTTTTTCTTTTTCGGAGCAATAGATCAGCCAAGAGACGGGAGTATGCGTGGTGTGGTAGTTTTTTTTTTTTTTTTTTGTGGCTGATCAGGCATCAGGTTATCATCATGACATGGATTCTGGGACCCTTTGAAATTATCAGCAGCTCCCTCGTGGGCTGTTTCGTCAACTCCGAGTCGTCGCCGTTGTCTTTGTTTTGATCGGTCAGTGCTTTATTTTGTCTCTCGCTTGGATGTACTGTAATATCTGAAGTGAAGGTACTCGAATGGCAGGAGAGGTATCTATGCCCAGGGTTCCTTCCATAGGTGCTCTACCCCCTTCCGTAAGTCTAGACGACTGGTACTTGCCTCGGACACCTTATCTGTAGAAATTTTACTCATTCTCACCAGGCTGCCTTCTTGTTTAGGTATTTTATCTTTTTTTTTTAATCTATATCCAAGTGCCCTCCTACAACTTCTTGTCTACCTCCTTTTCCAATTTGATTGTCAACTCCAATTGAGACGTCGTCCACAACCCAATATGCTCCTTTACTTACAAATCTATCAACCTTTGTCTTCAATTTGGACACTCTTTAGCTAGTCGATCGTTCTGGCTACATTAGAGTACAGCTTTGCGCCCTTTTCCTTGCGCGCCACCCATCACAACGACAGCTATTCAGCCAAATTGGCCACTAGAGGTGACCCAGAGACTCACTGGTACCCAGCCGCGGTCCATTCCTGTTCTTTAAAAAAGTTCAAACTTCCTGTACCCGCACTCCCTCCGAAGAAAACCTTGTTCCAGGTGCAGCAAATCGAATGTCCGCTGTTCTCCAGTCTCCGCCTTAGTTACGCCATAGCCATTACAGTAGCCATGGTCATGGTCTAGTCTAGTCTACAACAAGCTTGGCTACCAACACCAACCCAAATAGCTGCGAGATCCTCTTAGCCCCTGCTCCTGCTTTTGCTCCTACTCCTTCCTGCTTTATTCTTTTTCCATCTTCATTATAGCTGCAAAAGATTCCAGTCGTCTTCCTTTTGTCTAGAAGATATGGCTGCCGAGGCGCGCGCCTCTATATGGGCGCGGCTCAAAGCTGTCAAGCCGCCCTTCGTCTCAAAGAAACCGCATTTCAACTTTATTTCCATTCATTGTAAGTCAAGTCGAATGCAGTCGTCCCATGTTCCTCTCCATACTACCTCATCGGTTCGACCCCCACGCCGATGTGCACTTATTGCTTTTTATGCAGTATCAGTTTCCAATGCCGAGTTTCAGTCTGACAATCCTTTACAGACACATGGATCATCGGCGCAACATTATGTGCTTCTGTTATTATTTACGGGTCTGGTCGCGGTCACACTTCTTACATCGATTCCTTAATGTTTGCAAGTGGAGCCAATACGCAGGCTGGTCTAAATCCCATCGACGTCAATCTTCTCAACACCTTTCAACAGGTCGTTGTTTATTTTTTTACTTTAACCTCTAACCCCATCACTCTACACACCTCAGTCGTTTTTCTGCGTCTTTACTGGTTTGAAAAGAGGTTCCAGGGTTGGGTTACAGACGCCCGACAGCGCCGCGCTACCATCTCCAAGGCAAAAACCCGTCCGCGAAACGATGATCGTCAGAATGAAGAGGGAGTTAATGGCCGGCATATCACTATTGTTCCTGCTCAGGGACGGCGCCAAAGGATCACCAATGATGGCATTCTGTTAGACGGGAGTGAGGCCTTTCAATCTCAGGCAATTGTCGACGACGATGACGACAATGATCACCAACCGCGCCAACCACCTACAAACAGCGATGATAGCGATACAGTTTCAGCGGGACGATCCAACAGCATAGAGCTGAGTCCACTCGAAAAGCCTGATCAGGCTCACCGTGACAACAGGGATGAGTGGAAAGAGGAACAATCCAGAACGCAGAATACACCATCTGGAATCAAATTTGCCGAGACGGTTAAGAGAAGCGATGGAGTTGATGATGATTTGACCAAGTTCCCTCAACGAAGAACTCACGCAGAACACATTGCCATCCTAGAGCGTCAGCGAAATCAAGACAACGAAGTGCTGAGGATTCCCGGTCCACGAGAAACCGAGAGAGGGCTGGGTCCGCGAAGACTTGAAGATGACGATGGAGATGACGACAACAACACTATCGCCATGACGAGAACGGTAGAATCGAGACCAGATCATGCGACTATCGACTCGAGAGCGCCACCTGGTCGTAGACCAACTATCGTTATTGCGGAGCCGAAACGTCCTCTCAAACACGAATTGACCGATGATGCCAGAGCCATTGGTGGCACTCTCGACGCTATAAGGATGCGAAAACCCCGTATTCTCAACCGTGGTCAAAAGGAAACACACGACGATGCCGACAGCACAATGAGTCGTGCTTTCCGAACTCGCACAATAGACACCATCAAGTCAGCTTTAACAAGCGACCACACCAAGGACATGCCTTATCTTAGTTATACACCGACTATGGGTCGAAACTCGAACTTTGTGGGGTTGACCCTTGAGCAGCGAGAGGAATTGGGTGGCATTGAATATCGGTCACTGAGGACTCTGGCCGTTATATTGCTTTCCTACTTTTGGGGTTTCCAGCTTATCGCTGTAACCTTCCTCCTTCCTTGGATTCTCCATACGGAGAAGTATGGCAGAATCGTGGAGGACAGTGCCGTTTCCAGAACTTGGTGGGGATTCTGGACAGCCAACTCTGCTTTCAACGATCTGGGTCTGACCTTGACACCAGACAGCATGAACTCCTTCAATACTTCAGAATATATCATGATGATCATGTGGTTCTTTATCATCATTGGAAACACTGGCTTTCCTGTCATGTTGCGTTTTGTTATCTGGGTCCTGTCTAGACTTGTACCCACGAACACCGGCCTCTGGGAAGAGCTAAGATTCCTTCTCGATCACCCTCGTCGTTGCTTCACCCTTCTATTCCCCTCGAGCGCCAACTGGTGGCTGTTTTGGATCCTCGTCGCTTTGAACGCCATAGACTTGCTGTTCTTTGTTATACTTGATGTAAGTCACGCAATTCTTCCGTTTTTGTTTGTGGTTTGCAATGCATGCTAACATGCCATAGCTGAATTCGGGTCCAGTCGCCGAACTGCCGGTTCATACTCGTATTGCTGATGGTCTCTTTCAAGCCGCTTCTACTAGGACTGCAGGTTTCTCTTGTTTTAGCTTGAGTGACCTCCATCCTGCGCTTCCAGTGTTGTACATGATCATGATGTACATTTCCATTTTTCCTATCGCAATTTCCATTCGCCGAACCAATGTCTACGAAGAAAAATCTCTTGGTGTATACAGCAGCAAGAAAGATGACGACGACGAAGAATCAGCTAGTGCTCTCAACTACGTCGGCACTCATTTGCGGCGCCAACTCTCCTTTGATCTGTGGTATGTCTTCGTAGGTTTCTTTCTCCTTGCCATTAGCGAAGGTGGTGGCCTCAAAGCGAAGGACTTCAACCTGTTCGACATTCTCTTTGAGGTCATCAGCGCGTACGGAACTGTTGGTCTAAGCATGGGTGTGCCTAACGTCAATGCCTCCCTTTGCTCGCAGTTCACTGTTGTCGGCAAACTTATCATTGTTGCCATGCAAATTCGTGGCCGGCACCGTGGCTTGCCGTACGGCTTGGATCGTGCTGTGCTTTTGCCAAGCGAAGCACGCTTCCAGAAGGAGGCAGAGGAAAACCAACCAATTCTAATACGCACACGTACAAATGCGTCCATGGGAGCAGCATCCGGTATGGAACCCCCGACAAGTCCAGGTTTCCCTGGCCGAAGAGGAAGTGTCAGCCGCTTCCGCGAGCGAGCAAACAGCCGCATCATTTCCCAGTTCCTCTATCCTGGACCTGTCATTCCCAGTAATGAGATCCATGGCCACAAGCGCGCAACCTCAAATAATTCCAACACCACGCGCGACTTCCCACGATTTAATACCGAACCAGTATTCGAAGAGGAGAAGGATGAGGTTCCTCCCCTGCGGCCCATCGAATCCCACCAATTCACACCTCGGCGGGCAGAGACAGGCTAAAACACACAACTGTTTTGCGTTGCATACATTATGTACTTTCATGCTTTATCTTCGCACAATGCTCCCTCCACTGCATCTCAACGGCAGCCATTTTGGCTCTACTACTATATTCACGACCTTGATAATCTCAAAGAAAAAGCGATCTCAATTTTTAAAAGGGTTTTCTGGGCGTTCAGTATCAATATCATGACAACATAGACGGGTGAAAGGGAGTGTCAGGGCTCAGACTTATATATCGCATCGAATCTGTGGTTACAAGAGATCAAGATTCTTCTTTATGTTTGGTGCCTACACTTACAGTGGACACTCTCAGGGCGTTAAAATACGGGTTTATTTGGATTTTGGAGGACTCATGTGCATCCTCATGGATTTTGGCATAGATCAATAGTTTCTACTTTCAATAGAAGGCAACACCGCCTTGGGTGCAAGCTCACATCAACGCCTAGTATCCCGTCTCGACTTCGTAAATATGTTCCCGCGCAAGTGGGGCACATTTTTTTGCAATGTAGCAATGATGAGAAGGTGTGATGGCAATTCTAAACAATGTATCCCGATGCATTAATTCTAGTAAGTTATGTGAATGTATATATATACCGAGCATCTCCTTTTACTTTGTCTCAAAAGCGCCAATATCCTTTAATGCGTTGGCCAAGCGACGATAATCCCGTAGCAGGTCAAGAACCTCGCCCAGCTTTAGCTCACCAGGAGTCTGTAGTTCCATGAACCGTTTGTTGGGCGGCGCAATCTTGGGAATCTCCTTGGGCGGAAGTGCCGGAGCAATATCAGGGAAAGCCTACATGAATCAGTACCAAACGCATTGTATGTTTCCGCAAAGACCGTTGACTTACTGTTCCCAAGTCCCCACCGTCTGCGGGCTTCACTGTCTCCTTGGTTGTCGGTACTGGCGGCGTTGTGGGCGTGTTACGCCCAAACCCACGGATCATACTAATGCTGGGGAGCCGAGCCATGGGGTTGAATGAGTTACCCAAGTTGCGCATCTGATCCAAGACAGCCGGGTTCTGTCCCGGAGTTTGACTAGCTGCTTTTGGTTCTTCTGTGGCAAACAGAACTTTCTTTGATGAACTCGCACTGCGACCACTTCGAGTGCTATCCGTACTACGATCGCGAAGACCTCCGATCAGGTTCAAAACTCTATCTTCACGCGACGCCGGACGTTTCAACGGGTCGGCATCATCAAGTACAACTAGCCTGTTAAGGCCAGTGGTATCCTCCTCATCAGGAGATGGCGTACTGACCAACTTGCGGGCATCTTCCAGGGTCCTCGGTACAGTAATAGATTCTCGAGGACTGTCCTGGTGCTCCCTCAATTTACCTACAAGGAACTTATAGCTGCCTTCCAAGCTGTTGGATATGTTCTTTAAACCTTGGTCGGCCGTATTAAAGACGGCATCGCTCGCGGCACCAAAGGCTTGTGTAGGCCCGTTTATGAGATCACTCAGCCGGCGGTTGCGCAATGCCTGTGTCGCCTTAACATCAGGAGCGGATACCTTGGCTGCATCGGCGTTGGTCTTGTTCTCTTTAGGACCATCAAGCGACGAAGATGCTTCTCCTCGTTGGTACGCTGGAGGGAATGTCTCAGTCCTCTGGATTGTGCTTTTTGTTGGGCCGGAAAGCTGTTCGTCTGCTCTCAGCGTCGCAAGATCCACAGTCTGCAAAAAGCTGATGGCAGCCTCCAGGTTCGTCAGACAGTAAGCAGCCTCTCCCGTGAGTTTTGGCTCCCAACGGAAGTACTGTATAAAATGGACATCGCTGATGACATGTAGATTTTCAGGTGGAAGCGTAATTAGGGTATAGATGAGCATAGGCATAATTTCATCAGCGGATGCAGAAGGATGAAAGTGAGCAAGGGTATCGACGATGCTCCGGTGGGCAGCCTTAAGGTGATTGAGCTTTCCCAGAGGATATCGTTTCTGTGTCATCATGATAATGTCTCGTCTGGCCGGCTCCAATTTCTCCTTAATTTCATCTTCTGTTGGGCGAGTTATCTCGCCGGACTCATCCGCTTCGCCTGTTAGGTCAATGCCCAGGTCAGAGGGCCCGATTCCGACCAAGGCTAGAGCAGCTGTCTTTGAGCGTAATTTATCGTCATGGGCCTCATCCTGAGTGCTTCGATGCCGCCAAATCTTATCGTAGATGCCTTCACATAATCTACGCTCGACAGCCTCCTCAAGAAGCGACCTCTTGGCCTCGAGGGCTTTTCTATTGCGCTTACGGTTTGCTAGCTGTTCCGCAGTGATCATCTGCTGTTCAGGCTCTGGTTTGGTTATGCTGAGCGCACTGGCTTTTGAACGTAATCGGCTAGCAGCAGAGGAGATGGAAGAGACAGATGGTGTAGGCGATGCATCGCGACTTTGCCTCGAGGCAAGGGCATTGATGTGGGTGTTGATATTGGACGACGCTTGTGTATAGAAGTCTTGAAACTTTTGTGAGAGGTTCTCGATATTGGGAGGAGTTGGATGAACTTTGGCATTCAGCGACTCGATGAAGCTATGAATGGGAGATGGGTTCAGCAACGGAGATTTAAGCGATGCAGTACATTCCTCGGCATACCTGTCTGTCAATGTAATAAGCTCGATGGGGAGGATATCAAGCTCGACGGAAGCTCTGGTAACCTCAATTCCATCATCGGAGTCGCTATGCTCGCCGGTCTCGAATGCATCTGGAGACGTAGCGCTATCATCTAAAGATGAGGTAGCATTTGCGAAGGTGTGAGCTCTTTTAGGGACCGCTAAGCGATCGCCAGTAGTGGAAGTAGGCGTTTTGGAGGTATGCGAATGAGATGCCGTACGGATAGCAGATGGACGAGCTGGGGAGCTCTCGGGGGGGTCGCGGGACGCCATGGATCTTTGATTTGGGCTATAGACAATCATGATGAGCTTCCAGAGGGTTGATGAAGGTCGATGGAGGTTGAATGGAGGGGAAAGAACAGTTGCTTTACACCCGTCGCCCGGGGTATTGAAGTACATACCGTTGATAGAGAGAGAGCTTTGGTGGAAGGTTTACGCTGTCTGAACCTAATAAAAACAGATGATGCGATGCAACGGCCAGCGTGTCTCAGGACAGAACCATCAATGCAGACCGTCTGAGACGTAACAGAGTACAAATGGCGGGGGGTGGTTCCTTCTGTCCGTGCTGGCCGGAAACTCTATACAAATGAATAGGTAGCTTAGGTAGACAGTAAGAAGAGAGAACACTGGAGTCGCAAAAAGAGTGTAAAGTATTTGGTTACAGTAGTAAGTGATGTATACGAAGTGATAAGCTCAAATTGAATCATATGAAAGACCCCGTTCCAGTTAAGTTACGTTACGTAGTGGGTAAGTAAAGTTAGATTGACTTGCAGGGAGGGGTGGAGACCTCGACCTGATGCTGCACCGCCATAGTTGAGCCACTCAGCGCCACACCCGAATAACCTTGATTAATAGCAAGGAACTTTCAACTTGTGATGGGTATCTACATAAAGTACCTACCTATGGATAAAGTCACAAAGCCTATGTTTTTCTTTTTGATATCATCATTCCATTCTTCTTCAATATCGCTGTTCTGACAGCCAGCCATTGGCTCCGGTATCGGTTTAGCTTTTATAAACCTGACCGCTATGCTTCTGGCTTCACTTACACCATGTCAACAGTAGTATTCTCCACTGCACTTTGACGTTGTTCAGAGCGGAGAGTATTCTGCATTATAATCAGTCTGTTACCTCTGTTACCGATCGATTTGTGGTCTTTAAACCGATATTATTCGTTCCCTTTCCCCATCTTTGCTAAATACCTAGGTAAACATGGAAAGCATGTATCCCATAGATAACTACTACCCTGTCCTCAGGGTATCAGAAAAATTGACCGCTGGAAGCATAAGAGACGAAATTAGTAGGTCACTTTATGCCCTTTAGGCTATAGTTCTTAGGTTACTTATCTTTATACCCTAAGACTTAGGCGGCCATTTTTTCTGCTACCCAGTAGCCTGTTCTCCTCCGCAGCAAATCATGCGGGGTCCCCGCCTTCACAAAGGACACTAAAGTACAAACAAGCATGGATCTATCATCTCCAAGGTCGTGATTGGTTTATTGGCTCTGCTAAACTTCTTCGAGTATGTAATCGCCCTTGAAATGAATGCTAATGGCCGGCCGGGCAATCAGTACTTAGAGAAACCGAGCAAGAACCGTGTTTGCCGGGCTGAACCGAGACATGGCTACTTATGAATTGAAGTCATCTCATTTATCTTCGTAGATACTACTCATACCTACGTCACGAGATTCACAACATACATTCATCTCCGCCTGCCTTTCTCATACCATAATTCACAATGTCGGATCCCCCTTCTCGCATTCGCTCTATCCTCAGTCACCTCCGCCCTCATCCAACGGCTCCTGTCAACTTTCACACTCTATCCCCTACAACATTTCTTGAGCGCGCTGCATCCATTGAGCCCGATGCCGAAGCCATCTTCCACATTACTGTTAACGGAGCTATACTGCGCCGTTCCTATGCCGAGTTTGCTGATCGTGCCCGTGGTCTCGCTTACTATCTCCTCAAGCATGGCCATCGGCGCGTGGGCATCCTCGCTCCCAACACGCCTGCTTTCCTCGAGTCTATCTACGGCATTGTAGCAGCAGGAGCTGTTATTGTTCCGGCCAACTACCGTCTAAAACAAGAAGACATCGCCTACATATTTGACTTTGCTGAAGTGGATTGCATTATTGTTGACAATGAGTTTGTTGGCTTGCTTGATACGTACAAGGAGAAACACACGAATGTGCCCTTGATTGTTGATATGGTTGATTTTCTCCCCCGCAAACAGGCATACGCTTGTTTTGAGGCTGTTGCTAACCTTTCTTGCCAGGATAATGATGCTACCGTGGGTCAATTGTCTGGTCCTTTTGACGATGCTGTTCTCGAGGGCTTGAAGCACGATATTGCCCAAGGAAGCCAAGGTTGGGCGGGTCTTCATGCTCAGGCCCGGAGTGAGGACGACATGCTTGCCATACCCTTCACTTCGGGAACAACTTCAAAGCCCAAGGGCGTCGTCTACACGCATCGAGGCTCTTACCTTGCCGCCATGGCCAACATTGTCGAGTCAGGTCTAAATATCGGACGTTGCAAATACCTCTGGACCCTTCCAATGTTAGTGACATGGAGACTTTATCTTACCACGATGTATATTTAACGACTAACAATCCACAGGTTCCATGCAGTAGGCTGGACCTTTCCCTGGTCCGTTGTTGCCGTGCGTGGCACCAACGTCTGTCTTAGAAAGATCGATTATCCTCTCATCTGGAAGTTGCTGAAGGACGAGGGCATTACACATTTCAATGCCGCTCCAACAGTCAATACGTTACTGGTAGCGGCTAAGGAAGCTGAAAAGCTACCACACGAAGTCAAAGTCACAGTGGCCGCTAGCCCTCCAACAGGATACCTTTTTGAACAAATGGTGCGTGTTTCACATCCTAAAGAAAGAATATCCTAACACGAACATGTAGACAAAACTAAATCTCACACCTGTCCACGTTTACGGAATGACAGGTACGTCTAGTAGAACCTCAAAAAGAACACAACTAACATACCCGATAGAAACATACGGGCCCATCACTAAATGCTATACTCTACCTGAGTGGGATAGTCTACCTCCAACAGAAAAATATGCAAAAATGTCCCGGCAAGGACACGGCTTCATAACCAGTCTACCAATCCGCATTATCAAGCCAGACCAGCCACAAGGAGTTCTTGTAGATGTCGCAAAAGATGGCAAGGAAATTGGTGAGATTGTCTTTATGGGAAACATCTGTGCCAAAGAATACTACAAGGATCCTGCAGCCACACGGGAGTTGTTTGCAGGAGGCGTTCTTCACTCGGGTGACCTAGCAGTGTGGCATCCAGATGGCAGTGCTCAGATCCAAGACCGCGCGAAGGACATCATCATCTCTGGTGGCGAGAATATCTCTTCTGTTGCTCTTGAGAGCATGCTGGCCCAACACCCGGATATTCTTGAGGCTGGTGCTGTCGCCGTTCCAGATTCCCACTGGGGTGAGAGGCCTAAGGTCTACGTCACAGTTAAGGATGGCAAGAGCGTGACTGGGGATGAGATTATTCAGTGGGCCAAACACCAGAGTGACATCAGCAGGTTCATGGTTCCCAGAGAGGTAGAGATCGTGGATGAGCTGCCCAAGACAAGCACTGGCAAGATTAAGAAGAACGTCCTGAGAGAATGGGCTAAGCATGGAAGGACATAGGGCTCTTTACTGAGAGTATGAGCATCCGACGCACCCATGTTCTATCAGTACTGTTGTAAATACCCTGAGTCATGTATCTAGCGTTGTAATACAAATCCATTGAATGTCACAAATACAAGTCTTCATACTCAAAAGGGCATATAGTATGAGATCTAGTCTACATTCATTTTGAATACAGCACCCGTCGACCCGTTATCCAGATTATCCAAGGTTTCCATATCATCTTGATCCAGGACAAAATCAAAGATATCAAAGTTTTCGGAAATGCGATCCGGCCTCGAGCTCTTGGGTAACGGGATCCAACCCTTTTGTAGTGAATAACGAATAAGAATCTGAGCATGCGACTTATCATGCTTTGTAGAGACGCTTCCAACTACTGGATCGTCCAGCCGGGCACCAGTAGCAAGCGGGCTATATGCCTCGATGATGATACCATTGTCTTGACAGTACTTTACAACTTCTTTTTGTTGACACCATGGATGAAGCTGGCACCGAAAAAGATATTAGATTTCTTTCTTGAGCAAGTTCTATGCAATGACTCACTTCGATTTGATTCACACTTGGAGGCCACTCGGTAGCATATTCCTTCATTTCCTGAAGATGCCGTACTCGAAAATTACTAACACCAATATGTCGTGCTCTTGCCTCTCTTTTTACTCTCTCCATAGCTCCCCACAAGCTTTGTCGATGTTCTCGTGATGTTCCAGGGACATGCATCAGTAATAAGTCAACGTAGCCATCCTTTCCAGCAATACGCTCCACTGCCTCGAGAACGTCTTCATAGACCTCGATCCTTTCCGTCTTCCTTCTCGGGCTTCCCACCTTTGTAGTAAGAAACAAATCTTGGCGAGCCAAGCCGGATTGTTCAATTGATTCACGGACACGTACTTCGTTCCGGTACAGAGCCGCTGAGTCTATGTGTCTATACCCTGCGGAAAGCGCTGCAAGCACGGCGGCTGCGCACGTCTGGCCGCGGATTTTGTAGCTGCCGAACCCGATACAGGGAATTCCACTTGTGGAGTTTTGAATAGAGAGGTGGCTGGTGGCAGTGAGTGCGGTGTTCATGGTGAAGACTGCGCTGCAGTTTAGTGGTGATGGCAGGTGAGGCTTGAATCATACACTAAACCAGATGATTCATGCGCGTCCTTAGTGAGTCTTATTCACCACTCGCAGTAAAGGTCACTGGTTGAAAAACAAACTTGTCAGCAAAACAAAGTGGCCACTGGCAGGTTTATTATCTTAGGCCCTGGCATAGGTAGTGTAAATGCATATATATATCCATCGAATTGTAGATGAAAGGCAATTGGGAGGTAAGCAAACAGTGGAGCTAAATTCTTCTTCCTCTACCTGAATATAAGTGATCGAATGTCGAGCAAGATATATTTTTTTTTGGTTTCCAAGACATTGTTGTAAGGCTACTTGTGTATCAGTTTCGAGCACATGTGATGTTTACCACCTAGAGGTCTTTATACAGCTTGTGCTAGGTATATAGTATTCAGGTATGCAATGATCTTTATGAGCTGAAACGCGTTACGGTGAGTTGCCGCGATAGTCGAAAAGTGTTGGGCTTGTTATTTGTTGGTTAGGATGATATGAATAGAGATGATGATTGGAAACCTGTTGGCATAATCAGGGATCGTGCATGCATTCGATATTGCTGGAATATTCCGTCAGTGACCGAGTCTCAGGCGAGCCAGCGAATACATCCCAACATACATGCCAGCGCATAGGCAACTGCAGAGCCGAGAAATAACAATGGGTCAAATTGATGGCAGGACTGACATTTCAGAAGTTATAAGGTCTTGGTTATATCAAATACATATATGTATTGAATACTTTGCTTGATGGTAAAATACAGATATTGATCTCTTTAGGGTAACTCAGGTTGACGGGGCTTTAAAAAAAGAGAAAGAGGGGCGTTTAGTTCAGCTGCCCAGGGTTGGTCGGTTGGCGGCATAATTCATCCATAATTCTAGAAGACCCCACGAAGCGCTAGAGTGTCGTGGAATGCAACTTGAGCTCTAGTGGAAACTCACTGAAAGAATGTCGTCACTGCCTGCTCATCTGCTGGGTCCTGCCACCTGCTTTCCATGAGGTGGGAGCACACTCAGCTCAGAGCTTTACTGCAACTACCTCCCCTCAACGTGCAAGTTCCAGACGGGAGGGAAACAGCCCAATTAATAGGTGGGCGCAAACTGCTGATCGCCGGGCAAACAATTCCATTACTTGACCTTCCAAGTCACCACAACTCTTCCTCACCTGAATCCTTACTTCCCTCCCCAGCACGAACAATATAAACTACCGACTCGTTCCTTCGATCAGGCTCCCCAACAATTTTATTATCACTCCACCATTTTGATCGCCAGCTTTAACTATGAGTACTCTCAGACCTTTGCGTGGTGGCTGCCAATGCGGCCGAAACCGGTACATTATTGCTGTCCCACAGGATGGCATCAACGAGGCACAGGTCCTCTTCAACACTGATTCTGCCCATCGTAAGTTTGAATTCTCCTCCAAGAGATTCAGAAAAACACTTCCAAGCGTTGAGCATATGATCTGACAGCTGCTTACAGAGACATCCCTCGCAACCCCACTAGCCGCCTACATTCGAGTTCCGTTGTCGTGGTACCACAGCACAACCTACTCTTTCTTTCCTGACGAGACACATGCTTTGATCCGACGTGTTTACACACACCCTAGCCAAGAATACTCAAAACGTCACTTTTGCGGTTACTGTGGCACGCCCCTGTCCTACTGGTCTGAAAACCCCCACACTGAAGCCGATTTTATCAACCTCACGCTCGGCAGCTTGCTGAGGGAAGACCTGCGAGACCTCGAGGACATGGGATTGATCCCCGAGGAGGAAGACAATAAGACTTTAACTACACAACCATCAGAGGTAGTGGGCAGGAACACAGCACTGCGCCAATCGTACGGAGTCCCTTGGTTCGATGGTATGGTCGAAGGAACACGTCTGGGCAACATGCGCCGAAGCCAAGGCGTCAAACAATCGCAAGATGGCCGAGTCAAGGTCGAGTGGGAGATTGTTGAATACTCAGGCAACGGCGACGAACCCAATGGATCTCCACAACATGATATCGATGTGGAAATGTCAGTCCCCGGAAAGCGGAAGATGAAGGACCGGGACGATCTAGAAGCAGCTACTGGAGGGAACTAAAACGCAGCGTTGAGTAGATTCGGAAACTGGTGGAGTCCGTTGCAATATCGAAGAAGCTGGCGACTATTGATCAACACATGTGAAAGGGGATTAATGATGAGGACTTTTGCTAGAATCCTGGCAACGAGATCCTCTTTTGTCGATAGGCGCATAGGTGAGGAGGCATTTTTGTTTATCAAGTCGCTCTTTAGAGACAGTTGACGCAAGCTCAACAGCGATATTAAATAGTTAGCTTGTCAAAATTGTACGTACCCAACGATTGTGATTTGAGTCTCTATCAGTTTCGTATGAATGTATCGTTGATCATTCTTGTGTAGTAACCAGCGTATCTCAGAAGTCCATCAGAAGCAGTCGATCGCATGATGAGGAGAGTGGAAGAAAGATAAGTGAGAAGATGGAGCCGGACCTTGGACCAGGTACGTAGTAGAGCCCCAAAACCCAGACTATCCCAATACAGGGCATGGTGTTCCGGCCCTATCAACCATGACAGGTCGGGAATTTCGGGGTAATGCAGTCTGGCCCGTTTGACAGGAACCGGTCTTGATAAAAGCCAGGCATCCAGCATCCGAAACACAATGCAACCCAGAATGTAGGGGCAATAGCAGTACAAAGACCCTTGGATCTTCAAGCCGAGACACCACGTGCATAGTGCGAGATCTCAGGAACTTGCTGAGTTACTCCCGTGTTTGTTCATTTCATCCGGTGAGGCGAAGCCAAGCGAGACGAGGCATGCATGCTCCAGGTTCCATGGTGATAGAAGGTACCGAAGTTCTGGCGGTAGCGGCCTGTCGTGGCGCCGGAGAGGCGGGCCGAAGGCTCGTGGAGGCACAGATGAGCGGGAATCGTCTGACGAGCACGGATGTCCATGTACGACTAAAAGAGTAAAGTGCAAAAAGAGTTTATGATTTCCTCAACTCGGCTGCTGTGAATTGGATAAAAGCGAGTTTCTGAAATTTGACAATGGGACGAGGAAAAAAGGGATGAAGAGGAGGTAAAAACGATAGAGCGGCGTAGTAGAAAACATGAAAGAGCCTAGACTAGATTCCCACCCACGTTAGAGGGATTCTGAAACGAATCCCCATGGGGCAACGGTACTAGCTATTGGTTAGGACTAATTGCCTTTTGAGAGAATGGAAGGAGACATCCCGTCAGCAGAATGCAGGTGTTAGCCTGGGCAGGTGCCGCCATGGCCCTTAGTACGCCTATACCTACTACCTTAATCCACCAATTCAACTCCGGAAGGTACATTGACCACCAACCATAATCATGCTCTTGCAACATTGTCAACCCCACCCCAGCCTTTGGGGCAGATGATCCGGCCACGGCTGTGACGGTCCGAAGAAACAGACACGATCTTTGAGGCATATCCCTCTATTCTGTCCTCCAGCCCAGTTACACCATGTAGCTGACATGAGTGCGCCTAAGCTGTGAGTGGAATGGAGGTTGCAGAGCCGAGGGTGAAGGAGGGATGGGTTATGGATGGACGGACAGACAGTCAACCCATGCTAGAGCTTGGGTATATAAGAGAGTGTTCTGATGCTCAAGAGACAAGACCTTCTCCTCTCCTCCTCTTCTGCATTCAGCATCTTTCTCTGTTATTTCGACGAGCTGTCTTTGGGGATAGCTTCGCTCCTGTCTGACATATCATAGTACAGTTGGAACTCGAGGAGTCAAGAGTTCACTCACCATGTCGCTTCCCGCAGACTTCAAATGGGGCTTTGCCACCGCTTCGTAAGTTACTTCTCGCAACAATTATCATGTGCGGCAACAACTGACCTCCGTAACAGCTATCAGATCGAGGGCGCCATCGATAAGGATGGCCGAGGCCCCGCTAACTGGGATACCTTCTGTGCCCAGTCTGGCAAGATCGCAGATGGCAGTTCTGGTGTCACCGCCTGTGACTCTTACAACCGAACTGCCGAGGATATCGCTCTTCTCAAGTCCGTAGGCTCAAAGGCCTACCGATTCTCCATCTGCTGGTCTAGAATCATCCCACTCGGTGGTCGTAACGACCCTATCAACCAAGCTGGAATCGACCACTATCGCAAGTTCGTTGATGACCTTCTTGATGCCGGCATTACTCCTTTCATCACTCTTTTCCACTGGGATGTTCCCGATGAGCTGGACCGTCGATATGGTGGTCTCCTGAACCGTGAGGAATTCCCCCTTGACTACGAGCGTTATGCTCGTGTCATGTTCGAGGCGATCCCTCGCTGCAAGAACTGGATCACCCACAACGAGCCCTGGTGCTCCGCCATTCTTGGTTACAGCACCGGTTCCAACGCTCCTGGTCGCTGCTCTGACCGCAAGAAGTCTGACGTTGGCGACTCTTCTACCGAGCCTTGGATTGTTGGCCACAACCTTCTTGTCGCTCACGGCCGCGCCGTCAAGATTTACCGTGAGGAGTTCAAGCCCAAGAACGGTGGTGAGATTGGAATCACCCTTAATGGTGACGCCACATACCCTTGGGACCCCAAAGACCCAAAAGATATCGAGGCTGCCGAACGCAAGATCGAATTTGCTATTTCCTGGTTCGCCGACCCCATCTACTTTGGAGACTACCCGGCCTCGATGCGTGCCCAGCTCGGTGATCGCCTCCCTACCTTTACACCGGAGGAGAAGGCCCTTGTCTTGGGCTCAAACGATTTCTATGGCATGAACCACTACACAGCCAACTATGTTAAGCACCGTGAGGGTGAGGCTGCCCCTGAGGATTTTGTTGGCAACCTTGAGCTGCATTTCTGGAACCACCGAGGTGACTGTATCGGTGAAGAGACTCAGTCTACTTGGCTGCGACCGTGTGCTCAAGGTTTCCGCGACCTACTTGTCTGGATTTCCAAGCGTTACGGCTTCCCCAGAATGTATGTCACCGAGAACGGCACCAGCATCAAGGGCGAGAACGACATGCCACGGGAGAAGATCCTGCAGGATGACTTCCGCGTCAAGTACTACGACGACTATGTCAAGGCCATGGCTGATGCTTCGCGTCTCGACGGCGTGGATATCCATGGCTACTTTGCCTGGTCCCTGCTAGATAACTTCGAGTGGGCCGAGGGTTATGAGACTCGATTCGGTGTGACCTATGTCGACTACGAGAACGACCAAAAGCGTTACCCCAAGAAGAGCGCACAGCACTTGAAACCCTTGTTCGACAGCCTCATCAAGAAGGAGGAGAATGGCTTGTACGGCGTGGGCAAAGTCAAGGCAGGACAAACTTGAAATCGGCCGAGACTAGATGATTATGAAAACTATATGATTTCTTGCATATGAATATAACCAATTTATAAATTAACGTCCAAAGTGAGCATGAGTTAATATATATTATGCTATTATGTATGCGAACGCTTTTCAATGCACATATATATGCATAGGCTGAAGCCGTCCCGAGAGCTTCGCCACGCCGAAATCCTATGATCTACGCTGTACCTTTTCTTCTGTATCCGCGTCAATAACTTCTCTTGATAAGCCAGAAGCTTCCGTATGTGTTGCTGTAGACTGCTGTTCCCCAGAAGTATCCTGTTCTGTTTCCTCGTCGACGCTCTCCTTAGCTTCACGACGCATATACCATTTGAAGACATACACTAACCCTTGGGCCATAAAAACCTGCTCTATAGTGTATAGCAATACTGGTATCTGAATGTAAGCCCGTGTCAGATCATCCGCACGAGCCCACATTGAGCTTGCCAGCGGGATACCCAAACTTGTTGTTTTGGCCGCGCCGCAAAAGCATACCGCAATAGTCTGCTCTTTGGTCATACGCTGAAACAAGACCCTCAGCCAAGATGAAGAAGCCATTCTGACCAATCTCTCGGGAGGCCTCGCGAGGAAAAAGCAGATGACGGTAAAAAGAGCATACAGTGCAACGTTCATAAAGACAAGAAAAAGGACATTGCTGGTCGACAAGTCTTTCAACGCCCCGGTACCAAAGGCCCCAGAGAACGTTGTCCAGACAAGCAGAACGAGACATATTGTCGAAACTTTAGCCAATTTAAGTGTGTTGAGGACTTTCACTGTACGCTCTTCCCACTTCCATCTTATAGCCTGACCGACAATGAGAGGCAAGACGACGCTAAGACATAGTTGTTTAGCGACATCTGCATACATGTGTCCCAGGGTAGATGGATCAGCAGGGCGCCAGTTATCGAACACTTCAGAATGACCAGTTGGAAAGAAGCCGTAGATAAGTAGTGGTGAGAGAAAGGATCCTGCCACGTTGCCGATCACGACCGAGATGATAGCCGCAGCCTCATCCCCCCCTGAAGCTCGTGTCATGACAACATTGGAGGCAATGGTTGTTGGAAGACATGCCGTAGTGAGAAGGCCGATGAGAATTGGTGGCGAAGGAGTTTGCGACTCAAGAGCTCCAGCGGCAATGGAGATATGAACAATGGCTACCAATATCAGTTTATTTGTCGGGCCTTATTGTCATGCCGTTAATGGGAGACTGGCGTTAAACCAACTTACCCAAGACGATAGCTGGGATGAAAGCAAAACTGATTCCATGAACCAGAATGTGCAATCTCCAGTTTGTCATATTCTTGCGTAGCTTCTCAGGCGAAAGCTGCAGTCCGCTGACAAGGAAGATGAAAGCGACAGCGCCATAGAGGACGCTATACTCGGAGCGTATGACGCCTCCATGTCGAGCGACAGCTGTAGGTCGACTATGAGCAACTTGCATCTGCGTCAGACGAAAGACGACTTACACGGGAAGAAATATCCTAATACGCAGGCGGTGGCAAATCCAATGACAAGATACTGCGCAAGTATCAGGTTCGTCACCCGCTTGGCCCAGCCGATGAATCCTCTCTTAGGCTGTTCTTGTTTTTCCTGACTCGACATTCTCAACTCTCGGAGGCGTACTCGCCATGTTTTAATATCAATACTTTTAAAGGCCGACTTGGGAGTATGAGAAGGATGGAGTCATTCTTAAATGGGAGACAGTGCTAATGGCCAACCATGGCTATAATCCGGGCTTGGTATCTTGGCAGGGATAACTCAGAAGTTGCCCGGGCTATTACCGCGTTCAAAGGTAGAGGGCGGACTTTGAAATGTCCATTGATGGATCCGAACATCGGAGACTCATGCAAGCACTAGGTATTATGATGACATTTACAACCAACCAGTGAAGAAGTTTGATAAGTAGGAGCATTTATGTCATGGTATTAGACGAATTTGTCATATCAGAAACTACATGATATAAAGAAACTTCTTCCCAAGCAAGCACCACCCTCTAATCTCATCTAGAGCATGTCGCAAGTTCAGAGGCACCTGACATAACGCTGTCAATTTGACGGATCCAACACCGCCGCAACTTTTCTACCCATCATTTCTCCATGATATATAAACAAACAAAAAAAAAGAAAAGGCCGAGCCAGTCCAGTCAAGAACCAAGAAATCTAGGACCAGCCGTGCAAGAAAATACAAATCCAATTAAAAACGCCATGCGATGTGTAGTGGTATCAAGATGAGTTAAAGGAATAATCTCTCCCAAGTCTGCGAGGGTATAAACAGACTTGGCGGAACTCGTTTAGAGACGTCCTGTTCATCAAAGGAGCCGCCTCGTTCGTCGTCAAGGAATTAAAGAAGTTAACGTTAAAGAAAAATGAAAAGCTGTCGGTCAGCCAATCAGTTGAAGGAATCTGTAAAGTGCGAAAGTGAATGTTATGTTCAGGCAATAACAGCGGACGAAGGTGTCATAGGTAAGGCTGTCCTCGATTCGTTGGGGTTGGCGGTGCTGGGGGCTGGCATAATCTCAGGATCAGGGATTTGAATGTCGAGCTGTTGAAGTTAGTATGGCGCCCGATTGCGACAAAGAAAGTAACTTACTGTCATGTAACCTGTTTGACGTAGAGGCATGATCTTGGGTGGCATAACACCATCCTCGGCGCCCATGGTCTTTTCCATCTCACAATTCCATTGCTCTATCCACTTCTCGAGGCTATTCAACCTGGATTTGGCGCCAGTGAGACCCATGTCGTCCCAAACCCAACCGGTGACAAGCCCAAGCAGGCTGTCAATAATATTCCTCGCGCTGTACGGATCGAAGGCGGGAATCAACTCTCCATTGAGCTTCTCAATAATCCGACGGAATTCTTGTTCGGATAAGCCAGCGGGGTCCAGGATCTCAGGATAGAGATTTGAAAATGTGGGCGCCAGGTCGCCTTTGATCAACCAGTCGCGACGTATTCGGATGATCCGTGTGTTGGTGTATTCAGGCGAATCGACAGGTACATGAGGGTTTAGATGCGGATAGCAGGGATGTTGAGGGCCCCATTCACCAGCTGCATCCGGCTCGACCTCTTCGCCCATAATCGAAGAGTTTGTCGTCGACAAGGCAGAACCAATTCCATCACCAGCCGATACATTGGACATTCGCGGGTCCATAATATCCGGACCACGCTCCAAATCCGTGCCGTACGACGGCATAGGATCAGTGTTTTCAGTCATCATTACAGCCTTCCCTTTGCCCTTATCGATCTTGACGACTGGATCTTCCACAACAGAACGTTGGGCCAAAAGGTCCCGACTGAGACGGTACTCTTCAGCCGATACTGCACCTCGTCGCGATCCCTTCTCGTCGTAAGACGCACGCACCGAGTTCGGTAGGCTTATTCGCCGGTCGCTGCTTCCTGCCCTATCAACTTGAAGACTTGCACGAGGGGACAACGAATGCTTTATTTGATGCTGCTCGGAGAGTGTAAGAAGAGGGTAATCGCTGGGCCCGGCGCCTAGGGAATCAGGGGGTGCTCGATGATCGAAGGTCGGATGCAGTAGCGGGATGGATGGTGGAGGAGGAGTCGAGGGACGGCGTTTGCGCGACGAGTCGGACTTGGTGTGAGGCCGAGGAGTCGAATTGGTAGGATTCCAGAGACGAGCGGCTGATAAACGACGAGTGCGATGCGCAGCTCCAGCAGCCTTTTGAGGTCGAAAGGGCGAAGGATGAAACGCGGATGGTTGACGACCGTCGGCGGTTCGACTTTGCTGTTGCCGAGGGTTCAAAGCGGCAGCTCGACCAGAAGATGAGCCGGTTCTGGGATAGGCAGGTTGTGGGGGATCAAGGCTCAAGATCAGAGTGTTGCCCGGGACATCTAAGGCGGCCGGTACGTGGTTGGAGGGTGGTCGGGAGAGTAGGGGATCCGTCGGAAACAGGTTGTCAGCACGGCCGCCAAGACGACCGCGCTCGAGAGATATAGCGAGGTCCTTCTCACGCAGACGTGAGTAGAGGTGTGATCGATAAGACTGAAGCCGTGACAGATTTGTTGAATATGTCTTTGCTGCTGAAGTCCTGGTTGAGGCTGAGCGCTAACGGGCAGTGCACGGAGCCGGCGGTGGTGGAAAACGGAGCCCGAAACAGAGAATGAAGGAATGCGACGATTGCGGCGGGATGTCGCTAAGCTCTTCTCGGCAATGCTAAGAGAGCGTGATGGGTCGAAGGCGATGGTGTCTGTAAGGTCGTCGTCGGTTTCGGACTCGTCGCAGTGGATGATCGAGCGGCAGCGGGCAAAGGGATTGCTCGAGTCGTTGATAGTCAAAGGAGAAAAGAAAGAAAAGAAGCGACAAAGAGACCAGACGTCAAGGGGAAATTCGCTGACGGTGGGCCAATGAAAGCGGCACAAGGAGGCTGGGGAGAGGGTGACCGGGGTTTTAGTGGATGACGGGCTGCTGGATGCCCTGAAAACCAGCATATTCAGTGCCCTGCTGGGCGAGTTGGGTTGATAGGTTGTATAGGTCACTTCCAGGTCATGCAAGTGGGTGTAGTAAGCAAGGAATCTCTCAGCTCGTCTTGTCCGTCATAGGTTGCTGTTCCCAAAAGGATCAAATAGGAGAATTGAATCCGGGAATATCGTGGCAGAACTAGATACAAAGACAGAGGAGCCGACTCAGTCTTGGAAAATTACCTATTGGTAGGGCTGTCGAGTTTTTTGCGACTAGTTGTCGCTATGCTATTGGACGCTGAACTCCCTTCAACAGAAGCCGTCAGCTAGGCAAAACGAAGCCAAAGCAGAAGAAGGGACCTTTTTGAGCCTTTATATTCGCTTGTCGATTGACTTTGTTGCTTTTTGTCGCCTTTTGTTTCTTTACCGGTGTCCCCGGAATATGCCAGGGCTCAAAAGCCTAGGCTGACTGGCGGAGATTTGCGCTCGCTTGAAGCATTAGATAAACTAGCTTCATATAACAAACGGTGGTTAAGCCCTGGAGTTGTTGGGGCTGAAATGATGTCGCAGGAAAAGGTATTAGATTTGAATAAAGAAATCGTGTGCAAGACACGGAGGGTGACGGGAGGCAGTCTGGTTACTTTAATACAGTCCAAGTCTCATCATTCAAAACCCAACGCAACCCGGGCCACCGTCCCGAGGTGGTCTTGTCTTGTCATGCAATATGAACCGGACCTCTTTCAGTCCCTTCCTTTCCTCTACTAACTATAGGTAGGCACTTTTCCTATCTGGGCTGTCCTGTTCTTGATTACGTACCTGGTTAGTTTAGGTATGTGATGTAAGATCAAATCTTCATCTTGAATCTTCAAAACCAGGGGCTCCCAAGTTCCTGGGTTCTTAAGGCCATCACTAGGCTTTCATCCCCTGAATGGATTTTTTTTTTTGACAGGCGACGGTTCTTGACAAGGGGGCTTCTGCAGTCCTGTCATCCTATCAAGGAATGTCTGGTTGTCTCCCGTGACGCCATGGCGGGCGTTGAGCCTACTAGATTAGTTTAGGACAGGACATGGCAGACTAGACTAGATAGACCAGACGTTACGGCATCTCTGAAAGCCGAGTTACTAATTCCAATCGTTCATGCAATATGAGTGAGCGATGAACCTGAACCGTTAGGCTGCTCCGGCATCTTCATCACACTACAGGATACAGTATAGCAAGAGAGAAGCTGCATATTAGTACGGGTCATGTTCTTCATGTTGTCATAGTCGCTCCACCTGACCGCAGCCCCTGTCTCAAATCGGGATGAATGGGCGTCTCGGATTTAGGTTCGTCTGGAGTTATCTCCCTTGGCCTTGTAAATGTTTAAGAGGGATGGGACGATGTAGCGAGCGATCAACATTTATTTCATTAGTTGAATCTATATAATGCTACATGTTGTAAGTTAAGCAGTTAATCACCTACTACCTATGGGTTGATAACAAGGCTCCATATCAGCGCCCGCGTGAACATGGCGCCTACACTCGTATATTATGCTGGGTAGCATCGAGCTGAATGTCAAGGTTGACGTCACATACTAAATTAAGAGGCTTGAGCTGTTGCCCTTACTTTTGTTTATTAATAAACACGAGTCCCGAGTCGCACAGGACTGGGAAGACTTAACATTGTGCATGAAGTGAAATAAAGATCGATTCTATCAGCTGCCTCTCTGACCATCATTTATAGATTTAGTCATAGATCTCTTTTCAACGGCTTTCTCCTAACATATTATCGCTGATTCCTGTCTTGTCAACCACGGAGATGGATTCTGATATGTTAAGCATATGCTCGTCTATGAACACGCTTAGTTCAACAATCTCCCTTTACCTGAGATCCAGTTTAAATCGTACTGGATATGGATATCGTACATACCTCAGGTTCCAAGCAAATACTGGACTGTCCCACCCCAATCTACTATTTCCCTTGCATGTCGATCAGCTCGGGTTGGACCCAATACAAGGCATGCACGTCGCAAGTTATCAAATCACAGAGCCATACCGCCCTCTAGCTCTCCCGCCTTTCCTGTGCCAATTCAAAAGCTTAGCAGATTAGGTTGACTCTTAGACACTGTTCTCAGCTGAATCAATCGAAGCTAGCTGAAAAACTTCCGCGTTTTGAGGCTCGACACTACGTACCTCTCATGGGCGAATCCCATGCACAACCTGTCTGCCAGCTTAGTAGCTTTGGTTTTGGCGGTAACTAACGTAAATTTTACCTACTAAGTTAAGCTATAGCTACAAGCGTTAAACTTTGCCAGCCCAGGACTCCCGTCTAGCCGTGGTCTTGTAGAAGCCTCGTCAGGTTTATCAATCAATGAATGTACATAGTAGGTAAGGTAACTAAGTCTCGCCTTCTGTATCAAAGTGACGTCGTTTATTCGGCACTCACCATCATCACTTCCCGTCTCTCTTTTCGTTTTGACGAACTCATCGCCATCACATTCCAACTCTGTATCTTATCGCACAACGTATTCATTTCACAACCATCCCGACTCCTCTTGTCCTTCCCTCCCTTGCTCTCCTTCCCCCTCATTCTCCGCCTCTTCGCAAACTTTGTCGCGTGACTTGACCTTAATGTGCCGCCTTTCCCTCCATTTGCCTACCTCGAATCCTCCCTAGTCGGTATTTTGATTTCAGCAAAAAAAGCCCATCAATTGAGCTTCGGTCATGGTAGACGAGAATACCACGTCGAACTCTTCCGGGAGACCCGCTGCCGGTGTAAGCTCCGGCTTCAGCGCCCCGCCCTCCGGTCATGGGCTTCGGCGTTCCATGACCGTGTCAGTCGCCGAGGAAGCTGCATCTGCATCTCGACGTCAACCCCCGGCATCGCCCAGCTTCGATTCGATCCCCCTTCGCCGCAGTTCAAATTTTTCCGAGTACAGCCTCAATGAAGCTCGAGATTTCCTAAACCCCCAACCGCGAGATCCTAGTAATGGCGATTCATCTTTGACAGAGGAATCATCGTCTTTACCGTCGCTGTCTTTGGCTTTTGCTTTCCTACCAGCTATTTCTGGTCTTCTCTTTAAGAATGGCAGTGCGGTCGTGACAGATTTCATGCTCCTGGGCCTGGCTGGTGTTTTTCTCAACTGGTCCGTAACGCAGCCATGGTAAGTTTAGGGTGGCGTCTCTGTCGATATTTTGCATTTTCTCAAACTATATACTCACATTAGAAACAGGACTTGGTATCACTCAGCGCAGCAAGTTCGGATACAGCACGAAGTGGTAGCGGACAGTGTCATTGACGATGACAGTGACCTTGGCTCCAGCACTCATGGTCCGGGGCCCAACTCAACTCTTGACCATGTTCCAGAAGATGAAGAAGTGCATACCGAACCGACGGAGGAAACACATGAGAGAGAGTCGAGTAAGCAGCAGCGAGATGCCCTCGCGGAATTATACTTCTACGAAATCACGGCTCTAGCCTCATGCTTTCTCCTCCCACTCCTTGGCGCATACCTTCTGCACGCCATTCGATCACAACTAAGCCGACCTTCGGAAGGCCTTGTTTCCAACTACAACCTGACGATTTTCCTTCTCATGGCTGAGTTTCGTGTCTTATCGCACATGATAAAATTGGTCCAGTCGCGAACGCTCCACTTGCAGCGGGTGGTACAAGGAGGGCCCTCCAAATTTCAGCAGGTCAATAAGAATACAGAACAACTAGAGGCCGTCCTTGCGCGCCTAGAACGTTTGGAATCTCGCGCCACTAACGACGAAACGGGTACCGTCCAAGATATCAAACAGGAGATCAGCAAGACGAAGCAGAAGGACAGCGTCGTGGCACGCGACGTTCGTAATGCTATTCAGCCTGAGCTCGACGCACTCAACAGGGCTGTACGCCGTTACGAAAAGAAGGCCACACTTCTCCAGATCCAGACAGAGTCGCGATTTTCAGGGGTGGAAGCAAGACTGGATGATGCTATCGCCCTTGCTGCAAGTGCTGCAAAGAATAGTGCGTCACACAAGAACTTATTTGTATGGGCCGTGGAATCGCTCACCGCCGTCTTCCTCCTTCCATTCAGAACACTTTTACGAATAATGCTCCTTCCTCTGAGTACACTTTTGGCATTGATGAGCAAGGGAAAGAAGAGGAACTCTCCGCCAGTCAAGTCGTCGCGCAGCAATCGTAATGGCAAGACAGTTGCACAGCCCAAATATAATGGTGATCGTGTTCCATCCAGAGTGGCTAAACGATGATCGAAGATTGAGGGGGAACATGTATCCAGTATGTCCTAATAATATTCCTTTTGTCCTCACTTGAACTCTGTTCACCAATGGCTACGAATAATCAATCGATACATTACAACGATCAGTGGAGCTTGTACTATTTAAGACGACGTACCATATCGATCTGTGTTACGGCAACCTTTGCACACTATCCTAAGTTGAATACGTATACATGTAATACTTTTATCTGTATCCCGTATATCATATCCGAAAACAGATAGCCCATAACAATGGTTTGGAGACTATTTTGAGCCTCTCGTCGAGTCTGTGAGGAGCGTACCGTTACTACCATCTGGTTTCGAGAGAAATCTCGAGATTACCACCGCTGAAATCAACAAATCAAGTAGGGAGGGAAAGGCTGAGTGTTGGAGACTGGACAGAATCTGATCAACCACACAAAGTTAATGGCAAAGACTGGGCTGGTTTATGGATAGATGTTATTGATATCACTCTAGTTTGTCCTTGTCTCAGGTTAGATCTAATTACTAACGCCGCACTCGCTTAAGTCGGGTTGCCAACCAAGCTTTAGCCGATCAGAGAGGCGTTTATCATGTTCGGTGTACCCAGTAGACACACGCCTCTTTCATTCGTAGATTTTTGAGGAGCAGCAGCAACAACAGAAGGAATCCTTGACTTGAATTTCGAGAGCTGTAACTCGGAAACCTGGCCGGTCCGGCCTCATTCAAAGCTCAATGAGTGCAGCGGCCAGCATTCAGAGACTTGAGTTGAGAGAGCTGCGAGCCAGGAGTTGAGTTTACCGCGTCTTACATAGTGCGTCCGAATGCAACGTCGAGGCTACCACGCATGTGCTGCCACGCTGTTTTGTGCAAACAAGCATTAGCATCAATACAACGCGCTAATATTGGCAAGGATTCGGGAAGAAGAGTTTTTTCATAAGTGAAATTCATACAAAGCTGTTTAGTCAACGATCGTGTCATTGCTTATCTGTATGAAGCTGGATATAGCATGTGGCCGAGAAAACTGTTTTTCAGCTAGTATTGCGAGCAACCAGAACGAGGTTGGCGCAGAGGACTTATATCCAGATTCAGATTTAGCACAGAGACTATAATTAAAAAGAGAATAGTTTCTTGTACAATTACGTTGGTTCTGTAAGATGACGATGGTATGACAGCCGCATTCTTTGGTATGAGTGCGACCTAAAGAGGTTTAAAAGTTGTCCCGTGGTGACTGGTCCCTAATGAGCTTCAGCAACAGTATACCACATATTCAGATCGTACAAGGCCACCTACGGCCGCAAGAGAGTTAAAGATCGTCAGTGTTTATCCAGAATACCACGTCGATTCATTATTGAGTAGCAAACAAGAAACAAGGCTTGGGTGGAGGCCGTTGGCTCGCCGCACACCTCGGTCGCAGACTGCACGATTGGGATCAGCTAAGTTGGTTGCAGTCGTCAATTTGAGCCCACCACTGATTTTCCTGTTCTCATGGAGGGAAGTAAGGTGGCAGGGGATGCGCGTCTTTTCCTGGGCAATTGATCTTCCCGTCTCAAGATAGGCGAGAAGGGCACGAGCTGGTATGGTGGCATTCATATGAAAATGGCTGCGAGAATGCCCCATCGTGCGGGCTAATACCTTGCTGCACAGTTGAAGGACAAACAAAAGACTGGGTCCATTTAATCACTTTAATCTCCAGACGCGCCGGTGAGGCGTTCGGGTAAAGTAGCGCGTGTTCCCAATGTGGTAAATAGAACAAGGGATCTTCAATGTATCGATGGGTACCTCCAGGCACAAAAGCTTTAGGTGGGGGTGCTCTTCGACGATGATGATATGTGCGCAAGCGACTGCAACGCCCACAGGCGATGATGGTGGATGAGCGATGAGGCTGAGTTACGGATAAGAGCCAGAAATCATCGATGACTGTTCATGAAGCAACTTTGATCTACTTTGTAAATAAATAGTCACAACGTATTGGAATATTTAGATCCGTGCTTCGAGAGTATTACTAGGAGTGGGATGGCGACAGAGTCTTTCATCCACTAGAAATGGAGCTTGCACCCAGTAGAGAGGTAGCGTTGTAAGAGGCAGTAGGCCAGTAAGCAAGCCCTTCAAAGTCAGGCTCAGCTGAGGAATATGAGAGTGCTTTGACCCGATCATCAACGGCCTCATTGTGTGCATCGATCAATCATCGGCCAGTTCGGGTTTGGCCTTTGCTCTGATTTTATGCGACCAGGTATTAATTCACCAAGTTTCAGATAATATAACCAATGAAGATTCCGAGTCAAAACGTTCCAGAACAATTTGACTGAGCGCTTTGACGGCAGAAATGAATTTTCCACCCGTGCGCTTTGAAGAAAGAGTCAGATGGACCCTGAGCGAGCGTAAATTTAGAAGTTCGGACGAGAGTCAAATATATCTCGTCATTCTAGATGATGGTCAGTTCTCAATTATGGTTCACCGAGACTTGGGTATAATGTACCAACAATAAGATCGTTGTGACGGGGTTGAGAGTAGCATTGTCGTCTCCTGAGACAAAGGCAGTGCTGACTGGGGAGCCGGAGGGCGACGCCACTCCATGCATGCATGTATGTATGTATGTATGTATGACTTGTCTACAACATCATGGCTGAAATGTTGTGCTCACAAGCATATAGGTATTGCATCAACAGTGACGGTGGGAAAGGCTGGGAGGGGATGCAGTCCCCGCCTCAAATCAAAAGCAAAGCCTTTTGTTACCTTGAGAGAAAATGTAGATTGACCTATCGGTGAGGTCAACGGGCAGAGGGCTGGGTGATGATGCAGTAGGTTGGGCTACGTGTGACAATGGCATCGGTTGAGAGGAGAGCTGCCTGCAGCATCGTTGCGGTGGCTTTTGTAGCGAGTCTGCAGGGCGTCGTCGCTGCCAGCCATTTAATACTACGTTTTGCTGTGAATGTAAAGACTTGAGAGTCTGGGTGTTCATTGACTAGTTGAAGCAGGGATTGCCCATCGGATGTTTCCGGTCGGGATTCTCGCGAGGTTCCCTCCATTCACGCTCGTCTTTGAGTTAAGAGAGAAGGATACTAAAATGACCAGTTGGAGGCAACATGGTTAGTTAGCTGTGCTGTATGGACAGTCAGAAACTCGATCGAAATCACATGGATCGAGCACTGCAGCAAAGCAGAGTAAGAATCTGCCTGTCAATCAGCCGCTCAGCATAATCCCTGCCCCATGCAATCTGAGAAAAAGCATGTTTAGGTGGAGAAGATTGGCGGACATGGCCTTGATGGCGAGGCGCGGTTCTTATGCGTTCCGTCTCAGACATATTCCTGAGACTTTGTGAAGCGAATAGATGATTCAGATATTATCGTGCCAACCGCTAAGCCAGTGGGTTCTTTATCTTCACCGAAAGATAATTAACGATACCTTTGTATTTTTCTGCATGGTATTCTTCCTCGAGCTGGTATCTCGATCAAAAAGATCATCCATGCCATTTCATTTACTATAGTGTGACTATGGCCTCTAGAAATGGACCTAACACCACGCTGTTAATGGCTCGCTCTGGTCTAAATGGGCTGAACTGTACCTGGAAGTACTTGAAACAGGCACATCTCCACCACAATTGGCTGCCGTTTGAGTGGAAGAGGGGTGGGCCGGCAAGTGCTCCAGGCGTCACCCACCCTCTAGGCCAGGAAGGAGCAAGCCGCTGCAAGCCAAGAGCCGGGAATACGGTACGTACCAACTACAGCAACGGGAGTGGGCCGTAGTTTCCTCAACTAACAGCTTTAGGTGTAAGTCGACCACCATCCCATCACGATAAACAAGCGTCACAGGAGGCCCTTTGGGAAATTGGCCCCAGGCGTCTCTTTCCCAACGGCCGCGCCATGTGCTTCCTTTTCGTCCAGTCACTGCTAATCTTGGACCATGGATCCTGTTCTCGGACCGGGGCAGTCCTGGTCCGTCTCCGCGTCTCGTCTCCATCCAAGTCGAGTTCGAACATCCCACCATCCATCAGATCTCTGTGTCTCTGCAGGCTGAGACAATAACTACGCTATAATGCCACACCTTTCCCGATTCTCGGTCCTCCGTTTTCTTCGCTTCACCTCTTCGTCACTCTTTATAGCTGCTGCAGGTGTTGGATCTTGATCCCGGGATTGCTCGACAATCATTGCTGCTGTACTGGTACTACTGCACATCAGCTGCACAGCACACCTTGCCTTGTCCGTTCTTTTATTCATTCATTCTTGTTTTATTTCCTTTTCATATCCAATAACAGCCTTTGTCTTATCTTGAGTCAAACCTCTATAAGCTTGTCCAACATCCGCTCTTACGATATCGTTATTCCTCGACTATCCAACAATATCCCATCTTTAAATCATATCCGGACTCATCATTCCGGCTTGGGACATTCCAATTGTGCTTCCAAGGATGCTCAAAGAGTCACGCATCAAAAAACCCACTTGATACTTCAAACGACCACAGGCGACCGCGTTTTCGTCATCACATTTCAACGCAATGCTCGCCCCCTGGTCTCGATTGTGGACGCTGCTTTGTCTCCTCTTGGTGTTTCAACTTGTCAGTGGAGAGGCTTTCAGAATAGCTCCAAGGGCGGACGATGACGAACCCCAAAAGACAACAGCCATTGAGTCGGGCTCAACTTCGACAAGAACACAAAGCAGTACTACCGAAACCGCCGAGGCTACTGGCAAGAAACCCGAATCTTCTCAACCCACAACCTCCCAGTCAAAGAGCGAAGCCACTTCCGTGACTGTCACGGAAACTGAGAAATCGGAAAGTTCAGACCCTACATCGACCAGTACAGATGGTCCCTTCCAAAGTGGACTTGACGATTCTTCCTACTACAATGGTATTGTAAAGCGTGAGTAACAGCTCAGAGTTATTGCTAACAAGCTCCCTAGCTACAATACCCGCTGGTCAGCTTCCCATTGAGCCAAGGCTCACACCAGGGTGGGGTGTCGCGGGAATTATCATGCTGCTAACCGGTGTTGCATATGCTCTTGTCGGAATCAAGAATCGAATGATCCATACCTTCTTTTCGACTGCTTTCGCTGCATCCCTCTGCGTTACTGTACTGATTGTATATGTCATGAAGGCTGAAGTCAGCGATGCTTTGCAAGGAGGCTATGTGGTTGCCGTCGTCATCTCCGGCTGTATCCTCGGTGCAGCTTCAATGTTTTTCAGGGAAATCACCGAGGGCCTAGGCTGTGCCCTGGGTGGTTTCTGTATCAGTATGTGGCTTCTTTGCTTGGTCCCTGGCGGGCTGCTCGGACCTGTTGTATCCAAAGCTATTTTCATCGCTTGTTTTACCGTAGGCGGGTTCGCCTTTTACTTCAGCCATTATACGCGGGACTGGGCACTCATTCTGATGATCTCATTCTCTGGTGCTACAGTTACGGTACTCGGTATCGACTGTTTCAGCCGAGCTGGGCTGAAAGAATTCTGGGCCTATGTCTGGGAGCTCAATGATGATTTGTTTCCTCTTGGTGCCACTACTTACCCAGTCACGAAAGGCATCCGGGTTGAGACTGCAGCAATTGTCATCGTCTGCCTGTTTGGAATCATCTCACAGATCAAGCTATGGAAGCTGGTTCGCGAAAAACGTGAAAAGAAAGCGGAAGAGGCTGCCGAAGGGGAACGCAACCTCCGCGAGGAAGAAGAGCAAGTTGGCAGGAACATCGAAGAAGCGAATGCGCGTGAGAGACGTCAATGGGAGAGAGTATACGGAGATGGCGATGCAGAAAGCTCGACGGTCTCTCACACATCGGATAGTGGCGGAACCCCCAACGAGAAGAACAACCGCACCAGTCAAACCGACTCTTCGAAAAGACAATCAGCCTCAATTGTTGAGGTTATCGAGATGGCAGACATGCCCGACTCTGAGCAGTTGAAGCAGCAGCCTGCCACTACCGTAAACCTGATGTCTTCAGAGCACAATGATGATGGCAAAGTCACGGTTCGCGTAGCTTCAGATGATATCACCCCATCGACAACAGAGACCGTGAACCATGTGGCTGACAGCAATGTACAAACCTCAGCCCCTGAGAGCAGACGTATTTCTACACAATCATCTGTCGCTAGATCTGTTGCCCCTCATGTTATTCCCCTTCCATTCACTATTCCCGTCGCCAACGACGACAACGATGCCTGCACCAATGACGACCGTTCATCAGTGGCAACATTTGCTGATGAAGATGACAATGAGTTACACACACCTAGCCACCGACGCTCACTTGCGAAAAGATTATCTCGCCTCTCTCGTGGATCAATGGAATTGCTTGGAAATATGTCCCACCGATCGAGTCGTGTTCTTGGAGAGTCTCAGGAACATCAACACGGTGAAAGCAGCGACGAATTGGTTATCCCACAAAGGCAACCTCGCGACGATGATGGCTCAGTTGCGGCGACAATTGACAACGAGAGTATAAGCGGTGACGACAAGTCGCGTGCAGCCCATGAAGTGCGAAAGAGCATTCAAATCAACGCGGAACTTTCCGCGAACGACAGCAATGATAAAGGAAACACGCCCGAAACTCAGCAAGACTCTTCCACAGCCGTTAGTGCAAATGGTGTAGCCAATCCTGATGAATTCAAGCGACAAGAAGAAGACGCTGTAGAAGGCATGAGTAAGAGCAAGTCTGTGACATCGGGTTCCTCAGCTCGTGTTAGCTTGACCAAAGATCGGCTCCCCCGATCACTTTCCAAGATAGCATTATCCTACCGGACTAACGAATGGGCCAAGCACCTGAGCAACGCAGATGCCCCCGAGCTTGACGAGATCCATATCGCTGCGCCTAGAAGCCCAGCCGCACCCGCGACTGAAACACCAGTTCCAGTACACATGGAAGAGCTGCGCAAGTCCTCTAACGAAGGAACCCCGGTACCGGCAGTTACACGGTCGGATTCGCGAGCCTCTAATGTCTCCAACTCAGCACCCCGACGGGGTTTGAAACAGCATGTTCCTGTAGCACTCGCCCTTCTGACTGGTGAGGGTCAGCATCGTAGCCCTGGCACAACTCCAACTAGCGCCAATATGCCACGGTCGTCTTCTGGAGGGTTACGGATGACGTCGGGAGTAATTTCATCCATCGCAGAAGAACAAGCTGTGTCGAACCCAATGTTATCTACTCCTTCCGGAGAGGAAATGGCGTCACAAACTCTGGGCGTTCCAGGTGTTGCAGAAGGCCAGCGTTCATCAACGCCAGGTATTGTGTCGTACTCGAGCCCTCAGACTCTTCTTGGCCAACGGGAAATGTATCTCCGCAACAAATCAGCAGGAAATTTGTTGGTCAGCTCTTCAGAAGCCAACCTTCCCGCTCGACATAGAGCCTCAAGCGACGCCGGGTCGCTGCATAATTACCCGATGTATGCTGCCGCTGTTGGAGTGGATGTTGACGATTTGCCATTGAGCAAAAGAAAGGAACTTATCCAACAGAGCAGCTTGAGCCCCTCAAACTCGACACCATCTCTTCAACGCCTCAGTGGTAGTAGCAACTTCAACAGCTTCAACACTTCAGAGGCGCTCTTGAACTCTCATCAACCCCAACGCGTGTCGACCCTCCCCACTTCTGCTGCCCGTGAGAATGCACTTGCCAACTTCCGACAGTCAGTTCAACAGGAGTTACGCGCGGGCACGCCCGTTATCAGTACCTCCGGTCGGGAGACCCCATTCACTCCGTCATCTCTCTTGGCCAGTCGGGAAGTTGAGGTCCAACGCAATGTCGATATGAGCCGAAATATCCTGCTGAGCCAGAAGCAAGCTGAGGCCCAGCGCCGCGAAACAAAACAGCGAGAGAAAGAATGGGCTGACAAAGCCTTTGACGAACGCATGCGAAACGGAGACCTTATCGACATACACCGTGAGGCTATGCGCAAACTTCAAAAGAACGCCAAGGACATGTAATCATCGGTCCCCTAGCCCTTTCACTGTATCATCGAGTTTTCGATCACAATCTTTTTATTTTCTACTTTTTTACTAGTTCACATACCCATATTCGATCCTTTGACTATTTATGATACCAACGGGTTTTACGTGTACATCTTCCAAAAATACGGGCTTGGTTATGACGGTTGGGTAAAATTTACGGGTTAGGAAACTCGTTATGCAGTCACTTATTCTTATCATGTTTGTCAAAATCCAGGATATACATCAAACTACCTAGGTTACAACGATAATCACCAAACTATTAATTCTCTACACTGGTCACCGACTACTCAGGTGAATAAGGGCATAATAAACACAACGAGAGCAAACTGCTCCCGTGCAAAGAGTACCTTATTATAACTGGCTATGTATGTCTCCTAAAACAGAATGAACTCTTTTGGTACCTGCGCCGCCGCCTGCAATGATGCTGAGCTCGCATAGAGCGAGTCTGATGAAATAAAATGAGAATGAGAACAAAAAGTCACAAAAATCAAATAGGGAACTACCCGATGTACCTTTTGGCCGCCCGAGAATAGCTGACGGATCACCTGACCCAGCCATTTAGACGTTCCTAGCGTCGATATGTTTCCTTGAGGGGCTCAGTCGTGACAAAATACGTCGGTGACATAGGGACCAATAGACGAGTGTCGGATGTGACGACGTCAGGAGTTGGTGTGTCTTCTGCATCCGCCCAAACAAGTGTTTGGCTGCGAGGAGGTTGAGCAGGCGACTTACTCTCCCACATACGACCGTTCACGACAGAAGGGAGGGAATCAAGAGGTAAGCCTCGATCCAGAGGAGGTCGACGATCCTTCTTTCTTCTGAAGTTAAAAGAAGACAAGGATGGGAGTGGAATGTTGGGTAAGTCGAAACGAGTTCGAAATGGGAAGGGGTTGCGAGGAGGTAGAGTGATTGGGGCTGTAGAAGGCGAAGCAATAGGAGGAGGGTAGACTATCTCTCGACGAGGCGATTGCGAGGTCGAAAATAAGCCCAACTCATGTCCCATCTCGACTCCTGGTGTAGTAGCGCTGTGAGCGGGCTGCAGAGAGACAGGGTTGAGGCTCGCAGACGATGTTGTAGTTAAGTTGCGACTGACGAGAAGACTTTTGATCTTTTTCGGGAGTGAGGATGTACTGCAATCAGTTAGTATTGATCCCGGGTATTAGAAGTGCACACTTACGTAGAGAATGAGGAATCCATGAGGTTAGAGGTCCCAGAGCTGCTACCATATGTTGTTCTGTCAGGATCATACTCCTCTTGGAGCTTGGGAAATAAGTGCCCAAGACCAAAGTAAAGCAATCCGCGACGATAGCTGTTGATAGCGTCCTTTGTCATACCGAAGAAGAGGACGACAGGAATGGCAGCGAGGATATCGATGTAGCAGTTGTTTAGATGTATAAAGGTGAAGCCGTTGGATGGGACAAGGATTACAGCCGACCACGGATAGGGCCAAGTGCGGTTGTGAATGAGATCGTAGTCAAAGGGCTGAAGTGGAAAAGCACCGAGAATGTTGAGAACGGCGAGAGTGATTACAACAGGCAGATAGGGAATCAAGATGGCCAATACCATGAGATAGAGGCGGCGCTTTGTCCTTTGAGCCCGCTGGTTAGCAGACCTGCTGCTGTTAATGGCTGTCCGAGTGGTCCTTGCGATTTGGCGAAAGCGGATATAAGTGAGAACTTTTTGATGTTAGTTTATCTAGGCTACGTGCGAAAGGAGAAGAGAGATAGGTGAACTCACTAGCGTATCCGGATGTTATCAGCGCAACGACAACCGGAGCAATGACGAAGAAGGTCATGTAAGGCCAGGCAGGCCATGCAATCCAACTGCACCCGACAAGAGTAGCTACCGCATATCTCTGTGTAGTCAAAGGCCAGACCCAGGCAATCTGCATGATGGGAAGCGGAAACATGATGAGTGCTTGAACAAGATTGCGCCGGCGCTTCTCTTGGACAGACAGAGGATTAGCACGTAGAAGACCAACTTGCTGAGCGAGGTTGCGCATGATGGCAAGCAGACAAGCCCCAAACAATGCATTCAAGAAGTTGGTATAATAAGGGCTGGCATCGCAGAATCCTTGTCCGGACCACCACTTGCTAGTGTCGTCGTCTCTCCAGATGAGAGCGTTGATGATTGTGTCGAGATTCGCCAATTCGATGTTGGCAATGAAGACAACAGCTGCAAATTCCCCGTTGCGGTAGAGGTTTTTCAGAGGCACTATGCATGCTAGGTTGGCGATTATGCCGAAGAGCACTCTGCAGACGAGATTGGCTGTGAGGGATGGAGTCGTGGTTGTTCCCGGTCCAGGAGCTGCTATTATGGACAGGCCGTCACGACCGAACAAATGAATCGAGCCGGTCATGACGCCGACTTTGAGGTGGAAGAAGCTTTTTGAGGCTTATGAGTGAGTGGTTGAGATTTATGAAGAAAAAGTCAAAGCAACTTGGTGATGTTGGTTGTTGGTGAAGTTGACAGACGCAAAGATGGCAATGTCTTGGCCCAACGGTTGATCAAAGCGGGAAGCGCAAGGACCTCACTCAAGAAGATACGTAACGGCTGTGTTGGTAACTTTATACAGTGTGTTTGAATTAAAAGAACATAAACAGTCGGCCAATTCAGCCTGTCAATAAGGACGGAGAGCTCAATAAGGCGGCGACTTGGACAACATGACGGGCATTCCTGAGGGGCAGGGGCCAGAATTAGCAACTCTCAATTAGTAACATCAGTAGTTTATTGAGCCTTCCCCCTTCCATTTTTATTCCTCCCTCTCTGTCAATAAGAAATAAACAGAAATCTTTGTCTCCGTTTGGAGTAAGGCGTTACTGTCATGCCCAGATCTACAGAGCGCGGCTATTGAGGGGCGTCTATTGACAACCCGATCGGGTAAGTCTAACTTGCAGGGGTGCCTAAGCGAACGAACGAGACTCTAGTGGGAGAAGCTAGCTCACCTTGAGTTCCATGACGAAAAGTCTGAGTCTGAAATCTAGGTACGCCTCCACTACCATGCAAGCTCTTTGGAAATCCAATCTATCTTTTTAAGTGAAAGATCGAGGGGGCGCTGAACTTTGAGCCGCTTATTTTTTTCTTGGGTAAAAATGACGACGCTTGGCTAATTTGGTGGTGGTGATCTAGAGCATTTAGCATCCCTGGATGAGATAGCAACGACCTTGGCAGAAGGATATTATAGCAGCAAGTAAATTTTAAGTATTTTGGTGGAACTCTCTATTCCAAATCATATTTAATTGAATTAAAAGGTCCGTTTTTGGGATCAAGCAGTTCTTGGCTTTTGAATCATGTTGATGTTAATTAAGGTACAGATATCGTGAGGTTAACTAAAGTAGGTCTATAGCGATATGCGGTGCATATTTAACTATCCGAGCCACCAACCTCAACGGCACCCGTTTATCGGGTCGCACAACAGCTCTACGCAAAAACCAATCAAATGACGCATTGAAGAGGGTCCCCTTTCAATTTCAGCTTCCTACCCTATCGCGTCCCAGGATTTCGAAACTACGCGACTGTCATCAAAGTCACAGTCCCTTCCTTATCAACAAGTCCCCGTCAGTTTTTTTTGTCTCCGCTTCAGCTTCTCTCGTTCCCCTCCAGCCAACAACGAAACCAAACAAAGAAAAGTAAAAAAAAAAAAAAGAACAGACGCACCATCACACACATATACCATGTCTTTCTCTACTGTCTTCCGTCGTGCCGCCGTCGCCCCGGCTTTCTCTGCCCGAGCTTTCAGCACCACCACTGCTCGACCTCTGGCCAAGATCACCATTGTTGGAAACCTTGCCGACACCCCAGAGGTTCACCCCACCAGCACCGGCCGCGAAATCGTCCGCTACGCTGTCGCTAGCAACAGCGGTTCCCGTGAAAACCGCAAGACGAGCTGGTTCAAGGTCACCAGCTTCGCCGAGGGTCCTTCCCGAGATTACCTCATGAGCCTTCCCAAGGGGTATGATATGACATGATACATAGCCAGCTAGCTAGTAGCTAGCTGTTTGACATATTCAGAGACAGGCCATTCTGACAACTCATACAGTGCTACCGTCTACGTCGAGGGCGACGCTACTCTCAACGCTTACACTGACGCCAACGGCCAGAACCGCACAAGCTTCAGCGTTGTCCAGCGTATGTCTACCCTCCCAGTTCGACAATGCTTCATCTTCTAACATGGTTCAGGCCAAATCGAGGTTCTTCGACGTCCCCAAGCTCCCGAGCAGGGCGAGTAAACATAACCCTTGGTCGATTCTTGTCCACGCATGGACGCAACCTTTTCGTGGCGCCACAATACCCCAACCGCTGCTCTCCTCTCTCTCTCTCTCTCTCTCAAAGATGATCTCTTTTGTTGGATGCTAATGTATGGGTGCAATGTACGATGAGCTTTAAGGACAGCCGTTGGAAGAACTGTATGATACCACGATGCAATATACTTTTTAACATCACATATTCACGATGTAGTTGAGTAAGTCAGTAAACAAGAAATGATTACTATGTCTATCAATTACTATTATACCCCATCATGCTGAGGTGGGTAACATTCAAATCTATTCTTGCTGATTTGTTCTGATGTTCGCCAATTTGATCCTTGAAGCAACCTGTTTCCAACCTACTGATTCATCTCCTGCCCAGCGAGTGGTCATTCCGTAAAGCTGATACTCGCGAAGTTATTGTCTTACTTAAGGTCCAAGAAGCGGCGAACTAAAGAAGCCGATGACTCTGCAAGCGCAGGGCTCCCAGAATTACTACGAGCCAATGAACAAAGCATGGGCATTGAAAAAATCCAATATAAAACACAACCAGATGAATATCCCCGATTGGGTTGCCCAGAGTAATCATGCGCCTGGACCAGAGGAGCTTTTGGCAGAGTCTAACCAGCATGGACATCGACATATTAAACACAGCACAAGGACTAGCCTCTGTAGCAAATGAGGCTGTCAAATGAATAAGATAAAACGTCGAAAGAGCCAAGGTCCCTGATGGGGTATTTGTTAGGCCGACTTGACGATACCTACTGTGTATCACACAACGCAGGCGATCAACATATGCGCCAACAACCAGCGAGCCCTGAATGTCGGCCGCCACCGTGGCCATATTCAAAGGAAAGTTGGTACGATGGCCTGTCATGCTAGGGGTAGTATGACTAATCCTTGAACCGGTGGATTTCTTAACCATGGTCTGTAGAGTCGAAATTGATGGGATCCTGGTGACGACCTCTTGTTGTCCTAGTCTAAAGTCTAATCTATATAGGCACTTGTATCGAATTAAGGTTTTCGTAAGAACTGCACTTAATATGTGCGTTAAAGTGCCGGGTGATGGTAGAAAGTCTAACTGATGATGGCTTAAAGATTCCGATGAAAACAAGGGGTACGAAAGAACGAATGCGAGTGTAACCAAGTGACGTGTAGCAGTGGAATACAATGGACTTTGTCAACGTGTCTTATGGATAACCCGATTGGCTTTGAATGCCTACTACCCAGGTACCTAAGACTGCCCAAGCACATAACTGGGTAAGAAGTGGAAGTAGTCATGGATGTAAAGTAAAGGCAAATGCGGCCGACTTCAACATGTACGCCTGACTACCTCATGGGAAAAATGGAAGCCGAGAGGAAGTAGAAAGAGGACTTCATTCGGTCGTTGCATCTTCTGATATCTAGTGAATGGGGGAGCTCTATACCAAAGTGCAGCTATCCATACATCCAAAACCAGCAGCAACACCACCCTCCTCACTCTTGTCACCTTTTGTGCGCAAGAGATACCCGGCCTCTTCGTTGTGATGAACCTTTCCTGTGTTCTGATCCCATACACAAGTGCCATAGATTCCCAGTTCACAAATAACGCCTCCTTGTTCGAGGTTGCCGTTACGGAGGATTATGTTGTTAACTGGGGGTGGGGTGATGAGCTCCATGAGGATGTAAGATCCCCAGTGGGACTCGGGAACAGACTTAAGGAACTCGGGAATAGCTCCTCGGTAGATGTTGTTTCCGCCACCTTCTCGCTGAGGCTTCAACACATAGTCTTGGCAAGCCTTAGGGTCAAGGGCCTTCTTTCGAGCCTCAAGACCAGCATCGCTTGTGTCCATGGGGTAAATGTTGGTGAATGTGCGCCAAAGTCCAGCGGCATCCTCGGTGTCATCGCGGATAAATCTGCTGAGGGCTGAAGGTGAAGACGATGGTTGCGGTGTCGCCAGAATCTGCTGAACCTTCTTTGTTCCAGCCAGTTGAGTAAGAACAGTAGGACACTTGATTGCGTTTGATCTCTCCAAGTGGTATCGCGCATCCCAGGCTTGCTGGTCGGGGTAGTCGGAGGGTCCGTATCCAGATCGCATGTAGATGACAGCAACTTCATAAACCCTGGCGGGATTTCGGGGAAGATGGTACAGAAGTTGTCTTTTAGAGGTTTCTGCGATTGTTGTGTGCTTCAGGATTTGAGAGTATGGGAGTCTGAAGACGGGGATAGATGGAGAAGAGTTGATAATTTGATACTCGAGGTGGCGCTGGTCAAAAATGTTCCTCTCGCCATCCTGAACCAGAAAGATGACACACTTTTGATGGCCAAGTTCGGATTGAGGGTAGGTGTTGTAAGCTGCCTCAATACCTGCTGCCAAGCCGCGAGTGCTGGTGTTTTCTGGTAGATCCAGCGTTCCTTGAATGATAGAATTTTCCAAGATAGGGTATTCCGTTGTAGCAAGATACCTATCGTTGTCAGCCTTGGATCATCGAGGACTTAGTTCTCAGTGGTAACTACCTGTGGAGAGAGGAGGTGTGTGTTGAGAGACCACCGAAAGACGAGGCAATGGTGTTAAACTCAACCTGCTTAACTTGCAGAGAAGGGGGAGAAGTGCGAGTATCCTGGTGAACCATGTAGTCGGATCGGAATAAGCCCAGGGATAGATGCTGTCGTTCGGTCAGCTATTAGGGCAGTTTCGTCCAATGCATGGATTCTTACCTGTGTATATCCCTCAGCCTTGACCTTGGTATGGACATCCCATAAGTTTCGAATAAACTCATCACCATCTGCAACCCTAGGACTGTTCAGAAGCTGGCATTAATAGAATTTGGAGCTTACATACTCCTTCACTACTTGTGCCAGAAACTCTTCATCTCTACTCACTGAGGCATACAGCTCGTTGTAAGTCTTCTGAACCGCCTTGCCCTGGGAGAAGCACTGCCTCGGAAAGGGGCTAGGGAAAAGTGTGACAGGCACATTGATAGCAGCAATACCCTTAGGGTCTGTCTCGGCGGCTATTACGGTTGGCGGAGGCCTGACTGTGAGTCCATTACCTATCGACCAGTCTTTAACAGTCTCGATGAGGATGTCCTTTTCTTCGGGTTTGAGAGTGGGAGGATACTCCCCGTCTATAAGAGATGCCATGATGTTGAGATTGACTGGGACTCTGCGACAAGAAAACCGAACGTGAAAGAAGAATATCAGAAAAATGACAAGGTTGTCTCAAGGATTTCTCTGATTATTAACCTGGTAAAGTCGTCGGCTTGCGTGCTTTGGACCTTTGCGCTAGATGGGGTGGCTTAATAATTCAGTGGGTGCTTCTAGGCGGAATTGGAGAACGGCTAATTCCACAAATGTACATAAAAGATGACCGCGGACAATGCCAGGCATTCGTTTGTAAACTCTGAAGGGCATGTTAAATGCATTTATAATGTATTTTTATATTATTATTTGCTCTCGATCCTATCTACGCAGTGACGTAGAGCTGTTTTTTTCTTTCTTCCCAGATGATAAAGTTCATGAGAGATCTTTGGTGGGGTAGAGAGAATACTTTACTAAAACAGGTAAAAAATAGCAGTCCTTTTTTTTATAGACATTAACTAGATAACCTTCAGATATACCTTGGTAGCTCTTTGTGTCGATGAAATATATCATATATCTGTTAGTAGGAGATAACTTAGTACCTCTAATGTTTCAAGTTCATTGTCCATTTCTATTGGCCACAACGGACATTTATCTCTGTTAGAAGGCAGATGATAGGTGCTACCCTTTCGCTCATTCCTCGCCTTAAGTAAAGGTGCCTGACAATAGGTATTTGCCCACTTAAAGCAATCCACCTTATACTTGACAAACTGCCTTTATGCATGGCCAATCAGGCACTAACCTTTAAGATTTTATTTTTACCAGTGCCTACGTTGAAAACTTAACAAACTAAGGTCCTTGGCCTCGCCTTTGTTTGAAGATCACGTGAGGTTTGCCAACCTGCTGGCCTCCACTTTTTCCAGAAGGTAGACTAGGTAGTTACTATACTGCTATGCGCTCCAACATGGAGTGAATGTGCAGGGTTCGGACTTCTAGTGCATTTCTCTTCACCTGTTTACTACGAATTGCATTTACGATTTCATTAGGCGCACCGCACGTTTCCTTTTTCCCCTTCGTTCCTGCATGTCATCAAAGAGAAGGAAGCAGCGAAGCGCTCTGTTACATCTTTTTTCCATCTTTTGACATTCATTTCGTTTTTGCGCTCTGGTCGCGTAAAGCAACTATCTGATCCTTCCCAGGCCTATTAACACTTAACCGACCGCTAGCAAACCTCTATATATTCGCTCTTCAAATCAAGCAAGTTTTTGTTTAGGGCCGTTACCTCCTGCTATGCACCTTTCGCTTCGCTTCTCACATCGTCGCTGGGCCTCTGTCTAGGTAGCCAAGTCGGCGTCACAACTCATGTTTTTAAATATCCTCTTCCGGTATGTCACTTCCTCTTCGCCAACTTCCACTCTTTCAACACCAGATCAACCTAACCAATTATCAGAAATCTCATTTATTGTGCTCTTGAGAGCACGTGCGACATCAAATGGGTGGTACAGGAGAAGATGATCCCTATTCGTGGGACATCGAAGTTGTAGTTCAACAGCTTTGTGTTCCCGGATGTCTATGGAGTAGAGATCCTGACTCTCTTGCAACGCGCATTCGTGAAGAAGAAATCGATGGCAAAACTCTATTGACATTTGAGTATGTATGCTCTCGGCAGGAGTTGATGGACTGTTTAAATATCAGGATCGCTCGCCATAAAGCCGCTCTTTCGGAAACCATCGTCACCCTCCGATCCAAGAGTAAGGGGTATTGGCTGTGGAACCAGGATTTCATGCGGAAAAAGTCCAATTATTGTGACGAGCAAGCCCAAGAGCCAACAAGCTGTGCAACAGAGCGCACCCATCCCCTCAACCTGCCGAATGGTGATCATCAGAGACAAGATGAAACATTCACACTAGCTTCCACCTCGGATGCGACACTCCACAACACGGATGAGAGATCAATACAAGAGTACGCGGGCATGAACCAGATACCGGAATTGCAAAAAGATTGCCAGCCCAGTTCTGTCGAGGATTCTCATTCGCCACCTATTCACGAACCCCCCGCTCAAGACACAGAGGGTGATGAGAGGTCAACCAAACGCAGACGACTGGCGCCTACGCTTCTAGCAGAAAAACCACTCAGCATTGCCGGCGCCTTTCTTCCCACAGAAGCTGATGTTCTTACCTACACGACCGCTAATGCAAACTCGATTTCTGAAGAAGCCTTTCTCTGGGAAGATGCACCAGCGTATGCTTACTTGGGCGACGGTAAGGTCTCGCGAGAGGCCATCTTGTCGCCCAATGACGCATTGACCTCTCTAGTCAGACAACACAAACATGCAGACACTTTCGATTCAACCAGTTTGCGTAGGATACCGCCTGCAAGGAGACTTGTAGTCAACAAGGTTTTAAAGCGGCTTTTCAGAGGTCGCCTCCGAATACCCGAACACTCTTCGTCATCACTAAGTCTACTCTCAGATCCAGACGACGAAACTCTCGAGCTGGCAGAGCTTGGTGGTGTTGGTGACGAGACCGATGACAAGACATGGGAGGAGGTTATGAATGAAGAAGCCGAGTATCAAGTGGCACCTCACAATGATGGCGAATCTGATCCTTTTGTCACCCCTGAGCGAGTCGCAGAAATACTAAACGATACTATCGAAACTGTTGAGGCAAACTGGCGGGAAAAGAAGCTTCCGAAATACGAACGAAAAGCTCACGGCCTATGGCAGAAATCTCGACGCCATGGGACTAAGAAACAGCAAATCCATGGAGCACATCAACTGGCCATGCATCTCATCAATCGCATCCAAAAATTATGCTATGAAATACAAAAGCAAGAATCGAAATCGGAATCAACATACCGCGACTTGGCCAAAAGTCTTGAACAGAGTTTGGAGGACAAGCTGTATCAGACGTGGTTGATCAATATGCTAGAGTCCTCGAAACCGCCCCCAAAGCCACAAGGAGCCCCCAGACCAAAGCCAGCCAACGAGCGGCAACCCAGAGAGCTTCTAGAAGATGAAGTCCTTACAAGCTCCGACGAAGACGATGAATTTATTCTTCGTGATGATCGCTCCGGTTTTGTCGAAGAAAGTCAGCACGAAGATCAGTGCTCGCCAATTCGCACTATGAAGGAAGAACCAATGGATGTTGACCTTACATTTGTTGATTTGACCCAGGATGACGCCGACGACCGCGATGGCTGCGATTTGACTCATCCCATTGACCTGACCAGCCCCGCCAAGTATACGAACAAATCTTTTGTGGAAGAAGCACAGAGTGAGGCTCTCGACACACACACACCGGAAACCACCGTGCCTGAATCCGTCGTTCCCGAGACCCAGGCTCCTACCAGCCCCGCTGAAACACAAACCGATGGACATGGTCCCCCATTAGAAACATCCCCACGTCCTCACGACAATCGCGATCTCGAACCTCCCTCCATCGAGAATTTTGGTGACCTTCAAAAATTCGCCTCAGAATCGCTCAATAAGCTAGCCAAGAACAGTGATCGTTGGCGGTTGTTGATTGGCGAAATGTGGCAGATGGAACATGAGCGAAGAAAGGCAGCAGTCGATTTGATTTTGTCGGAGGAGCCTGATATTATCTGGTCGAAACATATTGTTCCTTACCTCGACGCATTAGAAAAAGATGGGCGAGAGCCGAACCAGGACAGCTCTGAGGTGGTCCTTTTTGATGTTACGCGCCTTTGTCACTGTTTCTTCATGTGCCAGCACAAGACAGACGATCAGATGCTGAACATGAAACCGGCAAAGGTCAAGAAGCATCTCCTGAAGCAACAGTCGCGATCCAATATGTTCGAGCCATTATGCATGTTCGTCAAGCTACTCATGCCCTTCTTTCCTCAAGACAGTCAGATCTACAAGGAAGAGAAAGATATTCTCGATGAATTTTTCCCGGAGGAAGAGAATGACTTGGACAACTTGGACGATCTGGATGGCATTGATGCAGAGGACGACCGAGACAGCCAAAGACCACGGGGAAAGGAAATCATTCGCGACAAAGCCGCAGTGGATCTCCGTGAGCGAGAAAACCAAAGACTTGAAGAGCAAGAACGTCGCAGGATCAGATTAAGAGCAACCCTTGCTTCTCAACCCTTGGCCTCTGAGAATGGAAACTTCATCATCATAAACGAAAGCAAAGAGGAACACGAAGGCTTCATCTGCGTCAATGATCACATTGCTCGTAGTATCAAAAAACATCAAATCGCGGGTGTTCGCTTCATCTGGGACCAGATCGTGCGTGACGCTAGTGTTCGACAAGGCTGCTTGCTTGCTCATACAATGGGACTCGGAAAAACTATGCAAGTCATCACTGTTCTTGTTGCTTTGGCAGAGGCATCAGAATCTAAAAATCCATCCGTACTTGCTCAAATTCCTGCAGACTTGCGAAACTCACGTACTTTGGTTCTTTGTCCGGCTGCACTTGTGGACAACTGGATGGACGAACTTTTGAAGTGGGCTCCAGCAAATGCACTCGGCGAGTTGCGCAAGGTCACGGCAAATATGCCCCTGCCTGAAAGGGCTTCTACGGTCACGTCATGGGCATCCGAAAAAGGGGTCCTGCTTGTGGGCTACAATATGTTTCAAAAGCTTATTGAAATGTCTTCAGAACTATCGAGTCTTCTCACCGGTCGCCCTGACGTGGTTGTTTGTGACGAGGCACACCATATGAAAAACCGGGAGTCGAAAACCAACATCGCATGCTCGCGCTTCCGGACCAAGAGCCGCATTGCACTCACGGGATCACCCCTGTCCAACAACGTGCTCGAGTATTTTGCCATGATCGATTGGGTCGCACCCAACTTTCTTGGCCCATACTCCGAATTCCGTGAAATCTACTCTGCTCCGGTGGAACGAGGTCTCTATCACGATAGTACAACCTTCGAAAAGAGGAAGGCGCAGACAGTGTTGAAGGCATTGGAGCAGATGGTAGCGCCAAAGGTCCATCGTCGCAACATCAACGTTTTGAAGGACGACTTGCCGCCAAAGCAGGAATTCATTATCTTTGTACCACCCACAAAGCCCCAAAAGAAATTGTACCGATTGTACGTCAAAGGTGTATCCAGAGAGGGCGGCGACACACAAGCCGACACGTTCGCTGCCATCAATCACCTTGGGCTAATATGCAGTCATCCTAAATGCTTCCAGGCGAAGATCAAGAAAATTCAAGATGCCAGTATGTCGAGAGGCGATGAGGATGATAAAGCTACCGACAAATCCTTCCCCAAGACCATTATTCCTGAGTTCACTAGGACGCTGCAATCATTTAGAGACTTGAGCTCGCCAGCATTCTCCTGGAAGACGGAGCTTTTAACAACCATACTTGACGAAGCAGGCAAAGTCAATGACAAGGTACTTGTTTTTAGTCAGTCTCTGCATACACTGGACTACCTTGAAAATATGTGTAAAATGCAGAGAAGAACAGTGTCCCGGTTGGACGGCAAGACCCAAGTAGCGGCCCGACAACAACAAGTCAAAGACTTTAACCAGGGTAGCAAGGAGGTGTTCTTGATCTCTACGGCTGCTGGTGGCGTTGGCCTCAATATTCAAGGTGCCAACAGGGTCGTAATTTTCGACGTCAGATACAACCCAGCCCATGAGCAACAGGCTGTGGGTCGCGCCTATCGTATAGGGCAGCAGAAGAAAGTTTTTGTTTATCGCTTTATGGTTTCTGGTACGTTCGAGGAAAATCTCAACAACAGACAAGTATTCAAGATGCAACTTGCATCACGGGTGGTAGACAAAAAGAACCCCATCAGTTGGTCGAAGCGCAAAGGCGATGTTGTAGCAGAGATCAAAGAACGACCGGCAACTGATCTCGTTCCATACCTCGGCAAGGATCTGATTCTTGACAAACTCATCAACCACCGAGAGAATGGCGAGGCAATCCGCTCCATTGTATCAACAGACACGTTTGAGGAGGAGGACCTAAGCGCGACTCTCACTGAGGAAGACAACAAGGTGGTGACAAAGCTCATTGAACTGAACCAGCTTCGAGTTTCCAACCCAGAAGAATACGCCAGAGCCAAGGTTAGCGCGGATTTAATGGAACAAGCCCGGCTGTCTAGAGAACAAGAACAGCTCCTTCGCCCTACACAGGCTCAGCCTGTGCACCGGTCATTTGACGGAGCGATGGATATGCCCGGCGACACTCAGTTTCTGCCGGCCTCGTCAACAGCCACACAGCATCAGTGGGGTCTATCAGGTACCAGCAGGCCGCCTATCCTCCCTAGTCACGGTCCACTTCCCATGTCAATGGCCGGTGCGAACACGTTTTTTCGTGAACAATACATGGAACCACCCACTACACAACAGTCAGTGCCAAATGCGACTTTGCGAGGACTTGCACAGTCGATACCATCTCAAAATCTATCAGCTGGTTCGCCGAGGATTGCGCAATTTACCAGTGCGTCGTCGAATGGCCCGCCAAACCGAGAGTCTGGGTCGGCTCAAAATACTGGAGTACATTCACAAGCTAGTCCCATCTTTAAGCAAGGCGGGATGTTCAGTTCGACTGAGATCTCCGCAAGGACTGAATTCGAGACGTACCTACGGGAAAGCATTCAGAACCTGCAAAAACGCGACGTGTCGACGATGAGAGACTACCCATTTGAGGATGCCAGAGCTCTGACTACAAGGATAGACCGAATCCGTAAGGAGGCCCAATACGGTCTGCTACCTGACATGAGACATTGGAAACTACTTAAGGAATTCATATCACACGAAAATTTTGTGATTGCCATCATCTCAGGCTACATCAGCCCGGAGTATGTGGCTCAGGCCGCAGCCGAAGAGCTAGAGGAGCGACTCAAGCCTATCCGCGGGCTTGAAGAAGATAAAATTTTCTCTATCGCACGCGATAGAGCCAACGACCCAGATGTATGAAACCCTGATGGCATCCCCAGCCTGCCTTACACCGAGATGTTCTTCGCTAACTAGTTGTATAAAAGAACTTGCAGAATATCGGACGCCACAATTCACATCAGGGCGAGAAGCGATCCAAGGCCACGGATGATTTGAAAGTGATGCGGGAAGCAATGGATAATAGGAGAAACCGAGCGGTCCGCCTACCATCATGGGCTAACGAGGCCCTTCACAATGAGCAGAGGCATCGGGCACCGCCGGCAATCGACACACCAAAACCCCAGTTTAATTCCAAGGGCGGAACCCCTCACGGCATCTAGAGTGGTATTTTTAGTCTTGCCATTTTGGCATGGGGCAGGAGTTCACGGGTCATGCAAACAGGCAGGCTGGCAGCATGATGGGCAAAGTGAATAGGGAGGATTTGCGAAGGCGTTACGGCATGGCATACTATTGAGCCATATGATACCCCTTTTTGAGGATTGATTACGCAAGTGAAGGTATGGCAAATAAGGGCAATGTTGTTTTTGGAACTGCAGTTTTGTTTCCCAATTTATTGAGACGGTAGCATTCGCCCCAATGTGTTGATATTGCAGCACGAAGGAACTAGCTGGGCGATTTTGAGATCTATGTAGTCTCGACCTTCACATTTCGTTTATTGTGAAGACGGATAGACAATTCGATGTGCTACTTACAGTAGTATATCTGGCAATTAATTCGTTGGCCAAGATTAGTCTACATCAGATGAAGTCCCGTTATCCTTTATATTCCAGATCACCAAAGCAGCCGGCTCCAATCGGAGAAGAAGGTGTGAAGTGAGGGATTGTTGAGTAGTGGGTACGGCACTAAACGTTTAATTCATCGTACGAGACGGTTGGTATAAAGCCGAGAGCAGAGTATTTTGGACGTGGGGATATCTGAGTTTGACATTTTGAGATACCTATGAAGAGACGAGCTAAAGGATTGATCATAAAGTACATTGCCAATACTACTTACTGTACAATTAGGTTTTTTTGTGACTTGTTCATTGTAAGACACTTGTCCGCCTTTCGATAACCATTCAACAATACTCAACCAATGGGTGTAAAGCTGTCAAGGGTCTAAAGGCTAAAAGTACGACTGCAACGTGCATGAACAGAACGAGCCAATCAAGGGCAATGTATTTCTCTACAGCCGTCCCTGAGTTTGACTCGGGCGGTTTCGTCCCTGTACGATTGCCGAGCGTTGTACGTGCGGACTTTGGAACTCAAGGTTGCGGGCCGCAGCATGGCCGCAACTTGACAATCTTTTTCGCCGAGGTCATTCTGTTTCCGAGTTTTTTTTATTTTATGTTGAGTTAATAAGAGGGTCAGGACTTCAACTAGTCAGTTAGTTCGTTTATGCGGAAACGTTTACGGCGGTTGTAGATACAGAAAGTAAATCAACGGGTCAAACGCTTCACGTGTCAGATCATTATTTACAAACCCCGCTGTCTAGGCCTTACAGCCAGCATCGGGGCCTGCATGGCGACAAGAATGTACCATAGACTTGCCTAGAAGGGGAAATTTGAGCGGAGTTAGTTGAGAAGAACAGAAGAAAATGGACGGAATCGAAACGGAAGTAATTTATGGGTCAATGACCGACCGTTCTTGCCGAGCCATGGACCACCGACTTATTCAATCCTCTCTTTACGGTCATCTATCTACCGCTTTATTATCCTCCTTCTTCATATTTTCCCTCCTTCTTCTTTTTCCTTTTTACACTCAACCTCAACCTCAACCCGCCTCTCCTCACTTGCAAAAGCTCAATTGCTTTTGCTTCGCCTCGCTTGTTCGCTCTCGCGATCGAGTGTAAGCCCCTCGCTTTTTTTTTTATTCACCTGGCATATTTGCCCCTCCAAGTTCAAACTACCACGTTTTGCCCCTCTGGTTCGCTTTACGAAAGCATTGCTATCGCAACTTGACCTGTGCCACCAAATACACGTAACAATGGATGCTGTTCTTCGCCAGTCCAAGGCCATGTGCCCTTTTATGAAGACGGCCACTCCCGCCACTCTGCGCGCCTTGTCAACTTCGTCTCGCGCCCTTCCGGCTCCTGCCTCGCCATGTGGAGGCACCATGTCGAAGCTGCAGCTTCTTGGTCAGCGATGCCCCGTCATGGGTAAGGCCATGGCTGTTCAGACCGCCAAGAACCGCGCTGCTGGCTCTGTTCGTGCCTTCTCCAACCACTCCAAGACTGGAAAGGCCAAGATTCATACTTCCAGCAACAAGGAGGCTCGTGCTGTTGAACGCCCACTCTTCGAAGGCCGCGACAATGGTATGTTCGAATCCCAGTAAAATCTGTTTACTTCTTTCCGTCACTTGATTGTATCTAATCTTGCGCCCAGCTCCTCCTGGTATTCACGCGAACCGAAAGGCCGCATCCGCATCCCCAACCGCTTCCGCTGCCGCCGCTGGCTTCCAATCTCCTGGCAAATTCGACTATGAAACCTTTTACAACACTGAGCTCGAGAAGAAACACAAGGATAAATCCTACCGTTACTTCAACAATATCAACCGTTTGGCAAAGGAGTTTCCGCGTGCACACATGTCTGACAAGGAGGATCGAGTAACTGTCTGGTGCGCCAACGACTACCTTGGCATGGGCCGCAATCCCCATGTTCTCAACACGATGCACAAAACCTTGGAGGAATATGGTGCTGGTGCGGGCGGTACTCGAAACATCTCTGGTCACAACAAGCACGCCGTTGAGCTGGAGGCTACACTGGCCAAGCTTCACGCCAAGGATAGCGCTCTTGTGTTCAGCTCTTGCTATGTTGCCAACGACGCAACCCTGGCGACACTCGGCAGCAAGTTGCCCGAATGCGTTATTCTTTCCGATAGCTTGAACCACGCCTCTATGATCCAGGGAATCCGACACTCTGGCACCAAGAAGATTGTTTTCAAGCACAACGATGTGCAGGACCTCGAGGCCAAGCTGGCTTCGCTACCCCTACACGTGCCTAAGATCATAGCTTTCGAGTCGGTGTACAGTATGTGCGGCTCCATTGGTCCTATTGAGGAAATCTGTGATCTTGCCGACAAGTATGGCGCCATCACTTTTCTTGATGAAGTCCATGCCGTCGGCATGTACGGTCCTCATGGTGCTGGTGTTGCTGAGCACCTTGACTGGGAAGCCCATGCCAACGGTGCCCCTCGCGGGACCATCATGGACCGAATCGACATTATCACTGGTACTCTGGGCAAGGCGTACGGTTGCGTCGGTGGCTATATCGCTGGTAGCGCCAAGTTCATTGACGTGATCCGATCGTTGGCCCCCGGCTTCATCTTCACTACTTCTTTGCCTCCTGCTACCATGGCTGGTGCCCAAACCTCTATTGAGTACCAGATGGAGTACGATGGCGACCGACGACTCCAGCAGCTGCACACTCGTGCTGTCAAGGAGGCTATGAACGCTCGCGACATCCCTGTCATCCCCAATCCCTCTCACATCATTCCTGTACTAGTTGGCAACGCCGAGACCGCCAAGGCGGCTTCCGACATGCTTCTCAACGACTACGGAATTTATGTCCAATCCATCAACTACCCCACCGTTCCAGTTGGTCAGGAGCGTCTTCGCATCACCCCTACCCCCGGCCATGTCAAGGAGTACCGCAACCAGCTTGTCGAGGCTGTTGATGAGATCTGGACTCGCCTCAACATCAAGCGAACCTCCGACTGGGCTGCCGAGGGTGGCTTTATTGGTGTCGGCGAGGAGAGCAACGTACAGAACCCTCTTTGGACTGACAAGCAACTCAACGTTGAGCAGGCTACGAAGGAGATCAAGGCCACCGGTCAAGCCGCCAATGGTATTACTGAGGCGCTTCTCGAGCTTGAGATTAAGCAATCCTCCGAGGTCGCTACTGCTGCTTAAGCGTAAGATATACTCAGCACCTTACGCGCACTGCCATCATAGGTGAAAGATGAGCAGTTCCAGTTCACTTCTATGATAACCATTTTGAGATATCTTTTATCATTTATGCTATCCATTGGATATGTAAATTGAATTATTTTTACGTCCATTACCACATGACGTGGTATATGGAGCAACTGCAACTTTTAGTCTCTCCACTATTTCTGTGATGTTAATGAAATGCTGCTCTCATGACACCTGACCAATTTGTATGGAAACGATACTCTGACATTGTTGCATTTTAAACCGGAACAATGTTTTGCCGATAATGAAGTGAGGAAGGTTGCAGGGATGACCGGCCTCCACAGAACCGGAGCAACGGCGAGATTTCGAGGCCCGGGTCCGTTTCTAGTGACAGGATCCCTGCATATCAACAACTTCAGACCAGTCAAAGAGCGCTCGAGACGACCAGGGTCAACAGAATATTGATCAATGTCTGGGATGTCGCCGTTTTTCAACTCCGTCTCCTTTTCAAACTGCTCAATCTCTGTGAGACAAGCACACTCAGATACCTAAGTCGTGACAAGATGAGTCCTGGCTCAGCTCAAGCTAAGAACAAGGGGCCCAAAGCATGCACAACATGCGCTAAGGCTAAGGCAAGATGCGTCCCCGGCCCTCTTGGGAGCCTCAAGTGCGACAGGTAAGTCATGATAATTGGTTCATTTTTGGGAATATCTTGATGGCTTGCGTTTAATCGTCGCCGTACCAGGCTTGTCTTGTACCATATACATATGTGGTGTGAGTTGGTGGAGAGGTACATATGCTGACATTAGAATTCCATCTTCAAGGTGCCATCGACTGGACAAGCCATGCGTGAACCAAACTCCGGCTCCGGCCCGGCCCCGTAGAAGTCCAAAGCTTTCTAAGATAGCAGCTCTGGAGAAACGTCTTGAAGAGTTGTCTTCACACGTGCGTCGTGAGTCCTCTTCGGAAGAAGAAGAGTCGAGTCCTTCTCAGACAGACGGGAGTCGGCCAGAACTCTTGTCCAGGTCTGATGCATGGAGGTTTGATCACATATTTCCTTCCAAACCAGGGACTGAGAGTAACCCCGGTCAACATCCTCCACCGTCAGCTCCTAACAAGATACGGCCATGGGACTCCTGGTGGCCCACGCCACAGGAAGCGGAGCTGCTGCTCAATGGATTTAGGACCATACACTCATGCCTGTTCCCATTCGTGTGCGTGCCAGCGCATATGACAGCTTTGGAGCTGCGGGAGGATCGACCATTTCTATGGAAAGCCGTCATGATGGTGGGGTGCTTTCTCGACGGAGCTAGACAGGTTAAGCTTGGCCAAGAGTTATTAGCTGAAATTGGCCGATCAGCTGTTGTAGATGGACTTAACAGCCTTGACCTGTTGCACGGCATGCAGATCCTGGTGGCATGGTATGTACTCAACACCAAAATCAACTAGCTGGTCCATGCCTAACTTCTCGCAGGTTTCATTATGGATTAAAGGGCTCGCAGTTGACGAATCTTTTGTTCCTTGCTCGAGCTATCTGCGCCAATCTAAGGTTCAAAGACGATGCGAGCCTCAAGGGCGAAGAATTCGACCGTAACCTTGATCATATGAGGGTATACGTCGGAACATTTTATCTTAACACTCTGTCAGTTTTGCCACTTTGGTTCATGCATACGGCTCAACTAACTCTGGATACAGAGTGTTTGCAACGAACAGACGTCCCGATCTCATGATGAACACTACGCATCTGGACATGTGTTGCAGAGTTATCGAGACAAACATGCAATACCCGTCCGATGAGTATCTGATCAAGCTTGTACGCATTCAACAGCTGACACATTCAATATCTGTTACCATGGCAGAGGACAATCTCGGTCAAACCACTAGCAAGGTACCATTAAATATGGTAGTACAATCGTTTGAGGAGCAACTGCGGCAGTATAGAGAATCTCTTGTTGAACGGTTCTCGGACAATGGTATGTATTTAATAACTTACACCAGTGACTTGGCGCTTACAATATTTCAGATAATCTCAAATCCCATGCAAATGTAGCTGAAGTGCTCCTTTATGAGATCGCCCTCTCGGAGCAACCAGCTGCGGCATCCTATCTACCATTGACAGACAGACTGCAACTTCTCTGGTCTTGTCTCCAGTCCCTCAGAACCTTTTTCGACCTCCGTTTCGATCATCGAGAACTTGAACGTCCACGTTTCCTATGCATGAGCGCTACTGAGTTCGTGTACACGGTTATCGTTGGTATTAAGATCGTGACACTTCAGTTACCAGGGTGGAATCTTGTCAACGTTCATGGAGAGCTTGATGTCGTTGAAGTCATGAGCCAGCAAGCCCAAGACCTGGACATTATTGTGCAGCGTCGTAAGCATGGCAACATGTTGGGAACAGCAACACCTGCAGGAATTCCAACACCGCCGCCTCCTCCGGATCCATTTGAGAGACTTGTAAGACAGCTCAAGAATGTAAGGGATTTGGTTAGAGCTGAAAGGCAGCGGTTGCTGGCGGGGGCTGGTAACTCCGACCTCGTGAATTTTAGTCAGGAGTTTCTGTTGGATGATTCTGGGACCGACTTTTGGCAGGCTGCAGCTACGAGAGGTTACAACGTGTGGCACATCATCGGCGACCCTAGCGTTTTAAACGAGGCATCTTGATACGTCAAGAATTGGCGGGAGATCGTATGCATATTGGCATTGGGATAGTGTGTTGCTGTTTGAATTATTATGGGGTCAATTGGAGACTGTCGACTGATCATGCCACAGGAGTTTGTATATAGCGAATCATTGCGGAATTTCTTTTAAATCTTTTAATACGCCGAGTATCTCAACCCCTACTTAGTTGCAGTATCATCGACGTTCACCTCAACTGCCTTGACTTGAGCCATGCTCAGCCACATTAAGTCACTGTTGGCAGTTGACTTCCTAATGGCGTACAACTCATCGAGGAAGGCCGGTACGAAAGTCCCCGGTCCACGAACCTCAGGTCTCTTGGAAGCAAGTTCGGCAGCCAGTCCAAACATGACGGTTCCTGCCACGGCGGCAAGAAGAGGATCGGCGCCATATGCAGCAACCATAGCGCTGACTGTGGTGCCCAGAGTGCACCCAGTACCTGTGACTTCACCAAGATAAGGATGCCCGTTGCTAATTGCCAGAGTGCGGGTTCCATCGCTTATAAGGTCGATAGCGCCCGTGAGGATAACGACGTTTCGTCGGTGTAAGGCGACGGAGCGCACGAGAGAAGCTTTCTGGGCAAAACTAAGGGATGATGTGGAGTCAACTCCACGTTGGGTGATGGTCGCACCGGCGATAGTTTGGATCTCGCCCTCATTACCCTTGATGATAGTGAAATGGCCAGCTTCAAGAAGAGTTTTGACGGCGTTGCGACGAACGACAGTGGCACCGGCACTATAAAGCATGAGCAAGCAGGAACGGTTTCCATCGAGTCCAAAACTCACCCAACGGGATCAAGAACTATAGGTCGGTCAGCTTCGTTGTATGCCTTGATGGCTTGGAGGTAGTTCTTCAGGCCATCCGGAGTGACTGTCCCCATGTTGACTACGAGGGCACCGCCAAGTTTGGCTAGATCTGCAGCCTCTTCGGCGTAGTTGGCCATGATGGGGCTTGCTCCGACGCAAAGAGCTACATTAGCGGCGAAGTTCTGAACGACCTGGTTGAGATGTAAGCAGAAGTCATGGTCAAGACACCGCTGGACTGACTAGATTTGTCATGTTGTGCGAGAGAGGCGTCTTGTCCGCCACTGCGCGAATAACCTCTGGAATCTTGGCGATGACAACTTTGCTAAGGAGATCACGGGCAGAAGCGGCTGGGTCAGGGGCAGCAATGAGGGCGCTCACTACAGCGACACCATCGAGAGCCTTGGAGGGAGAACCAGCAGAGGCAAGAACAGGGGCGGTGTTGGTGGCGTTGATACCACCAATGCAGACGGTAGGGATAGAGCCGTAACCTGCGCTGTGGAGAGCCGAGAGTATATCGCGGACACCAGAGGGACCAATGATGGATTTTGTGTCTTTTTTGCTAAACCAGTGTTAGGGGTCGAGTCGTACATGAGTTTGTGTATATCACTCACGTCTGGGTGGAATAGACAGTTCCGATACCGAGATAGTTAGCACCGGCTTCACAAGCCTTGAGGGCTTCCTCCTTGGAGCTTGCGGTCACTCCAATAATTTTACCTGGGCCCAGGAGCTTTCTTGCTTCCTCATATGCTGTACGACATTGTCAGTTCATTCGTTGAATGTTTGGGAATGTTGACATACCCATATCATCTTGTCCAATGTGTACGCCCTCACAGCCTACTTCAACAGCGACATCAACACGATCATTGATGAGGAGAGGAACATTGTAGCGGCGAGCGATGGAGTGTAGTTTCTTGGCTGTATCTACAGCGACGCTTCGTTCACTGTGTTTGTCTCTGTATTGCAGAATCGTGACGCCGCCTCGTAAAGACTCCTCGACAACTTGTTCGAGGTTGCGGTGACCAAGAATTTCTGGTGTTGAGTCTGTGACCAGGTACAGACTGTAGTTCACAGTTGGCTTGGTTGTCGAAGTCATAATGTTATGAGGGACTTTGGAGGTGTCAGTTTTTTTAGTCATTGAGAGAAGCAGGATTAGATCGAGCACGCACATCCCAAATAAATAATAGGTAGACACCTACTAGATTAAATCTCACCGGTGGTTTGGAAATCAGAAACAATAATGTTTGAATGGAAGGAGTGGAGTGAGTGACTCAAGGCTGATGAGGTAAAGAAGGAAAATGAGGTGATTGCTTTGATGATGATATAGGGTAGGACATTTCCACCTGGACACTTCCTTCAAAAATACTCAGCTCTTGTACGTTACCAGAATATCATAAAACAATTTAATTATTCTTATAAATTACATAATAATACATTTTGGTTTGGGGTTTACCCTCCATGTTTTAAGCTTGGGCTTGTTACAGACTAATCCTACACCTGACAACTTACACGTTCAATTGTATTCAGGTCAAAATCTCGAGATGTCTCGTCCAAAGATCCAAGTGATTAACCAATAATAAGGAATCATGAGTTTGTTCTTGACACTCATACTTTTGGTCAAATACGCCGTTCGCCAAAGAATCCACGCCGCTCGACCTTTGAGCTCGTCTGGGCCATTCTGATGGATCGCTCTCCAGCCTCCAAGATATGCCATAGTTCCCCAGTTACGGAAGTGAAAGGGCGCAGTCGGAGGACCTTGAGATGATATTCCAGAGTTGAATCGTTTGCCGAGATATGTTGCTTGTTGACTCGCCACTTGGGCTGTGGCAGGAAGTGCCTGGCCTTCGATGTTTGCGCAGTCTCCAATGGCGTACACGTCAGGCAAAGGCTTTGTGATTTCCTTGCCATTGGAATCTTTGCTTTCTACTTGCACACGAAGATGAGAATCAACCGCAAAGCCACCTGTCTTTTCGTTCTTTGCAATCTTGCCCAAGCCCTCGACTTCACGGCCGACTGTCCTTCCAACGAGTGGATTTTGCATGAGCCCTGTGCTCCAGACCACAACACCTGCTGCGACTTCTTCAGGCTCCTCCTTTATACTCATGAGAAGGACATCACCTTGACGACGGATGCCTTGCAGGTGATGCTCTGTCTTGATGTGAATGCCTTCTCGCTTGAAGATATTTGTTGCGTATGCAGCAAGGTTCTGGTCAAACATGGGAAGAACTTTGGGTGCAATATCGTAAATGGTGATGGAAACATGAGGCATCAGTTCCGGATACAGCTTTGACAGATCCTCGTGTATAAGATCGTGAAGCTCAGCTGCAAACTCGATACCCGTGGGACCACCACCTACAACTGCAAAGTGAAGTAGTTGTTTTCTTTGAGGCGTGTTTGTACTAGGCAGAGAAGCCTGTTCGAACTTTTGCAAAACCTTTAGACGCACGGTTCGAGCATCAGTGGCATCTCGAACGAAGCACGCATGCTCCTTGACACCTTCAACACCAAAAGTTTGGCTGTAACAACCAACAGCTATAACTAGCTTGTCGTAGGGAATCTGGAACTCGGGGCCTTTGAGATCTTTGCCCGAACGAGCTGTGACTCCATCGCGTTGGTTGGCCTCGACGGTAATGCTCTTATTGGCAAAGTCAATATCTGAAGCCCAGGCTTGATGGAACTCTGTGAGGTCAAGTTTTCGACAGGGCTCAACAGCGGCACGGAACTCCAGAGTGCCAACGGCTGTTGAGGCTATGAGAGGAGTGAAGACGAAGTGAGACCGAGGAGAAATGAGGACACGAGATGCTGCTGAAGGCGATATTTTCTTCGCAAGGGCATATCCAGCCCATCCTGAGCCTAAAACAACGATACGCTCTTTATGGGCTGAGAGGAAATTCATGGTTAGTTAGTGTTTGAGTTTGAGAGAGGTGGTTTGGCGAAATGTCCACGAGTATTTCATCTCAGCTCTAGTTTTCTAAGAGATGGAATCCTCTTAAACCGACTGGAGCTACATCCACAAAAGCACAAGCCAATTCAAACAGAAGAGACATTACTTACTTTCATGAGCCGTAGTACTGGCTAGTCTCTTGCAATTTAGTCCCCCGAGCCTCATCAACAAGCGCGGCTCTTGACGGGCAAGAGCAACGGCGCTTGTCCCCATGACCATGACTGTTATCTCCTAATCTCTCCGTGAGCGAAGAACCCTGATTATTGGAATCAATGAACGATCCACGATAAGGAGGTTGTTGTTGTGTTTGATAGAATACGGGTATGGACAATCTGCAAGCAAGTGATACCGCAAGTCTCGCCGTGTAAGTGGGCTGGCTTAATGGAATGGCCTCCACTGTTGCTTTAGACTATAAGTTACTTCAAGCCGACGGAGCCGCAATCCAAGGTTGAGTATTCAAGAATTGAGTCGTGACGAGAAGGGCCGTAATTAAGCGGGTGCTTCTTAACTACTTAAGCTTAATCTATTTACCTAGGTTCATATTGTATCAATCTATATCGTCACTCTTACTTGTATAATTGCAGCTGCATGCCTAGTAGTTTTGCTTAGCAGCTGACACTAATAACTTGGGTTTGTACTCGGTACCCCCTTTCTGGGGATCGACCACCAGGGGGTCCCTGTAGACGGTACTTGAACATCCCCCGGACCTCCCGGCGAGGCCAGGTTCGAAGCTCCGCCAACGATAATGGACCGGAAAACAGTCTGCTCCGTGCCGCCGAGACAACGTCAAAGTCAGAAACCCGAGCAAACGAGAACAAAGACAGGAACCCGAAATCTTCTTCTCTACTACGTAGCTTTCAGTATGTTGCCAGGTCTGACTCACATGCCTCGGAAGTATTGACTTGCCGTATACCAAGATCACAGATTTCAGCCTCATTGTATTCATAAACAAAAAAAAAAAGATTATCCATTAACGGATGCATACATAGCAAAAAAACTAAAAATATAGACTCTCTACGTCATGGCTTACTTATCTTAAGCTTGCTTTTGTAATAATTCCACTCCATTCGTCCGCTTCCCTTTTCTCTATTGTAACATGGCATCCAGACTCTCTCCCAGCACTCCCTCAATCTTGACGATCCATCGGTGCGTCTCACGCTCAACTACCTCATCATCGTCCTCCTGTAATTCGCTGATGCGAGGCAGCATCTCGTGTAACATGGATAGCCACTCCTCACCCAGACGGTCCGTCAATGCCTGCTCACACTTGACCGCGGCAAGTCTGACTGCTGCAGACTCGGATCGTAGGTGCTTCAGGAGTGCAGAGTTAAGCTCCTTCTGATGAGCTTGTGAGTCTGCCGCCGAGGCGAGCTCCACAGTTGTTGGGATGAGATCATCCATCACCTCCACCGTGCCGGCATGTGTGAACTGATCCATCAGTACCGGTCCAACGGCGCTGAAGTGAGCCGGAGCCTGCCAGAAGTCATCCTGGTCGTGCTCGAAACAGTTGCCCAAGGTCTGTAGCACCCTTGTCCAGAGTTGTCGCTCTTCAGGGTTCTTCAAATCCACCGACGTCAAAATCTTAACAGCATCCTCCACAATGTATGTAGCGTAATTGGTAACAATCGACTTGAGCGTGCCAAAAAACGCCTCGAGGAATCCGTAGACGCTGAATTGTCGTAGCGAGCGTCCCAATCGGTCACTCTTGGGCAGACCCGAGTTCGACCACTCAATGATCTGTACAAACACAGGTCTGAAAGCTGCGTCGTTGAGCTTGTAAATCATCTTCAATGCCTTGTCGTTGGCACTGGCGTCAAGAGCACTGAGTCTCAGAAGATCCTGCTCGCCAAACTCGCCCTTGGCACGCTCCTGTCGTCGAAGGTCGAAGACCTTCGTAACGATGCTTGACAGTAACGTGGCATTCTTGGAAATACTGGACTTGGGGTGCTTGTCAATAGCTAAGCCCAGTACATCGAGGAACTCAGCAACAGCCTGTGACAGTTAGTAATATTCTTAATTTCAAGTGCAATAATACAACTTACAGAAAATCCGGTGCTCTTGGCACTCTCCCAGTTTCGGTCGAGGGCCGAGAAGATCTCCTTCGCCTCAAGTTGCTTAGCCAAAAAGTGAAGGCAATCGACACGGCTTTCCCTTGAATTGTCTTCCAGGTCAATTTCAGCAGATTTGTTTGAAACCTCCAAGATGCGATCGAGATAAGTTGAAAGCATGTAGGGAAGATGCTGAGCCAGGGCACTAATAAATCCGTAGCTAGCAACGTGGAGCTCTTCGTCCTGAGCATCCTCCCTTAGACTTTCATCAAGGTACTTGACAGCCTGGGGAATTGCGCTGGGCAGCACTGGCACAATTGCATCTTGGAGTACATCCACGAGCGAGGTAAGGCACAGCAGAGCCATGACTCGAAGTCGCTGGTCAGACTGACCCAAGCAGTGCTCGCCGGCGATTGTTGTAGCGGCAGCCACGACTGCCTCGATGTCCTTCTTGCCATACTTCTCGGAAATCTTGTCGACGCATGTGACTGCAGTGTGCTTGTATCGCACGTCGGTCGACTCCCGGATACCGGCAGTAAGCTGAGGAAGGAATGCCAGCAGGACGGCTCTGGATGCGGGATCCGTGTTGCTTTCCTGTTCCACTCGAACTTCGAGAGCGCGGAGAACCTTCTGTCGTAGCCCCATATCCGGTCTGTCGAGCAGGTTCTCCACAGCCTTGATGAACTCTCCAATCGAGAGCAAGTTGAGATGGTTGTGGAGAGCCTGGCCACAACGGCCATGGAGTGTTTTGTCCGCTTTGACCGTATCAGCCAGAACAAGGATGTTCTCAAGGAGGGTAGCGTAGAGCTCCCTCAACCTTGATGCCTCCATGTCGTCGTTCTCCATCAAGCCTCCAATTTGTAATCTGAGCTTCTTGTTGGCCAAAAAGACGGGGAAGGCAGATAGTTGCTTGAGGGCAATCTCTTGGAGGTCCTTGTTCTTGTCATCTCCGTTCTCGCTAATGCCAAGGAGAACGAACGAGATACCAGGCTTGGTCTTGAACAAGTCGGCGATAAGATCGAGCAGCTTGACGAGTGTCTGTAGTTGTGTTGCAATGCTAAAGTGGTTGAGCAGCTCAATGACAAATTGCAACAGAGCGTCGCTGGAACCATATTTGTCGACCAGCATGCCGATGATAGCGTGAAAGAAATCCTCGGGGCCAAGAGTCTCGACCAGGGCAACAAACAGTCCATGTCGGCGATGAGCAGGCATGTGCTCAAAAGCGGTCGTGAAGCTGACGAGGATGTCACAGGCACCAGCGAGAGGGTTCTTCTGTCCTTGGCGCATAGATTGGATCAACGGAGGAATGACCTCCTTGATAGTCTGGGACACAACGTGGGCGGAGTAATCATCGCTTTGGCGAAGTACGGAAACACCCATAAACGTGAAGATGGGCATGACACTATGAAGAACCAGGTTCGGCGCGGCAGTGGCCAGACTAGCGACCAGGAGAAGGGCAGCGTTTTGGACAACGGGGCTAGAAGACTTCTGAATGCAGTTAACAAGCAAGTCCCCGTAGCCACCAGAGCTGTCAATCTTGAGCTTCTTGTTGGACTTGTAGATTGGCATCATGGCAAGAAGGCTTCGAAGAATAAGGTTCTGCAAATAGCCCAACTCAGATCCAACCACTGTTCTAAAGTGCTGGAGCTCAGAAAGGGCAGTGAACAAACCATCCAGCAGATCAGGGTGCTCGGCCGGGTCGGAATTCTCAACCAGTTGCAGAATAAATGTGAGCTTTCGCAGCTCCTGGCTGATTTCGGGTGTGACCTGAGTGACGAGGCCACGGTCACCCCCAGAAGAGCTAGTTCGGCGTCGCTTGTTCGCCGGAGGCTCGGTAATCATCTTTGTTCCAGTTGGGATAGACTTGAGGAAATAATCAAGAATATCGGTGGTGAGTCGCACGCTCCTCAAGAAGTCAGCAGCCTCGGCAGAAACGATCGACTTAGAATCAGTAGAGACAGCTGATTCTTGGGAAATCTCCAACAGCTGTTCGGCCGCTGTGAACTTGACATCAGGCTTCATTGAAGACCAAATCTTCCTCATACGTGCAAAGATGGCACGGATGAGACCCGCCTTTTCTGTGTGCTCCGGCTCCCTAAGGAATTCCATAAAGAACTCAAGACCAGCCACATCGTTGGCGACCACTACATCGACAAAACAATTGTCCATGTCAGACTTGTCCAGACGTTCCGAGCTGCAAAGCTTGGCTGCCTCATCTTCACCAAGACTGGCCCACCATTGCAATACTGGAAGTAAGAGCTGTGTTCTTGTTGTGGTACTGACACCTCGGATCTCGTTAACGGCCTTCAACAGCCTACTCTTGACCAAAATCAAAGGCGTGTGGACAACGTGGGAAGTAAGAAATTGGAGAAAGGACAGCCTTCCAGGCTGAGACAAGTGGTCCTTCTTGTCCAATGAAGGATCTGGTTTAAATTGGTATTTGCCTTGTTCAATGGCGGCGCGAAGGACGGCAGTGATATGTTCGGGGTCCATAACACACTCCTCTACAGTGGGGAGAATCTGCAGGTGCAAAACCTTGGCGACAACGTCGGAAGTCAAAGAAGCGAACTCCTTGGACTTTCCATAAAGACCTTGCTCACCCCAGAGGTCCAGTCCCTTCGCAGGCACAGGAGGAACATAAAGGCCAGTGAGAACAGTAATCAAGTCGGCGGCAGCTTTACGGACTCGCTTCGAGGGGTCGCTGAGGGCGGAGATACAGTAAGGAAGCAGAGCTTGAAGATCGGTCTTTCCTGCATCGCCAGCTTTAAGCCTTCTCTTGACCATATCCAGAGCTGCGACACGAGCCAAAGCTGGGTAGGGGCCGGTCCAGATACGGATGAAGAAACTGAAATAGGTGCAATCCTTGAAGGCTGCCTGTCGGTGAAGCTTAGGGTTCAGCTCGAACTCAGAGAGCAGCTCAGTGCTTTGAGAACTCTCAGAAACAACTGTGAAAAAGATGTGGCTGAACTCGTCAAAGATCTCGCTAGGTTGGGGAACAAGGCAGGGAGAGAGTGATTCGGATCGGCCTGAAAGCTCCTTAAGCAAAAGACTCAAGTCTTGAGGTGTCTTCTTTTCCTCGACGCCATTACCCATTTCCTGATCGCTCTTTGATTCGGGTAACCGGCGCGAGCGGAAGGAAAGGTCGAGTTTCATTTCCAGCTCCTCAATATCGAACTTTACTTCCTCAATAACGGATTGAATAGTGTCACCAGACTTGCCTTCGTTCTGAGACAAGGCGATAAGGGCTGACCCGAGCTCTCGTCGAAGGGCACCGTCTTCATCATTGTCATCGTTCAGTCGATGCGCGGTCAAGATAAGTGACTTGAAAATGACGGCAATTTGTTTGTCCTTGAGAACAGAGCTGCTCAGAATAGTGATGATTGTCGCTAGACCTCGAGCGTCGCCCTTCTTTGTAAGTCGCTCAATCAGCGCAAGGCAGAGGCCGTTGGCCAACTTGTCAACTCGTCGGTCTTGGCCAATCTCGACGAGAAGGTTTCCAATGTCTGTGACCTTCATCAATGCCTTCGTGGTCTTGCCGCTCATCTGCTTCGCAGATCGGTACTGCGCGAGGGTGGCGAGCACGACAAGGGCTGGCCTCACAGTTTCGGTTGTCCAACCATAAACAGTCTGGTCCATGAATGCGGTCACGGCATTGTCTTCGAGATTTCCCTTGGCAACAAAAACTGCAATGGCCATGTACGAAGCGATTTGAATGCTAGGGACCTTCTTCATAACTAATGATTCGGCAAAGATAGGTCCCAGTCGGTGAAGCAAGTTTTGGTCGTTTTCGCTCTGCACATTAGCCCTGCCCGACCGAGTCTTGTCCAAGATGCCACCGACTGCCTCCGTCATAATGCCGGCCCAGAAAGAAATCAAGGTAGGATAGCTGTACTGCATCCGGCATGATTGGAGGGTGTACTCGGAGATGAGCGAAAGGAAGGCAGGGTGCATGACGGCCTGTCGAACCAATACGGATCGGGGAGGAGATGTGACGGAACGGATGTAAGGGTCGAGGAAGCGGAAGTCATACGGAATCTTGTTCGGAAGGATCGATAGTAGCGTGGCGAAGGCTGGAATCGAATGATAAGGTAAGAAAGTCAGTAAAAGAGCCTGTGTGTTCTCCTCGTGAATCCTACGTGGTATTAGTTTGATCTTTCGCCAACGAAGAAGACGGTCCTTACCTGAATCTTCGGATGAGCCACTCAATAGACTTGATCGCAGGCATCAGCCTGAGTCGGCTACCTGCAAGGCGCAGGAAAGCCTCAACGCGACGATCCAATTCCTCATTCTCGGCAGCTGTGAGCTGGGTGCGATCCTGGTTCTGACTCTCCTCGCTGAAGATGGTGGAATGGAACGGCGCAAAACGAGCATCTAACTGGCAGAGCTCCTCGAATCCTTGAATACAGGTGGTGTAGAGGTTTTGATAGCTTTGGGTAGCGGCAACTCGAGGCTCCCAGATTAACGATTTGGAATGGGCAGCCTTTTGCGCCTTGACGTTAAGAGTCGACTTCGAATTGGCGGCTACCTGCGCCAATTGAGCGGCGAGAGAGGTCGCCATGATGATTAGGGCTGAACCTCAGGCTCTGGGCGGTAGACGGCTTGGTGATGTTGATACAGTGATCGGTGATAGCATCAAGTATGAGGTAGTAGGTAGGCCTGGAAATTTTTTGGCGACAGAAAAAAGTATACTGGAGATTTTGTTATCGATAAGAACGTGCTGGGTCTAGCGTGTAGGTACAAATCCATATTTCATCTTTCCTGTCCACCCTGCCCCACTACCTACCTAGGTACCTAGGTAAGGTATAAACATAGCAGACGTTGAGTGTGTATTGACAAAAACAGACTTGGGTATAGGTTGAAAGTGCAAAACAAGATAAATATTCTATATACTATCTAATCTGTGTAGGTCTTTCCATGATCAAAGTCTGCTGTGTCGAATACAATTATTAAAAAAATACATATTACTAGGTATACATACAAATCCATCTACCGGCTCGTTATCACTTAGTAACTACCTACCTATTGACTAAGTGTAATTTCTTAAAAGCCTTCTGCATTACCTCAAGTAAGGCCATTATTCGTCTATCCAAATAGCTAGACTTGCCATGTCAATATGGAAGTTTGGTCCACTTCGACATTCATAACATAAGATAAGACTATTGGCTGACACATGAGAACGTGTGGGACAGCCTGTTTGCCCATCAAAGAGAACACTCAAGCCGTCGAGTGCCTGTATCCATTGTTAGACCTAAAATTTCATTTAACCGCATCATTAAGGCTGTTGAACGTAACCAACTGGTCTTGCGTAGGACTTGACCCCCGCTTATTTCGCGCAACAACGAGAGCTTCATTAAAGCTAGATTCTATTACAGTATCAAATGGCTGTAAGAACTACCAATAATGTATAGTAATAGAGAATGCTCACATCCCACAGTCCACAGTTTCTCAGGTTGTTCTCTTTGGAGACTCCCTGTTCCAACAATGCTCGGATCTCCAGGAAGGCTTCTCTTTTCAAGCTGCTCTGCAGTCAGGTGAGAATCTGTCTCTTATTATACGAGCTTGAAACAATTCTGACATTGAAATCTCTCAGACTTTATCCGCCGTTTGGACATCGTGAACCGGGGCTACTCGGGCTTCAACACCGATATCGCACTTAGATACCTTCCTGAGATCTTTGCTGAGCGCACAGCCTCTTCACCTAAGATGGATTACTTGGTATGGAAGCCCACCATCTGTCATGAATGACATGAAGACTAATGCCGCCTAGGTTCTTCTGTTTGGCGCCAATGATGCCGTACTCCCAGATGCTTTCACCAAGCAACATGTTCCCATTGATCGATATAAGAAGAACCTCACACAAATCATCAACCACCCACGTATTGCGGCGCACAAGCCCCAGATTCTCTTGGTGACCCCTCCCCCTCTGGATGAAATCAAGGCGACGCCTCGGTCCATCGAAAATGGTCATAAGGGGGCTGTTCGAATGTCCGCTGTCAGCGCTGCCTATTCTGAAGTTGCCCGTGAAGTCGCACGAGAGAACTCTGGAGTGATCCTCGTCGACCTTTGGAAAGGCCTGATGGATAAGGCCATCTCCCTTGCCCCCTCAGACTACACACCTGACGGACCATGGCTGGGCGATCCTAAGAATGGCAAGCAGGGGGGCTTGGACACTCTCCTTCACGATGGACTCCACATGAGCGGTGCTGGATATCAAGTATTCTATGAGACCCTGAAGCCGTTCATTGGTAAAGAGTGGCATGGTCTTCCAGGCGATGATCGAAGGGGTTTTGTGATTCCTGACTGGCGAGAGCTTCTTGAGCTCCAAGCTAATCTTAACACTGGCGATTAAACGGGATGGTATTTGCGACATTTGAATACCAATGGTCCTTTTTAGACCTGTCATTAACATAGTATACTGCGCGCCAAACCCGTTCTTGTGTGATTTCGATCATGATAACCGAACAGGTTTTGCCTTGCTGTTAATCTGCGACCGAATGTCTCAGTAACATGAAAGTGCTGTTGGCAGGTATCCTTCGATCCATGATTGCCAAGACGGCCTTACCCCACTACTAACAATAGAAGTTGAGCCCCTCGTAATGGAAGCCTTTTGTAAAGAAAGAACTGGACATGTGTTTTTACCTTTGTGTATATATCTATTCTTGCCTATTGATTGACTATTAGGGTGTTTTAAGTATACAAAAGCATTGCTTCTCTATGAGGATGTGGTTGGGATGTGCTGCCTTCATACTTGGGTCCGTGTTCCATAACGTTTGGATCACCTAAAAAGAACCTACGTAGGTACGTAGACCCCCTGACGTCCAATGCTTATAGTGGCTTAGTGGGTTGCATTAACACGCCACAGGCGCTACAAAAACCCGCCACGTTAGGCCTGCCTTGAACTTGGACTCAACTACGTATCTCCACCCTAAGGTTGCTTCATTCATTCATCATCCCTCGAATCCTATTCAACCTCGAAACTTGATATCGGACCTCCTCTTTTGGCGATTCGCCCCGTTTTCTGTCTTGAAGTCCTTTCCGCCCACAGAAAGCCCTTATACGACTCCTTCTGCCCACGAAATACCCTCGACGTCGCATCTTCTGTTCTATAAGCGATCCGCTTCGAATACAATCGCCTTCCTTTCGCGCCGCCCAAACGCATCTTGAACCCGACCTTATCGTGCATATCAAGATCAGATTGAATCGAATCTCGAATAGCCACTTGCTCTCTGCCCTTGCCTCCCTTCAAGTGCGATATCTTGTATTCTTAATCCTGTCAAAATACCCGACCGCACTTGTTGTGAACAGCAACTTGCTTCATTGCGATAACCGGCAGCAAACCATAACGTGCAACCGAACCATACGCCTGGAACCTTAACGACCGACCCCAGCTCAAATTACCTGGAGTCGGTGCGCTCCATTTTGCCTCGCATTTGTCGACACATAGCATCAGGCAACCAATCTATCATACACTCACGGCCATCGTTCCCAAAGGATCAAGCGATTCTCCAGGTCGCATTCTGCTTTCCCAGAGACCTGTGGTCTACGCCAGGCGATGCGGCGGGGAGGGAGGACCTCGTGAACTATTTTTTAACTGGGGATCGAGGTCGGAAGTGCCAAACTGTTTGGCTGGCGAATAATACCTGTACGGGCCCCAAGCTCATGTTGTATGGTTGAAATTAATCATCTTATTTGCCATTCATTCCTTGCCAGCGCTCTCGATTTTCTCTCGCCTTCTCCGAACTCTCTCTTGCTGAGATCTCTGCAATTAATCAGACACTCCCATATATATTAGCATATTGTATGACACTGCTCTGGGGATGGATCCTAGATTTCTTGTCTCTCGCGAAGATCTGTACACCTTACAGATGGAAATGAAACAGGTGCAGTATGCCCAGAGCAATCATGCCGAACGACTTTTGCGATTGGAAAAGAAGCAGGCGGACGATGCTGCCTTGAAATCTGTCTGGAATTCTCCTTTTCCTGGAGTCTTGAGTGGCACTCCCCAGACAGGTAAGCCAACTGCCCAACACTGTCAGCTGTTTTCTAACGGAACTCTAGGACCTGTTTCTATCCCACACAACGATATGTTTGATGATCTGGACGAACAAGGTGAGGAACTTTTGGGATCTCTTCATCTTGGACCAGCAGAGGAGGAGCCTGTTCGTCGCGGGGCTGCTTCGCGGGCCAATAGTGTTCGATTCGACGAGAGTGCCTTGCACGGGTCAAGCTGGGGTGGCCCAGGGAATCGCCACTCAGGAGACTTTGGGCCCGTTCGCCCTGGAAGCGGTCTTATGATGGAGCGTTCGCTATCACACAAGTCAGACGGTCGACACAGTTCTGCAGGGCATTCGGTGCACTCTCATCACTCTGTTGCTTCTGGTCGGGCTAGCAGCTTGGGCCTTGACAACAACTTCGCTGTTGGTGACGATGACGACGACTCTTTCGATATTCCCGGTCCTCCTCCTGCTCTCTTCGTCCTTGGCACAGTGCCCTCAATCGTGCGATGCTGGCTGACCCCTAACTTTGGCCATTCCACACTCCTCTATGCTGACGTCTGCAGTGGCTCGCAGAAGTCCACGGTTGACTTTTTGCTGCTAAGAGAGTTGGACTTAGTCGATGAGATTCAACGTGACGTTGATGGTCTCCATCGTGTAAGGTTGAACGTCTACTTTGCCGAAGCTCTCTCCACGCACCATGGCAGCCGCTCCAGTAGCCCTCGACCTCCTGTTCCTTCAATCACTGTCCTTTTCGAGGTTTCTGGGCTTACAGAGCAGCCTACCCAACCGGCAGACCGCAAGGCTATTCGTATTTATCTGGGTAGTGATGTTCTGAGAGCTCATTCTGCAGATATCCTCTTTTCTCAGAACACCATGACACTTCGTGGTGACGAACGAGAACGGCTCCAGATTCCATTTGTCCGCCCGGAAGACGAGAGCACTTTTCGCAATATTTGCACCACAAACTTGGTCCCTGAGAAACCTAAGCTAAATGCCAACGCTGCACCTTTCGTCTCTGGTGATTTTAGCAAGGCTAGCCAGGAAAGCATTCACGACATGGAGCCCACTAACAACCAGGGCTATGAATCTCGAAGCGAAATGTCGCCGATGGCAAGCGAGGCAGCCCTTACCAAGCGCCCTAGCTCTAGAGGCAGTTTGTCTGGCGCAGAGAGTGAGCGGTCTCGGAGGGTCACCAATGGAGAGACATCGAGTCCTAAAGATGGCATCGCTGAACATAGTGCATCCGAGACCAGTCAGCGGGAGCCTCCTTCTGGTATCTGGGGATCCTGGCGCCACGGGTCAGGTAACGGTGCAGACGGTCCACAGCGAGACAGTTCGTTAAGTGGATATCAACCCGCTGGTCGGGGTCGCAACATGAAAGTTCTCAAGCCTCAAAAGTCAATCTCCAGAGTGGGCTCCTCCTATGACCCCTCTCCTTCAACCAAGAGCTCGGTGGATAGCCGGCGTAAAAGTCAAGCCGGGGTTGGCGAGAACGGTGTCACTCCTGCTAACAGATGGGAGGCCAAGCGCGTGATGAGCGTGGGCAGTGCCGAACACAAGGCGCAATCGCAATCGCAATCGCAATCATCATCACCGTCTGTGAACCGCGAGGGGCGTGCTGTTAACGGTAATTCAAACAATGCTTTGCCCAGGTCAGCCAACCCCGTCGGTGTTGCTTCGGCATTCTCGTGGATGACACCAACATCGAAGCACAGGGCGACCGCAGGCTCAGATTAGAGAGATTCCAACAATAGCTTCTCGTCTTTCATTCTTTATTATCGCTTCCCTTGACGGCCTTGTAGGTATGAAGACGTTTCGGAGACAATGGCCTGGATCTATTGTGAATGGCTATAGCTATTTTGAGCTGTAAAAAGCGATTATCCGGTGGAGGTCATACACTCTTAAGGACAGAGGATGATAATAATGATAATAATGGCGATTTGATCTTGCGGGATAGATAGACAGGGTCAAGGAAGCTGTTAGCCCTTGCATTCAACCAAAAAATAAGCAAATTTGTAACGTTGATGGCGTTTGTGCTATACAAAACTATGTAGTGGAAGGCTCTGTCGTCAGTCTATTATGAAATACGCCGCTGTTTAGATCTTGGACTCTGAAGGCAGAGTCTGCCAAACCTTCTTAGTATCGGCCATTGATTCCTTGACGACACCAAAAAGTCCCTTGAAGGCTGAGTGCGATGCGTCTCCCACGCACTCATACATCCAACTCTCGCTCGAAGTTACTGTGATGCCAGGCTCGGCGCGCAATCGGTCCAGCGCAATGCCCACCTCGCGGGGGTTACAACTCGACACTCCATCAGCGATGACATAAACCTTGTGGCCGGCGTTACGTAAATCAAGTGCTGTCTGAGTAATGCAGATGTGAGATTCAATGCCGACCAGAGCGATCTCAGAGTTCGGAGGTAAATCGGCAACGACAGAGGGGATGACCATGGAAAACTTGGTCTTGTCATGAGGTGCCGAGGGCAGGAGCTGGGCAAGAGATGATACAGTAGGACCAAGTTTAGCTGAGGTTTGAGTTGTGGTTACAACGGGGACGGAAAGGGAGTTGGCGAATTTGACAAGTTTCTGTGTGGTAAGGACGCTGTGGTTAGTTACTGGTTAGTGTGACGGTAAACTTTTGGTAGGGATGAAGGAAGACATACATGCTGTCAAATTCATAAATGACCTTGCGGAACTTTTCTTGAATGTCGCAGACGCTGTGTAACTCACAGTTAGTTTCAAATTGTTGTACCGTACTATTCATGTAGGCTTACAATATCCTTGGGTTCTCTGCAATTAATGGTCAGTATTTTTTTTTTTTCACTTTGACTCCATTGTGTACGACGAAACTCACTAAACCGCAGCTCGTTCTGCGCTGAAGAAGACATGGCGTGCAGCTGTACCTTATACACAGTAGACCGAGTCGAAATATTTCCTCCAATAGTTCCTCTGATCAAATGAGCTGTCAGCGAGTTGCCAGTATTCGTCGCTGCAGCAGCCCGTGAACCGATAGGTAGTCGAGATATCCCACGTCGAGCAAGAACTGGTGCGAGCGCTTGCATATCCACGAGGAGCGCAAGAAAGAAAAATGAAAGGAGGTAAAGATAGAAAAGTGGAATATGAATAATTCCAAATCAAACTTATTCCGTATTGCTTCTTGTCATGCAAAAAGAAGTCTCGGTCAAATTCTGTAGCCGGTGTTCGGCATCTGAGACATTTGGAGTTTGATGAGTGAGTTAAAGTGGGAGAAGTAATTCTTTACCGTAGCTGCAGCGCGGGGGAACGGCAGTATGGAACCTAGGTAAGTAAAGTGGGGGGGATCGCCCGGGGCGGGCGCTGTCTTGGGTTCATGCAGTAGCGCAAGTGCCTTGTAAATTTCCTATGAGGTCTGGCTACAGGTGCCCAACAGGCCCTGGGCCAGGGTCTGAACGCCATGTCTGGAATGTGGTCCAATAGCGTGGTACAATAATAGAGATCGACATCAATGTCTCTTCTTAATATCACAGTTTGACTCATTCAGCATGGCTATTGTACAACGGCTTTATCTAGCAAATAATCGAATCAAATTAATTCTCTAAGTAGTTTTATCAATCAAGATTTTCCCCATCTTGCCGAGAATGTTAAACAAATCAAAGATCCCCTTAACTCCGGTGTTGTTCTCCAACCGTCTATAAACCATCCCACCCTGTCCTTTATATATAGGTACTAAGGAGAGGAAACAACTCTCCAAGTTGCGCCGTCACTCTAAGCATTGACCTCTGCAAACCATGTTCGCAAAAGACCAGCCAGCGCACTTGGTAACTCTTCAAGATTGTGGACAATCAAGTAGTACTGGAACGGGAACGTGTCCAGATACCTCTCAATCACCACTTTGCTTTCTCCGCCATCCCGAACAAACTTGGCTTCCTTGAGTTCAAGTACACTATCGCCCTTCTTCTTGTCCGTGTCATCCATAATAATAAACACGATCATGATCCGCTCTTCCATAGCCTCTCGCAGCATTCGTCGGATACCCTCATGGGCTGACGAAGGTGTGAGACCGTCGGAGAGAATGAGTGCGAGTTGCCAGAGATCTGCATTACCACTGCCTTGTTGTCGGGCCTCTCTGAAAGTTTCGATGGTTCTTTGAATGAGAAGGCCAATGTCGGTGCGATCTTGAGCGAAATTGAATTTCTGCAGTACCTTGGCTCCTGCATCCGAAGCAAAAGGTTCTGTGAGGCCATGCGCGCTGAAAACGTCGGCGCCAAAGCCCATGACACCAACTTGTCCAGCTTCCAACATTGTAAGTGAGCGTGACACCATGACGAGGGATTCCATCGCCAGGGTACCCGATGATGTCTCCCCCATACTCTTACTGTCATCCACGCAGAGAAGGATCTGGTAGGTTCGCTTGGTCGGAATACTGCGTCGCATCCAGATCTTGTCTCGCTTGTAGCTCGAAGCAATGTATGGGATAATACGTTTGATGCTGAGCCGCTTACCGGTACGGAACCCACCCGAGAGCTTTGTTGATTGCGAAGGTGTAAGGATGAGTCGGAGCTGAGATGTCAATGCCAACGAGAGCGAATGTGTCTTGGTCTGGAACTCGGTCCACTGTTGCATCGACTCTCCAAAGTCTCGGAGCGGACGTTCTTCATCCGAGATGTGAGTGATGGAGAGTTGAGTCGATGTTTCCTGAATGTCTACTTCGTCTTGGTCTTCTTCTAACATTTGCGTCTCTTGCTCAGAAGGACTGAGCTCTCGGTCGTAGTTACCTTGGCGTGTCTTGACTCCTGAGCGGGTGTCGTCCTGGTCCTTGTCTGTATCTTGATTGATGACATCTGGCGCCTCGGTGGTGTCGGCGGTATCCATTTTGTCGGGATCCTGCTCGGTCTCATCCTTGTCCTCATCCATCAAACGGCTTGTGGGATCTTGCTTCTCCTCATCGATAGCCATGGACTCGTCAATGGGCTGCACCTGTTCGTCATCTGCAGTTCCCATAGCTTGCGTGTCCGTGGCAGTCTCGTCGTCCTGAAGATGCTGGAATTCCTTGCGACCTTGGTCGGCGCTTGGATCCTGTGGCGCGTTTTGTTCATTGGCCTCGGAGGGTTCGGCATCCTTGATGTCCTCTTGTTGTCGATGCCAACGTTCAAGGGCATCACCGAGTTTCTTGAAAGGATCGCTACGGGCCGAGTCCGGTTTGTCTTGCTCTTGATCGGCTCTGTCCATAATCTCCTTTGACTGCGACGTAGAACCCTTGTTTCCTGCGCTTGTATCCTGGTCAGCGGCCCCTTCTCCCATCTCCCCATCCTCCTGTTGAGCGGCATTGCTTTGGAAGTTATCATCGACGTCCATTGAATCTGCATTCTGGTCTTGACCAGAGGTCTTGACATCGCTTGGTGCTGCATTGTCGGTGTCTGTCGTAGCGCTGTCTTGAGGAGGTTGGCTCTGATCCGTAGCATCCTCCTGTTCTTCGGCTTTCTCTTCTTCCTCTGGCTTGACTTCCTCATCGACCTCATCCTTACCGCCAGCCTTTTCCTCGGGTGTTTCCTCATCCTCTTCAATTCCGGCTTCTTCTCCTGCCTCCTCTTGTAGTTGGGCCTCGGCTGCTGCATCTTCTGAGTCTTGATCCGCATCATCGCCCATTTCCTGGTCCTCGACTTCTTTCTTCTCTTCTTCAATGTCGGACAGATCATCCAAATCATCACTGTCTGATGCTGGCTCCTGCTCGTCGCCGAGATCCAAATCCATATCCTCGGGGAGCGCCAGGGTGTCGTTCTCCTGCGCGGTTTGCTCTTGCTTGTTCATTTCCTCTTGGGTTTTAACATCCTCTTCTTCCGCGCCAGCCTCCTCCTCCTCCTCAGCATCTTGTTCACCAGAATCGTCAACATCTGGTTGTTCTTCACCATCCTGTTTCTGAGCGTCTTCGTCTCCCGCCAGCTGCTCATCATCCTTCTTCTGCCCCTTAGCCTTCTCGCCCTGTTGGTCTTTGTCGGCCTTCTCTTCGTCGTCTCCGTCCCACATCTTCTCGTCAACAGCAGTGGGATCAAGGTCATCAACATCTCCAGCCTCTTCGTCCATGTCATTCTCCTCCTCCTCCTCTTCATCTCCATTCTTCGATCCTTCTTCGTCGTCATCGGCACCATCAACACTACCCATATCGCCTTCAAGCTCCTCGTCCGCCATATCAACAGCATCCTTTTCATCTTCCATTTCGCCATTCTCCTCTTTGTTGGCTTCCTGAGCAAGCTCAGAGAGATCCTCGTCAGGTTGGATGTCCTTGCTAATGTCTTCGGCACCTTCGCCATCGCCAAGGCCAGTGCCGGATTCCACTTTACTGGATTCGCCAGAGGTTTCATCAGACTTTTCTTGTGGGGTGCAGAATCCCTGAGACGAAATCTGAGTAAAGGTCTTGGTCATGTTGTAAGCCATGTGTGCTATAGCACTATGTATGTCGATGACTTGCATCAATGTCTGCTGCGAGAGGCCAACATATTCAGTCAAGATTGGGCTTGCGATTGCCATGAGACTCATGGCTGCCTGACCAAGATGCTGATCCTCAAGTTGAATTTGCTGCAGCATATTGATGCAGCCAGTCACACTACGTTCAACCTCTGCAGTATGAAGCTTAGTGAATAAGCTGGCAAAGGCGTCACTGTGGCTAGTCAGCCAACCGGGCTCATCTTCCTTGCGAGGAATTTCTTTCGCGGCCTTCTTTGCACCTTCAACAGCTACAAGGATCTTGTCGCAAAGTGTCGAGATAGCGTTTGCGAATGTGCCTAGTTCCTTGCCATTGTATGTCAGGCCTAGAACCTCCTCACTAATGTTAGTCCAGCCAGCAATCTGCGTGAAAACAAAAGAGAGCTTCGGATGTTCTCTGTTTAGATCCTCAAGACTGGCGCGGAAGCTGCTTAGTTCGCTGGAGAATTTAGCCTCTGCAAGGGCAGCTGCTTCAGAAGACACGCCTTCTGGGAATTGTTTGAGACCGGTAGTGGAGGTCTGGAGTGACTCAAATCGTCCATTCCACGACTTCAGATGCTCTAGAGTCATGGTGTGCTTGGCTTCTCCTAGCTTCTCGTGGATTTCCACTAGGCGGATGGCATACTGGAGGATTTGGACGAGCCAGGGAAGAAGACGTGTCCAGTCGGATACAGTTGTCTGGCGGAGGAGAGCACCGTGCTCCTGGGCGAGGCTCAAGTGATGAAATTGTGATGATGATCGTTTGAGTAGCGACAATGAGGAGCCTCCATTAGAGATCAGGCTTCGCTGAGAGAGCAGCAGGTTGAGCATCCCTTCGACGAAACCAACACTTCGCGCAATCTCTGCGCTCGTCAGATCCTCGGAGTGGTCTCTAGACGCGTCTCTAACCTTGGGGACGAGGTCAAGAATCTTGTGGAAGTGATAGTCCATGGCCTCAGTACAAGCGTCCCCGGGGAGATGCACTGGTTTGATGGATGCTAATACGAGTGAGAGTGTCTCCTGTTCAGCAAGTTTGTCTTGTCCAAGGTTGTGCTTCAGACCCATCTGCCGAAGATCGCGCAAGGTATCAGCGAACAGTTTCCTCTTTCTTGTCTTCAAGTGCTTGACCTGGTCCTTGTTCTCGTCATTCAAGAAGGGTGGCGTTTCTTTCCGTAACTCTGTCATCGACTCGTTGAGACTTGAAACATAGTCATCGATGGTCTGCGGTACATCGCTAGACATGTCTGGATTGTCTGAGATCTTGCGCATGACCGAGACAGTTTTGGAGACGTTGGCAAGTCGCCTGTGGCCATCGATCCATCCAGGCATGGTCTCATTCAGTTTGGAGAAGACGTCCGCCGAGACCTCAGGAGCAGGAGATTTGTTGTCAAGATGAGCCATGCGGCAGACTTCTTCGTCAGGAAGACCTTGCTCTATAATTTGCTTTGCCTCCTGGCCAAGAACACCGCGGAACTTCCTGATAATCCGGAAAAGTTTCTGATGAGACTTGCGAGCACTCTCGCGAAGAGCGTTGATATTTGTGTCCTTCCAACTTGCCATGAGGAGAACATCCTTCATCTTCTTCTCAATCGGAAGACGTCCTTTGTGCAAAGTTTCCTCCATAATCTTTTCATATCGAGAGTAATAATGAATAAAGTTGGACAACGAATGCAATACAACTTGCAGAATTGGATAATCTTCAGTCAGGAGCTTGAGGTGGCTTTGGAGTTGACGTAATAGGGCCAGACGTGCTCCATATTGGCCAACGATCGCAGTGGAAAAGTACATCTCTAGACTTGAAATCAGAGAAGCAGCATACTTTGTCATCTCTTTAGGAAAGTCAACAAGAGACAAGGGAACGGCAATGACAACTTGGTAAGCCACAAACCACCATGAATACGCGTCGTCTTGGCATTTCTTCTGTTCCATGTCAAAGAGATTGGCCCAAGTCGATAGTTCCAGTCGTCGCCAGCGGATGACTGTGTCAGTAAGGAGGTTGTGGAGAGTAAGAACACCGTAGATTTTGCTTGCCCATCCGCCAAATTGCCATTCATAAACATGGCCGTGAAGGTACTCAACCTTGGGAAGGATCTTGGCCAACGGCTCGGTGTGGACAAGTTCGAGGACCTGATCACAAGCTTGGATGACATCGGCCAACGGTTGCATATGACCAATCTCATCTACCATCTGTAACTCACGGAAACGAGCTTTGATCTTATGCATGAGGACAACAAGCTGACGAGCTTCTGGGACGTTGGCATCTGTGTAAAAGTTGTAGTCCTTGTCCACAGTGGGTGAGACGAGTGACTCAAGTTTGTCGTTCAGGAAGAACATGGTGCCAGCCAGCATCTTGCTTGTAAGGTTACGATCAATGTTCTTGTGGTCGATAGTTTCCGATGTAACTCTGTCTCCAACAGATTTGCAAACGTCATTGATGGCTGTAGCGAAATCCTGTTGAGTGAGGAAAAGGTTCTTGTGGATTTGTGCCACATGCAGAGATCGATCGCGCACTTCATCTTGCTTCTTGGCAGAAGGCACGTTCGCAGCTTCTTCGTCATCGAAAGTCGGGAACAACTCGTTGAACTCCTCTGTATCAATCTCCTCTTCGTCCTCCAAGGAGCCTCGGAAACGGTATAGGCTACCCTTGGCAGCTTGCTCCTTGCGATCGGCCTCAAGTCTCTTGGTCCACTCGTCGAACAAACTATGAAAGCTCTTGAAAACCATATCACGGGCATGATGGCCGATGTTCTCGAAACCTTCAATGCTGGCAACGACAGACATGTAGTTCAGGAATTCAAATGTTCGTGACGAAAAGTCTCCGTCCTTCTGGTTCCACATGGTTCCGCCCAGGAAAGGCGTAACTTCAAGAATCTGCTGTGAAGCAGGTGCCAAGTTACGAGCTGATGCGGCATCGCATAGTGAAAGCCCAATCATGAGGCAACGAAGCAAACTTGAAGTAGGTCGTGTCATGTCTTGATATGCTTCGAAACGGGCAGAGAGTCTGTCCAAAAGTCGAAGTACGTTTTCTTTCACTAAGTGCAGCTCTTCTGCCGCTTGACCCGGGTCATTTTCAAGAATCTGAAGAGCAGAAGACAGAGTAGGGCCCGTAACGGCCTTCAGCACGTTAGAGAACTCAGCATGGAGCCGACTGAGCTCTGATTGATCGGGTCTGTAGATTGGTCGAACCTCTTCCGGAAGAGGGCCTAGGGCTGTGGCTTCAGCTTCAAGGAGACGGATGCGCTCATTTGTATCTTGTCCGGTAAAGAGCTTCTCAAACGTCCGAAGTGATCCAGTTCGCTGATCGAGAAGAGCATGCATCTCTTGAAGAAATTCGCGTTCCATCTTCGGCCTACTCTGAGGATCAAAGACACGGTCTGGGACGTACAGCTTGACAGTGCCAATACTGAAGTGAATCCAGGCAAAAGCCGACAGATGTGCCTGCTTTTGGAGGTCCACTTGAGAGGCAGTGAGCGCCTTCAAGGCAGGGATAAGGTGTTCAACGGCGATCTGGCGGAAGTGGTCCTGTTCGATGAGAGGCAAAATGGCATCGAAAGCTTGGGAATTCGCGGCAGGATCTTGAGAAACAAGTTGCGCTGCTTCAACAACGACCTGCTTGAGACCCTGGCCGTGAGCATTGAAAACCTCAAAAAGAAGGTTGGAAAGAACATTGTTCAGTCTAATCAAGGGGTTCTGAACCAAGTCAGCACTGAGGGTTGCAAGCTGCCGACCCGCAATTGGGAGTTCCGCTTCAAGGAGAGCCAAAGAGCCCAAGTTGACTGATCCCAAGTTTTGGAGCTTTGACCAGAACGATGTTACGAACTTGCCATCCCAGGAGAATTGGTTCTGGAAAACAAGGTTCTCGACTGTTTGGAGAAGTGCAGCCTGGTGCTCAGAGCTGGCAAGCATTATTCCCGCTTGCGTAGGGATATTAGACAAAACCTGCAGCTCTGCGTGATCTGAGTTGGTGGGGCTGAGCATTGCTACCTGGCGAAGTGATTCAAATTCTTCAACCATGAAAGGCATACGCTCGGCCTCATCAGCACCGATTCGACTTTCGAGAGACTCGATTTCTGTAGTGAGGGATTCCAGAAGGCTGTCCACGTTTGGAACATCACTGCTGATGATACCCGAGGCCTTCTCGAGAGTTGTCATAGCCTTTGCCAAGTCGGGAATTGCTGCTCCCGCCTTCCATCGTAAAGTATCGAATCGAGAGCCCAGCTTTTCAAGTTCCAGTGTTTGGTCCAAGAGAATTTTTGTAGGCAGTGGAGTCGGGCGGAAGACGTGCCAAAGCAGCTCCATGCTCAGACCGGTCGACAACTTGAATCCAGCGGTAAAGTCTTTGCCCAGCCGGTCAAGAAGAAGGAGAACAAATTCTCGCTCCTGGATGCCATTCGACAAAGTCAATTGTTTTTCAAGGAAGTTTGTACCTTGTGCAAGGTGTGCCTGAAACTTAGCTTCGTCAAAGTTGTCTTCAGTGGTGAGTCGGACGGTGCGCTCAAGATAGCGTACAACACCTTTGAGAATTCGAACGCGCTCCGTCCACGATTCAGAAGACTCGAAGTTGAACCCAAGCCATTCTTTAGTAGTGTTGATCGTAGAGACCAAGAATGAAGCCAGCTTCACGGTAGCATCTTTCGACACAGCTGCTACACGATCACTAACAAGTGATCTTTGAAGTCTGTTGAGAGCGTTCAACTTGTTAACCTGAGCCTGACGTCGCTGGCCCTCGATAGAGTTTTGCAGGCGATACAGGTCGTGGTAGAATTCGAGGCAAGCGCCAAGCCATCGTGCGTGATCTGTTGAAGGCAAAATCTGGGCCATGGGGAAGTTGCTGAGTGGGTGCAGGGGCTGCGTAGGCTTGAGTGCCGGAACGTTCAGGGAATCATAAAGATTAGAGACGGTTTTGAAACCGTCAGTGCCGTTGCTTGAGTGAAGGAAGTTAAGCAATTCTACAACCCCAACCTCGAACGCCTCTTTGTTGGCAGTATCCTTCGGCAGAGTGTCGGCAAATCGAGGAAGGAGAGCGATATCTGATATAGAAAGTGTCTCAAGAGCGCGCTCGACAATCTCGACCGATTCATCGGTTGCGGTAGTCGAGTCTGCTACCTGCTTGGATGTGCCGTACCGTTGCAGACTGCTCTCCACGCTCACAACTCTATTGTATGAGGGGTCAAGGGCGGGAGGGGGTGTATGAATATGAATTTCAACAGCACGATTCCGCATTGCGCGAGAAAGCTCGCCATATCGAGGATCCATGGTTAAGAAAATGCGGAATTCTGGGTGTGGGCGCACGATTCTAGGTTCTCCGCCAGGTCCACAATGCTCATTGATGCTCAAGAAGCCGTTGGGCTCAAGGAGGGAGTTCAGTCGATCAAGGACAGAAGCGTTACACATATTGGCATTGTCAAGAACCAGCCACTGACCCATTTGTAGGGCCTTAACAATGACACCATCCAACCACTCAAAACGAGGGTTCTCCAATACCAAATTTTGTTGCAGAGGAACAAGGGCCTTGGACAGTGCGGTGGCTACCTCAGAGTCGGTGGGGATTTCTTGAAGCAGCCCTTTGGCCGCTTCGGTAATGGCAGGAAGCGATGCAACATCACCAGTAAAGCCATCAAGCAAGTGAAGTAGATAAAGCGCCTGGTTGGGAACATCCCCTGGCACTGTCGACATGACCAAGTTCTGCAGGTCCTGCTGGAGGGCTCGGAGAGCAGCGTTAACCTCCCGAAGGGGGTCTGCCTGCTCAAATCCACCAACAAGATCCATGGTATCGATGTCAGCGTTCATCGGGAACACTACAAGAGGTTTTCCGGCCAAAGCTGCGACATGCTCCAGCAAAACAGTCTTGCCGTAGCCTGAAGGGCTGCTGAGAATACAAGGAACATTTTGCTTGACACAAATCATGAGTGACTCAAGCTCAGCCAGTCTAGGAATAATGTCGATATTAGGGAGTCGCTCTGGCTGAGAATGAGGATGTCTGTCGAGCAGAGCCAATCCAACTTGGCCAAACATTGGGTTGATATCATGGTACAAACTATGCTGTCGTGGCGGCGAACCGGAAATCAACGTAAAAATATTGTCCACTTCCTCACGATCCCGCTGTGTTCGGAATCGCTGTCGGACAATAATATCGAGAAAGTCGTCAACATGGGCATTGCGAAGTAGAGGGTCAGAGGAGTCGAGAAGTTTCAGCCAACGAAGGACATCGCGCAAATTGAACTCCCAAGGACTTCCCTGACTCCCGAAAGCCTTCTCTATGGCCAGCTTGTGGTCGAGTTGAGACACAAACTGAATCAGTTGGCTGATCGCCTGTGGTTCAATTTTGGGGTAGTTGTGTGCTGCAATCAAGTTCAGATCGTCGTCTGAGAAGACATCGGCGTAAACAACGATGAAACGGTTAACAAAGGAGGCGGGTAAACCTTTGCGGCCACCGCCCTGGTGATGAGGGTTTTGGGCTGCGAAAAGGCGGAAATCTGGGTGACGCTTGAAGACTTGATCCAATTCTGAGATATAAACCTCACCTCGATGATCAAGACAAGCGTTCAGGCCTTCCAGTACAGACTGAGAAGCAAGGTTCATTTCGTCCAGGAGTACCCACTCGCCCTTTTGCATAGCCTGAAGGAACGGGGCGTCCCTCCAAGCAAAGTTACCAGCCTCGGCTCCCTCAACAGGAACATCAGTACCAAACAAGTCCATCAAATCAGTTTGATCAGATAAATTAATTCTTGTCAACGGCTGCCCACATGCTTGGGACAAGGCTGCAACAAGAGTCGTTTTACCGACACCGGGACTTCCCTCAAGCAAAATCGGCCGTTGCATCTGAAGCGCTCGAAGTACTCGCATGGCATTCAAACGCGTAGTGGGTGCATGAAAAGCAAATCCAGGATCAGCAACGCCTATGGAAGCCCGAGGGATACTGAAGTGGCCAATGGTCAAAGAATGGTCATCCATAGAGAGCTCTGGCTGTGTCTCATAGATCCCAGAGACATCCTCACCAATAAGCTCACTTAGCTTGCCCAGACACTTCTGGCGTTGTTGGCCAAGTGACTTGGGGTCGGTAGCCAGGATAGCAGAAGGATTGGCGCCGATGCTATCAATAAAAATGGTTGAAGCACCATGAACCAGGGAGATGATAGGTTCATTAGATTGGAAGTTATTGATAAATTGGACCCAAACAAGAATTTCTCTGACGGAGAACGGCGCTGATGCCATAGACCTGAAGGTGTCACCGAACCAAGCAGCAAACTTAACAATGATTTCAGTCAATTGCTTAGAGTCCCTATTGAGCTTTGTCTTGACAATCTCATAGATGTCTTCGCTTTGAGACAAGGCCGGGACCCAAATTTCAGTGAATCGGTTTCGTAATGCAGGCGAGAGTTCCTTCTTTCCAAAATCACCACCTGGGTTCATGGTAGCAAAGAACTGGAATCCATCGGCTCCAACAACAAAGGAGTTGTCAACACCCTTTTCGGCAAGAAGAAGTGTTCTTGAAGGTTCCAGCACAGAGTTCAAGCGCTCCAAAACCGAGTCATCAGCCAAGGAGATTTCATCCAGTAGGAAAAAGTGACCCTCTCGCATCGACTCAACCAGACTTCCGTCTGCCCACTCAAACAAAGCTTTGCTTCGTGTCTCGTGGCCACTGATTCGCTCCCGGACGTCTTGAGGAATATTGTTGATGATTGAAGTATCCAATGTGTTATATCGCTCCAAGCGCTCTTCGACCGAGCCGGAGATATCTAATCCAAGCGTCTGCAGAACCGGCTTCAAGTCCAAGTCCATGGCATCGATGATGGCTCCACGGTTACGAATAGGTCTTTGAGAACCAATCAGATCACCCGTCTCGGTATTTTGGTGAGCATTGACGATATGGAGCTCTCTTTTCAATGCCTCAGCAAGCAGTTGGACAACGGTTGTCTTGCCACAACCTGTCTCGCCCACTAGTAATACCGGCTCGTTGTTGCGCAATGCTCGAGAGACAAGAACATAGAGTCGGCGCATTGCATGGGTCCATACGACTCCCTGGCTGTTCTTCTGACTCGTGAACTGCTTCAGCTCAGGGGCCACAGTGGCAGAGTAAAGATTTTGGGGATCGATCTTGACTTTGAAAACCTTCTCAATGATCTCCTTGACAGCAATGCGCTCCTCCTCGTCACGAACCCTTTCTGCGAGTAACATGAATCCGTGACAAGCAATTTCCTCACGTGTCTCGGCCTCTCGCAACGCCCAACGAAACAGATCTCGAAGTGTGGCAAAGCTGTCTTTTTGTTCAAAAAGTCGACTTGTTTGACGAAGTCTTGACAGTTCCTTGTAGACAGTAACAATTCTTCGGCAATCCGGAGGAGAGGTGTTTCGACTTCGTTGTTGAAGAATAAACTCCAACTCGTCTTCAGGTATGTCATCAAAGTGCAGCTCGAGGAATCTGTTACGGAACGCTCTTGAGAGCACCTTTCTGCCACCGTACAGACCAGGGGGGTTCTGTGTAGCGAACAAGATGAAATTCTCGTGTGGTTTAACGATCTCTTGAGTTTCGGGGATCAAGAGCTCCCGGTTGTCATCCAGAAGACGGTTCAGGGCCTCAAGAACGTCTGTTGGTGCCAAGTTGAGTTCGTCAAGCACGATCCAGTGACCTTGACGCATTGCTTGCACAAGGATACCCTCTTGGAATCGGAGCTTGCCATCAGACCCAGAGATATAGGTACCAAGATACTCCTGGAGGTCGGTATGCTCGTGGTTGTTGATACGCACAAACTTATTCCCAGTGAAGTTTGCAAGGTACTCGATCATACTTGTCTTTCCAGCAGAGGTTGGGCCTTGGATAAGAATTGGGAACCGCCTTGTTGAGGTAGCACGGACAAGGTTCAGAAGATTTCGTTCGACATAAGGAGTAATGATGTAGTCGTCCCGCTCAATGGGTGTTTCATTACCCTGGAAGAGCCAGTATTGTCTGTCCCGGTTCTTGTTCTTGAAGCGTACATATTGTTTACCATCGTTAGGGTGTTTCGGTGCTTGAGAAAGTAATGATTGAGGGTTACCGTGGCTCTCAAAGATGTGGTGGGATATTAAGGGCACAAGCATCTTTTCCGACTCTCTGTCAAGCAGTGTAAGAAATCCCATTGCAAATCCCTCGTAAAGAGCCCTTCGCACACCATAGTAAGGTGCAATGGTATTCACGTAGCTCAGAACTCGTGTCAGGGTACGAAGACTGAAGTGAGGCACTTCATTCGCTCCATCGACCAATCTCTTCTCTTCTGCCAGTCGCTTGGTGTTGATATAGAGACGCGCGATGTCATCTGCTGCCTGGTCATTTTTGCTGCTGCTGTTGCCGAGATAAGTCTTGATGATATGAAGCAGATCCTTAATATCCTTGTCTGGACTCGATACGTAAACTTCGGTAAATCTGGAGCGGATTCCAACTGGCAAATCTCGCTTTCCAATATCGGTTGCAGGGTTCATGGCACCGAAGATTCTAAAATTGGGATGAGCCTCGATCTTTTCGATCTCGCCAGTTTCTGACAAAAGAATGGATGGCCTCTCCTCAGGACCGGTCAGGAGATCAGCAATGCTTTCAAGGGTATCGGGAGAGGCAAGGTTGATCTCATCGAGAAGTACCCAGTCACCGTTGCGCACAGCCTTGACAAGATTTCCCTCCATGAAAGAAAAGGCAAAGCTGCCGGAGCCTCCGGAGACCTGAACATCGAACTGCTCGAGATTACGGGCAAACAGGTCCCACCGTGGACGTAGATCGAGCAGGATCTGTAGCTTGGACTGAGTCTTTCGACGCTTCGTAGGCTGCTCATCTCCATCTCGAGTCTCTGATTGTTCTGCTTGAACTCGTTCGAGCTCTTTCACAATCTTGTTAAACATCTTGGGGGCTTCCTTCCATAGTTTAGAAACCCTTGACCATTGTCCCTTAGCAAAGCATTTGCCAACTTGCTCAAGGTACTTTTGGTTCTTTGATGCAGAGATGCCAGTAGCTGAGAACAGATCCTCGAACTCTTCCTTGAGGGGCATGGCCAATGTTCGAGTATTGACAGGCTTGAAGCCACCGAGAAGATCACCAACCTCACTTTGTTGGGACAAGTTTACGGCGACAAGCTTGTGGCCCAAGGACTCGGCCAGCTGCTGTACCACTGTAGTCTTGCCGATACCGGTTTCTCCAACAAGAAGAACAGCCTCGTTGAGTTTGACCGCGACAGCGATTTGTTCCAACAACCTCTTCGCGTGCGCTGTGCTTGCGAATGGCCGTTTTGACTTCTGAATTCTGTTCGATTGCTTCTTCTTGCGCAACACAGCGCGGCCAATGCTGAACTGGTTTTCACTCTCCTGCAAAGGAGGTATATGAGTTGACATATAATATTCAACTCGTTCTTTTGGAATGCGCATCTCCTCAGCAATCGCAAAGATAAGGTCTTTACCGATCTGTGGATCAGGGCAGCTTCCAACAAAACAATCAACTGCTTCCATAAACATTTGATCTTCTGTCGTGTTTGTGATCGCCTCCTCCCCTGTCTTTGAGCCTGCGGCGATTAAAGACTCCCGCAGTCTGCGACACCATTTCAGCAAGTCACGCAGCGTCATCTGGCGGTCCATCACATTGCGACCCCGAGTAAATGCGCCAGGTTTGTTGCTGAACTGAGACAGACGGGCATATACTGCAAGAATATCGGGGACGAGCCTTCGCAGGATGGGGTACGTCTGAACTATGACATCTTCAAGCTCGGAGGCTGCGAGGGCTTGGGTATTCAAGGTCTGCCAGAAGCGCATACCAACCATGCTAGGCAGATTCTCCCGTCCATTCATACCTCGTGATGTCCGCACTGTTGCAAAGAGTCTGAACGTGCTTGCTGCACGTATCCTTTCGCCTCGACTTGGGATAAGAAGTTCTTGTCGTTCGATAAGGGGGAGCAACGTGCTCAAAACCTCGGTGGGGGCTCGGTCCAGATCCTCCACCAACACCCATCGACCTTCTTTGACTGCTGTAGTCAAAACACCAGGACGCCACTGGAAACTGCCGGGTTTCGTGTCGGTTGAGTATAGGCCGATCAACATCTTGGCGTCGGTCTGTTCGTTGAGGTGCAATGTGACCATGTTCGAGTACATGCCAAGCTGTTTGGCGATTTCGTGAACCAAGGCGGTCTTGCCGACTCCAGGCGGGCCGTGAAGCATGACTGGGTCATGTTCTCGTAGCATGGTCGCCAGCTTTTCCAAGTTGGACACAGTCGTGGGGGTGAGTACGAGATTCGAGGGCTCTCCGGTTGGTCCAAGAGGTCTGGGGAGAATGACATTGCCGTAGGAAACGACGTAAGGGGTTAGAGCCTGTAGGTACGGAGATTCATTGTCGTTGGCTTCGTGAGCCGCTTGTACTTCTTGGCGCAAAGTTAGGAAAGACTTTACTCGAGACTGTTCGTACAACGAAAGGAACCCATAATCAATCGATCTGCCGTCAAAGTCTGCAAGGATAGCCTCGCTCTTGCCGATATGTTCTTGGATGAGAGATTCAAGCTTCCAATCTGACCCATGAAGAAGTTGAATAAATATCCTGGTCGCGAGATAACGGACTGCTGTACTTTGGTGATTAAAAAGGGTCTGCATGAAAGCGGCCGATGTCAGGGGGCCGAAGTTGCGCGAGTCGAAGCTGATCAGCCTCCAGGCGACAAGGAGACTCTGTAGGAGGACATCGCCGTCCTGAGTGATAGCATCCTGGTCAAGTTTCAAGGGTGGGAGTCGTAGAGAGTGTGAATTAGTCGGCTGTTCGGCGGTAGAAGAGGCGTATTCGATGAAGGTTGATAGATAGGGAGCAAAAGGAAGAATACGTGCTAGTGCCGAGTATATTCGTATATGTTTTTGTTCATTGCCAGGGTTGAGAATCCATCGAGCACAAACGTCTGGAAAGACATGCTCGAAATGCGCAAAGATACGCTCTGTAAGTGGTGGGCAAAGAGCTGCCTCAGCAATAGCATCGAGTAACTTCGTCGAGGACTCTGTCTGAATAATTGCCAGTATTTCTGCAGGCAAAAGTTCTAACACAGTCGCGTCCTCAAGGAGCGACCTCCTCTGTCGTGAGACATCAATCATTGCCATGATTGCGCTCTTGTCGACAAATTTTGGTTGCCGATGCTGGTGTAAACGTGATTTACCAACCGCACCTTGAACTTGACTTTTTTTTCTGTTATCTTATCTCGGTTTGTGCCAGTTGTGGGGCCATCTAGGTTGCGCTAATCTCATGGACCCTGGACTTTACCTGGAAAGTAATTGGTATCGACAACATTCATTTTACCGAATTGAGTCTAAAGATCGTGTGTTTCTATTCTGAGGGTATTGCTAATATTGCCATTTATTTTTAAACGAATGCGTTGCTTCACCTTCCCAATTCCTCTAACTATTGATGTCTAATCGTGCTCGAGTCATCGGGCTTAACAAAGCGTACCTTTTGGCTCAGGTGACAGCAACATCACAATTGGAACTTGGGCAGCCTCAACAGTTCGTTAAGTTAGCTTGATAGTACCATTCCAAAACAAATATTATTTTCAAGTCCTATTTACTTGTATCTTGAAGTTACAATTGCAAAGCAAAGACGGTCGTTGGACATAAGTGATGGCCCCATTTATACACGTGATCATGCCGCTAGCCCGCCAGAACATTGATACTCGAAAAACTTCAAGACGTTCCCTCAGACGCCCGCACGCGACGACTCTCTCGAATTGAGCATTCACCAGTTCAACCAAAACAATGGCCATGTCTTGTCGGTACGCCGCCCAGAGCTGTGCTCGCCAGCTCCGATCCGCTGGCGCTGCCCGAGCACCCGCACAGCTTGTCCGCATCCCGGCCACATCGAGGAGATGGAACTCATCCGAAGCTGCTCCCGTCAACCCCAAGATCGCAACCATTGTCGATCAGATTAGCCAGCTTACTCTTCTGGAGACTGCCGACCTTGTTTCCAGCCTCAAGGTTAGTAGTGCTGGTGCTGAAATAAACATTAATTGGACATTGGCGGGGTTATTTGGATCGTAGTCGCTAACATGACGCCTTGAACAGAGCAAGCTCAACATTCCCGATATGCCCATAGGCGGCTTTGCTGCTGCTCCTGCCGCTGCCCCCGCTGCCGTTGAGGAGGCTGAGGAGGCTGCTCCTGCCGCCGCCGAGAAGACCCTCTTCACCCTCAAGCTTCAAGGATTCGATGCCCCCTCCAAGGCCAAGGTCATCAAGGAGATCAAAAACATGCTCGGCCTGAGCTTGGTGGACAGCAAGAAGTTCGTCGAAAGCGCACCCAAGATGATGAAGGAGAACGTTCCCAAGGAAGATGCTGAGAAGATCATCAACACCATGAAGGAGTTGGGCGCCACCGTGGTTATGGAGTAAGATGGATGATCGATCTATGGGACATGACGACTAGCGACTTGGCACGATAGATGGCTGGATTGCATGTATAAAAACATATGTACTAGTATCTAACAATACGCAACCTTGGACAAGACTCATCGGTGAGTTCTTTCTAATCATGATATCACATCGAACATGAAGTAATCATTGTCGCTCTGACAAGTTACAATCACTACTACTTCGAACTTATAATGAAACGTTGAAATGTCACTACCCTAGGCAGTCATTAAAATGACGGGTATCAATGCTTTGTTTTCAGTTCCCCCAATTACGAACGCCGTTCCAAGACCAACCCGGGAAAGATATGTTGAACGTCCAACGACTGTTCCCATTCGTTTCGTTCTCCGGATGATGGCAGCCAGGCAGCGTCCCCATTCCATTTTTATTCTCTTGTAAAGTGATTCCTTTTCCTTTGTCGTTGGGCCCGTTCCTAGTAATTGTTGCCATTCTTTGCCCCGTGGTTGTGCTGGCAGCCAGACTGCATCTCCATCTCCGTTTGAAAATCCCTTTGCTCTTCAGTGATCAGGCGGTCGTCGTCTTCTCCAAAATCGCTAGTCTCTTCCCATAGCCGATTCATTTCCGCATTTTCAGTCTTGGGAATGGCCCATATACTTTCGCGCTCACGCTTGTGACGTTCCCGGTCCTCTTCGATTCTCTGCTCTATTTGTCGCTTGTCAAGTTGATTTGATGCGCCCCGTCGGCCTGGCTTAGGGATGGTTTGAGAAGGTGGGATATCTGTCATCTCCACATCTCCGTTTGGTGAGGCGAAGTCTGCTGCATTTGTCTCGCGTTCCTTTATAACATCCTCAATCTGAATGACTGCTTGCGACTCCAGGTACCCTTTGCCTTGAAGCCCTTGCAAAACCTATAGTAAATGTGAGCCGAACGTTCTAAGTCGAGTCAGAGAATTGCATGGTGCTAGGCTCAGCTGACCTTTCGAACTACTCTGACGTTGGCAGCACCAGATCCATCATCGGGAGCGACAGCATCAACAACACGAATAATGTCCCGTTGCATCATCCGAATATAGTCTGGATGTCCATCGCGCTGTGCCATGTCGAGGAAATGCTCAATGAAGTACATGATGTTGGCCCGTATGTTCATGTTATTCTGTTGGTTTAGGTCAGTGATGGGTTTACACTGAGACTCGATAGACCTACCACTCTTTCTAATTGTTCCAGGATACATGAGTGTAAGTCCTCGTCCATATCCCTATATCTGAGAGCATATTGTGCGGCCTTTTGTGCAGATGCTACGGATGCATTGAGATGCTGAAGCTGAGAGGTGAAGCGCATGCGCACTTCGAAAGGATCGGCCATAGTGAATGAGTATTGATCTCAACTGGCAAGAATGATCAGTAGTGAAAGACAAAACAAAAGTCTGGGGTGACAGATTCCGGAAGTTCGGAACCTCTGAACGACTTCAAGAACTTTCTCGGGGTAACAAGGCACAAGACTCTCGTATAAAATAGATCCAACCAAGATGATTAGTGGTGATAGTTGAGATGAGAGATGTACTGGGGCTGGGTAAGGTTGTTTGTTAGTGGATCAGCAAGGAAACAATTGCCTATAGTGCCACAATGGCTATGGCTGTGGCGGTGCTCATACGCGGTGAGAGAATTTGAGACCGACCGGGAATAAACCAGTCTCACCTCCTAACCTGCATCTTCAATTTCTCTTTCATGCCTCACTTTAATATTTGCTTTTCCTCTTCAGCTGAATTTCCGTCACTGGTGAAAAAATACATACAGGTCGGACTAGCCGAAGATGTATCACATTGCTCTAACCACAAAAGGTTCCCGGTGAAAACTTATCAAGTGTGTGTGTGCGTCTTCGCTGAAGCAACGTTGAAGCCACACATGGGTTATGGATGGGCATGGGCATGTCAGGGGCTTCACCCGTTATTCGCGAATTACCTCAGATCGCCAGGGGTCACTTACACTTAGTTGTACAATCTGAGCGAAGAGGCCACTTTGGGCTCGGAAGATTACTACTCTACTGTACTGTACGTATAAGGCTGGTTGACCTGGAATAAGCCGGAAGGGATGCTAAATATGTACCCATGATATCTAGTTGGTTGTTTTTTACTCATTTCCTAGCATGATGATGAGACTTTGGGTGTCTTCAGTTTGCTTCGCCTCTTCTCTTAGTGAATGGCACCCCATTGAAAGGTATCGATTTCTGCATAGAATTCATACAGCTACTTATTTACCCCTTATCGTTCCGTCTTTGCTTCGTTTTCCTGTTTTGGATACGGGGCAGGTCGCGCATTGGGCAGCAAAGGCACTTTACGTTACCTACTACCCGGCATTTTTCTACCATTTGAGAGGTAGCTTCACTGTACTCTTGAGCTACATTATGTAGCAGTAAACAAGGACTCGCGCTGTCAACCTGACAATACTAAAACAAATAAATGTGGAATCCTTTTGTATAAATCGAGTCTCTCCCCCCGTTTCCCCAGCTTTTTGTATTCTTTCAATTTTGCTCCCACCTTTCCCCATTCCGATCTACCTATATTCGCCTCTGACATTTGACACGAGTCAGTCGGTCCTCTGCCTCTAGATTTTCTTCTTCTCATACACAAATAACTTTTGATTATTCGTTCAGTTTTAGACACAGAAAGCATCATGCCCAACTCAATGGCTCTCACGCCTTACGGCTCAAATGGAAGTACAGACCTCACCATGGCTGTTCTTGGCTGTGGTAAGTAGAAAGATCCATTCACCATGAGACAAATACCATGGCTGCGCAGCATACACCCAGACATGGGTATAAGCCCCAGCATGGTTTTGAGATCATTGAATATGGCCAGAACCACCATGTTCACTTGCTGAGAATCGAACAGGTACCATGGGCGTTGCCATTCTCAGCGGTATTTTGAACTCTCTCGCAGAGATGCAAGGACCCAAGCCTCTCCAGACCTTGACTTCAACGCCCGGCGATGAGGTGCCTAACCGACTTCCCTCACGTTTTATTGCCAGCGTAGCCACTCCTGTTGGTGCTAAGCGCGTCAAGGGTGCCCTTTGGGAGCACTCTTCTATTCTCAAGGTTGTCCACAACGACAACCTTGGTGCTGTTCAGCAGTCTGAGGTCGTCATCCTTGCATGCAAGCCGTGGATGGTCAAGGAGATTCTCACTGAGCCTGGTATTTCAAAGGCTCTTCACGGCAAGCTCCTCATCAGTGTCTGTGCTGGTATCACCGTTGAGGATATTGAGATCGCGCTTCATGGCGCTGTGCCCTGCAAGGATCCCGAGGAAGATGGCCGATGCCGCATTGTCCGTGCCATGTGCAACACCGCTGCTGTTATCCGTGAATCCATGACCGTCATCGCATCTCCCAACTCTCCTCTCGACCACGCCACTGAGAGCCTTGTCACCTGGATTTTCAAGCGTATTGGCGATGTCGTCTACCTGCCAACCCGACACATGGACGCATCAACAGCCCTGTGCGCTTCAGGCCCTGCCTTCTTTGCTCTCGTCCTGGAGGCCGCTATTGATGGTGCCGTCGCCATGGGTATCCCCCGCGCGGATGCTCAGCGCATGGCCACACAATCTATGAGAGGTACTGCTGGTCTCGTCCAACACGGCGAGCACCCTGCCCTTCTTCGGGAGAAGGTCTGCACATCCGGAGGCTGCACTATTGGCGGCGTCTTGGTCCTTGAGGAGGGCAAAGTCCGAGGTACTGTCTCAAGAGCTGTGCGT